GTGCTACGTCTGGAACGTGAAGCACCTCTCTTCTCCTCACCCACCAGTTTCTCTCCAGCCCGTATTAGATGCAGCAATTCACACGTTGGGTGCGAACCCAACCGCTGCCCCAGCAGTGACAGATGCACGCATCAACTCGGAGGGTCGGGTTGTCGTCTCCCTATCTAACGGTGAAGGATACTCATATTCTCCAGCCATGTTCACGTGGCAGCGCATCACTGAAGCGTGGTGGGCTGTAGGCAGTCAGTACTGGAACACCACAGACGCACCCGTAAACAATCTACAGGCCAAGGATGCACAGCAAGACAACAAGGATGCCAAGGCAGCTGTTGCAGCTGGCATCATCCCCTGGCTCGAGCGGAACACTACCAACGAGACCCTGCTTCGTGGACGGGCATACTTCCTCCAGCGTCTGATCAAGGTCCTGTTGTCTCGCGAGGGGTACGAGACATTCGAGTCCAGCGTGTCCATCGCGCATCTCGAGAACCGTCTTGCCGCTGCTTTGTCTCTAGGTGCCAAGGAAGAGTTCCGCTTATACCTGTCCATGTACGCCAAGCGTATCGGCGCGGAGGGGTTGAAGCTGAAGGTCGAGGAATTGCTGAAGGGCTTAATCGGCGGTCTTTTCGAGGATGATGATACTACTGAGGGAATCCTGAAATTGCAGGCGAATGAGCGTGAGGGCCGGAACTGGCGCGAGGGATCTGACGATCTATGCGGCTGGCCCCGGGAGACGTTATTGAAGGAAGTGATTCTGGCGCTCGGTATGTTTCTGTCAATTTTGATCTCTTTTCCCAATGCGTTATTTGCTAACGAATGCTTGTTTAGGCAAACACCGTGACCTTCAACGTGTGACTGTGCCTTATGCTAAGCTGCTGGATATGGTTGACACCTCGTCAGAAAATGGCGATGCAATGGATCTATAGCGATCTTCATCTCTCTTTCGTTTATACCTCGTCTTTTTTTTATTTTTTTTTATTTTTTTTATTCTTATTTGTGGCGTTCATGAAGTTCGGACTGGGTTACCTTGGCAAAAGGGTTGCATTATTATATCTCTGCTGGGGCGAGATTGGAGATGACATATTTCATTTCGTGCTGTATTTGTATCATAGGTTTCTCTTTGGGCTCGCTCCTGTTTATCCTTGATAACCGGACTGCCACCTTGCTGCAATACTTTCCGCTTGGTCTCGTTTACGAGCACCCGTGATAAATCCATTTGTAATAATAGCTTGTGCAAATAGTGAATAGTATTGGTAAGGATAGGTCCATAAGCCATCCATGTTATATATCAGAAGATTGAACGGCGGCAGTGACAGGAAGGTCGTTCATGTGGTGTACGTTGTAGTGCCTGTCCTTGAACTGATGGTCAAGGTTGACTAGAACATACCGATATAGCTTCTACCCTGCCAATTACTCCCATTAACAGGTCAACTTACTCTGTTCTTCTATACAATAACATTACGCAGTGTGACGTCGTCAGGGCTTAGCCATCACGTGGGCGGTAATTTCTTTGCAGGCAGAAAATTCGATGACATCTGGCGCAACCTCATCACTTTTGGTTCTTGACTGCCAAACACGCACTCATTTACTCTCCTTTCCTCATTGATCTTGCCCACTCCAATTGTGGGCGCCGGCATCACGTCTTCCACCTCCTCCTTACTCTTCCTTCGTATCGTCGATCGATCCGCAGCTGGTCCTGCATTTGGCGCGTTCCATCCCTGCTCCCGCTTCCGCCTTTCCACCTCCCCCCACCTCCCACCTCTCTTCTGTCGCTTCTACTCAAGCAAGAAGAAAAAATCCAACAAAATGCCTCCCAAGAAGCAGCAAGTTCAGGAGAAGGTCTACCTGGGTCGTCCCGGAAACAACCTGAAGAGTGGTATCGTATGTGAGCAAGGCCCCCACCCTTTTTTTCCTTTTTTTCCCAGCACAGTCCACTTTTTAATTCCACACACAAACTATTTAAACTCCCCCTGTCCCCTGCCTTTCACTTTTTTTTCCTTTCTTTTCCACCACCATCCATCTAACAATGGCTTTAGGTTGGTCTTGCCAACGTCGGCAAGTCGACACTCTTCCAGTCTATCACTAAGTCCTCCCTGGGTAACCCGGCCAACTTCCCCTTCGCCACCATTGACCCCGAGGAGGCCCGCGTTATCGTCCCCGATGAGCGGTTCGACTGGCTTGTTGACCACTACAAGCCCAAGTCCCAGGTTCCCGCTAACTTGACCGTCTATGATATTGCCGGTCTGACTCGCGGTGCTTCCACCGGTGCTGGTCTGGGTAACTCTTTCCTGTCGCACATTCGTGCCGTCGATGCCATCTTCCAGGTTGTTCGCTGCTTCGATGATGCCGAGATCATTCACGTCGAGGGTGATGTTGACCCTTGCCGTGATTTGACCATCATCAACGAGGAGCTGCGCATCAAGGATATTGAGTTTGTGAACAAGGCTCTTGAAGCTCTGAAGAAGCAGACCCGTCGTGGCGGACAGTCCCTGGAGATGAAGAAGCTGAAGGAAGAGGAGGCCACCACTGAGTTCATTCTTAAGTTCCTCGAGGAAGGTCATGACATCCGCAGCAAGACTGACTGGACACCCAAAGAGGTATGTTTGAAAACTTTTTCTTTCCCCGTCTTTTACATTTTCCCCACAACCACCACTCCTACAATGATGAATAAGAGCTTTGCTCGAATCAAACCCAGCTCTTCGAGTGCCCTCAAATTTATAAACTCACGAAGGGGGCACCTTGAGAACAAAAGTTATAAACTGAAATTGGAGTCACATCTTCTATTGCATCACTCAATACCTTTTGTGAAACCTCACACTAACCCAACGGGTTTCTAGGTCGAAGTCATCAACCCTCTGCTCCTCCTCACTGCCAAGCCTGTGGTGTACTTGGTTAACCTGAGTGAGAGAGATTACATTCGTCAGAAGAACAAGTACCTCCCCAAGGTCTTCGAATGGATCAAGGCCAACTCCCCTGGTGACCCCATCCTGCCCATCTCGGCACAGTTCGAGGAGCGTCTGACTCTGATGCACGACGATGCCGCCGCTGCTGAGGAGTGCAAGAACCTGAGCACCCAGTCTGGTCTGCCCAAGGTCATCACCACCATGCGCAAGGTTCTCAACCTGGCCAGCTTCTTCACCACTGGTGAGGATGAGGTTCGCCAATGGACCATCCGTAAGGGCATCAAGGCCCCCGCTGCGGCTGGTGTTATTCACACCGACTTCGAGAAGACCTTCATTCAGGCTATTGCGTACAACTACAGTGTTCTGCGCGAACTCGGTGATGAAGCTGCCGTCAAGGCCGCTGGTAAGATCATGACCAAGGGTAAGGATTACGTCGTCGAGGATGGCGATATCCTCCTTATCAAGGCTGGTGCTGCCAAGCACTAGGTTCAGATAGAAAATACCTCTATGAATTATATCCCTGAATGAATCTTGTGAATAAAACCATCTACTCTGTGTCTGTATTAGCACAACTAGTAACTTTCACCTGCAACAACGTAACCAGTCCACCTGGCCGTCTCCCGTGTGGGGAGATACTGTTTAAAGCAAATGAGCGACATGCTGTGGATACAGGTACATAGACTGGAAGGTCAATAAGTTACTACTTACGACCTCGAAGACAGGATATAATTGTAAATTCCAAAACAGTTGCGCGCGGCCTTTTTGGACAGCTTTTATAATGATTCAAATGAGGAAATTCTTGAGCTAACACTCCGACGACCTTCCTCACGTATAGGCTTATAGAGCCCTGTCCAGGTTCTGATCACAATTCCTTGAATGGGGGATGTAGATGCGAGATTTCGGATATGTGTAGGTCGGTGTCTAGGCGAAGGGCCAACGGCTCTATTGGATGTGAGAACGTTGCTCGTGAAGTAAGGTTGTGTCTAGTATCTATATTGGGTCTGTCCTTTATAGGATTCCAAAACGCAACCACAAACAACCAGGAAGCCGATCGAAATAGCCTGGTAAGCTTGACACCTCAACACCACAATCCTCATCGACCCTTTGCTATTTTGCTTCTTTTACATTTTCACGGCTCGTCTTCCACGCCTCGAAGCCAACACCTCGACACCGCCACTCTCATCAACTCTTTACTTTCTCTTCGTCTCCACTGCTCACCACCCACACTTCGACCCATCATGCCACCAAAGTGGAACATCGAAAACGACGGCAGAGTAAGTCTCAAACTTGCCATATCTGGGCTATGATCCATTCTGACATCTCCAGATCCTCCTCGGGATTCTGAGCCAACTGAAGGATGTGAACGTCACCCTCGACATGGACAAGGTTGCCAGCTTTGTCGGACCCGGTATGCACCCTGAACGCTCAAATGAGATCTTGCTAATATATAGACAGAGTTTACTGCCAACTCTGTGAGATATCGTATCTCTCGCCTCAAGAAGCAGGCGGAGGAAGGGCTCGCGGAGAACGACCCTCATACTCCTACCAATACACCCCAAAAGCGAAAGCTTGGTCCTCGCACCCCCGCAAAGAAGAGACAGAAGAACACTACTGATGAGGAAGGGAACAGCATGGATGCTCCTTCGGCAGACAGGTCTCATGTTGTTATTGCAGTGGATAAAGAAGAGGAGTCCACAGATGTTAAGGATGAGAAAGTCAAGACCGAGAACAAAATCGAAATCATCTATGACTCGGATGAAATCAAAGAGCTTGGCATAAAGGGAGAGAAGGAGGATACCAAGCAGGCTATCAAGGCTGAAAGCGACGACGACTTTTATGTGGTTTAGGGATTTATGGCCTTGAAGAGAGAAGGATTGATAGTTTTGTTGTTGAAACAGATGTCAGGCCCTGCATTATTTCCGATGCCCAGAGATGCTACCTTGAATTGAGTGATTCTGAACCATTTCTCTCTTGAAGAAACATCGATGGTCGATCTTTCAACGCTCCACTCCCATATTATATACAGCACGTGACCAAACTCCCCGCGGCATCCCACCACACGAGCTTCGCTTTCACGGTATTGCAGCCTTAACCAGCACCATGTTCAAAAAAGAGTGAGTCGACGCCTTCAATAACTCTGAGACACCATCCAGATATTGCACTTGCATGACTGAGCCCCCTTCACCAATGGGGAGTGCACAATTCTCCAACTCGGACACCGCAAGGCCGCAAGAGCTGTCAAACCACTCGGATGGGGTTGTTTAGACGGCCACTAGTGGCCAAGAAGGATGCAGGGCCCCAAAGAACCATACGCTGACATTTTTTGCCCCCTAGTATTCCCCCCAGCAACCGATCAAAGGTCAAGTCCTCGGTGCAGCGCGGCCTACGCCAAAAGCTACTGGAGACCTACCCCGGCCTCGAGCCATTCATTGAAGATGTCATGCCAAAGAAGGCCTCATTGGAAGCCGTAAAACTGTACAGTCCCACCCCTAGTACCCCATACCCAGCACGATTATATCGACTTTTTTCGCCTGCCATCTACCCTGCATCCAGCAATACAGACCGCAAAGCTAACCACGGTTCTTCTTTCTTTCACTCAGCCCCGAGCGCGTCACCCTCTACACAATAGATTCAACACCTCTGTTCTTCCAACCTATCGACGGACCTCCCGTCCCGCATCTCCGCCTCATCCACCAATACCCCTCTGCCATCCCGACAATCCAGATCGACCGCGGTGCCATTCGATTCGTGCTCTCTGGCGCAACGCTTATGGCTCCCGGCCTTACCTCCCCTGGGGGTAGACTGCCTGATGCCGAGCACGCTATTGAGGCTGGGCAAATTGTTGCTGTCAAGGCTGAGGGCAAGGAGGAGGTTTGTCTTGTCGGTATGCTGAAGGTTGGCACTGAGGAGATCAAGAGCAAAGGAAAGGGTGTTGTTATGGATGAGGGTCACTATCTTGGTGATGGATTGTGGAGGATGCACCTTGATTAATTCATGCATTGGTTTAAGGGGGTTTATGGGAATTTTTCTGCCTGTGAATGGTCTTTTTGATATTGTTGGCATATACCTCTGGATAGTGTGGTGATTATTATGTGCTCGACGAAATGAAATGAAATATCTGTCCCACGGGCTTGAATCCAGGTGAACTGTAAATGTTGACCCCCTGTTTAATTCTGAAACAACTTGGAGAGAAACGAGCATATCTCTGGGAATGTAAAGAACTGAAATTGCTCTATTTAAGCTTGGAATATAGGGTAGGGTGCTGGGGTACTTTTTCCAGTATGTATGAAATAGACCAGATTCAAGTTAATCTCGGTTCTGCACAGCGTACCACGTGCCAACTCTGCGTATCAGCCATATGTTTCTTTTCAATTCTTTTCAACTATGATTTGTGATTTGACCTCCTATTTCTGTTTTACAATGGCAAATCACCAATTGGGAATAGCGCCTTTGCATTTATCCCCGCCAGTAATGATCGCGGGAAAGGGCTCGTGCACCAGGCCTCGGCTTAACAGGGATAACCCTGAAAGAAACCCCCCTAAGAGGCCATCTTAAGATGGACGTTGAAAAGTCCTGAGCATAAGATAACGTTAAAATATACTGTGAAGTTATTCTTCTACTGAGTCACTATACTCACTTGGTTTCTGGGTCAGATTCAGCGGCACATCGACATTGTGGCAATAAAGTTCACCAATGGATAAGGGTCGAAGTAAATGAACCAGACGAATAGGCGGGACCTAAGCAAGCCGCTAACAAAGATGAAGATAAAATGGACTGTGCCTCACCCTTCCGTGGCTTCGTGGGGCTTTTCTTCCTCTTTTCCTTAACCTTACCTTCACTCTCGAACTAGGAAAGACCTCTCTGCCTCCCATGGACTCTGCAGCAAGTGCCGGATCGGCCAAGAGTGCCGTGGACAAGAACAAAAGCCAGAGAGACCTATCTCCAGCTGAAAGATCGATCCAACATGGCGATACCGATATCTTGCAGGGGGAGAAAGTCGACGAAGCTCTAGCTGCCAAGATGATGCTAATCAACGATGTGAGACATGTATACACTCCATGCAGGAGAACCAAAAGCTGACCCGCGTATCTCTAGACCATCGATGAGATTGGATTCACTGCTCACCACTGGAAGCTATTCTGTTTGAACGGATTCGGATATGCGGTCGACTCGCTCATTCTCTTGATTCAGTCTATCATTTCGACGCAAGCTAGGCTAGAGTTTCAACCTAGCTATGCCACGGGTCTTACAATTGCGGTCTATGTTGGAATGCTGGTGGGTGCCATATTCTGGGGATTTTCAGCAGATATAATCGGCCGGCGCTTTGCCTTTAACTTCTCGCTATTTGTCTCGTCGGTTTTCACTATAGTTGCAGGGGCTTCGCCGTCTTGGGTTACACTCGGATTGTTTGTTTGCTTGAGTGCTTTTGGCGCTGGAGGAAACTTGGTACTGGATACTACGGTATTCCTGGAGTATCTGCCTAGCAGAGAACAATGGCTATTAACACTAATGGCTGCGTGGTGGGGTGAGTTTGCTTTTATCCGAAGCTCTTGTTGCAGAGCCATTCAACTAACTTGGAATAACTAGGCCTCGGTCAGCTCATTGCAGGGTTATTTGCCTGGGCCTTTATTCCCAATTACTCATGCAGCGACGCAGCCACCTGTACCCGGGCCAACAACCAAGGATGGCGCTATGTATGGTATACATCCGGTGCCCTGGTGTTTCTTCTCTCCATACTTCGAATCACAATCATTCGACTTGAAGAGACACCCAAATTCCTCATCTCCGAGGGCCAAGACGAGAAAGCAGTACGAGTCCTACAAAACATCGCCAATAAATATGATCGCCCATGCAGTCTCACCATTGAGCGCCTGCAAGCATGCGGACAAATTGTCCAAAGACGAAAGGCAGGATCCAGCTGGTTGACACGACTGATCTCCCCAAGCGAAGTATTCTTCCACCTCCGTGGACTTTTTGCAACCCGCAAGATGGGCCTATCCACCACACTGGTGTGGTTCTCATGGCTCCTCATCGGTCTCGCCTATCCACTCTACAACGTGTTTCTGCCCAGCTACCTTGCGACCCGCGGCGCCAATTTCGGAGAAGATAGCCCTTATATCACCTGGCGGAACTATGCTATCAACAATACCTGCGGTATCTTTGGTCCGGTGTTGGCGGGATTTATGTGTCGCTCGCCTTGGTTCTGGGGCCGTCGGGGAACTATGATTATCGGCGCAGTGGTTACAATGATCTTCTTCTTTTGTTATACCCAAGTCCGCACTGCTAGTCAAAATGTTGGCTTTACGTGTGCTATCTCATTCTGCTTGAATGTTTATTATGGCACTCTTTATGCTTACACGCCTGAGGTTTGTCTCCTTTATACACTGATTCCATGATAACTATCTTGGGTCCCTTGTTTGATACTAACTGCTTGACAGGTATTCCCATCTGCTCATCGTGGTACAGGGAACGGTGTCGCTATTGGACTAAATCGAATCATGGGAATTGTCAGTGCCGTGGTGGGTCAGGCCGCCGATGTAAGTGTCAATACATTCCCTCTTCTATTTGAAGACACCTTTTGTGAAGGTGGAGCTGATCATAAATTAGACCAACACACCTGTACCGATTTACATTTGCGCCGCGCTTTACATTGTGATGGCAATCGTCGCTGCGGCTTTCCCATTCGAGCCGTATGGCCGACGGAGTAGCTGAAGATGCCTCATGCAACAAAGGCATTGTATCCACTCATAGAGTTGAATATTGTGCTGGCGATTTCTGGTCATATCCAGATTCAACACATATCACCAACGTCCCTATGATCTATAAATACGTATGTACCCCTAGTGAAATTCAAGAGAATGCATATCCACCCAAACAACAGAGCAATATGCGAAAGCGGTCTGTTGATGACGATGGATCTCTCAGAGGGAAAGGAAAATTGGATCAAGACGGAGATCGAGGTTATGCTTGGACAGCAAATGATCTGTGCTGTTGGCAAAAATGAATGGCCTAATTAAGCCTTCACCGCAGGTGAATGGTTGGCGATTGAAATGATGAGGAAGGATCGGGATTTGATTATTATGGAACTGAACCGTGAGAGTGAGACGGAGCAAATTTCAATTCTTCGTGAAACAGGATGGGTATTTGCTGAAGACCAGGCGGCTGAGTGGTTGTTTGGTGTTTATGCGGCAAAGCCTGGGACTACTAATGATGACGTCGTGGTTGATTTTAAGAACCTTGTTATAGAGTTGGGAAATTTGGACCGAATCCTACTCTACATGATGGGAAAACTGGATATTATGAGATTATATTACTAGTGACTTTCTAACGTTTTGAAGAAGATTGATTGGGTATCAGCTGTGAAGATGTGGAAAGTGATGACTGGGAGCACATAGCGTGAGCCAGACCAGGACCAGTTGACATGGCTATTCCGTATTCCTTATTCAAATAGCCAGAGTTGTCCATGGCGCGAGGTTAGGACTCGGGTTTTGGATAGGCTTCGGACGTAGATCTGGAATTTCCGGCATAATTCTGCAAGATTTTGTGGATTGGCATGCTGCCGTTACTGCGTTCGGTGATCAAGAAGTGAGAGTAGAGCAAGGTAACTCAAAGGGTATTTGCCGAGCTGGTGATATCTGTGAGTCTGCGCGTTTGGGCCTCTTGTGTGTTTACGTGTGAAGCCTTTCATCTCCGAAAACAGCGCTCCAATAATCCTTCACAGAAGCGCATATACCAACATAATCTCTCCATGAGGAGAACTTATCTTCAAGCTCACAGGCAGTCCAAAGCATCTCTTGCCAAAAAGCTCTCTCAACATCAACCTTGGAACTGAAGTCCTTGACTACATTTTCAGGAATTGTCCAAGCACGGGTGTAGGTACCATCATCGGCGAAAGCAGGGTTGACCGCGCCGTGATCGAAGACAGTAGCCGGGTTGAACTTGGGAACATTGGCATGAATAAAGAACACGCTTGGTGCTGGCGCCTCGTCGCCCCGAACTCGCCACTTGCCTTGGCTGGTTAACTTGAAGTCCTGAATGGGGTTGAATTGGGCCATTGCAGAGCCAGCCATACCACCGTAGGTACGATGACCTAGAGCACAAATCGACTCGCTGACTTGATAGAAGTGCTCTTGCATAACTGATGCAGCAGCCACGAAGGTTTCCTTATCACCTTCCCCTGCAGCGCCCTGCGACAGGAGTGGGTAGTAGTGAGACGGGCCCCAATAGTTGTAGTAAGTACAGAGCAGGAGGGTACGCGTATGGGTCTTCTTCGATATAAGTAACTCCCCGGATTCAGTTGACTGTCGCAGTCCCATTGGCGGAGCAACCTGGTCAATGATTTCGTAGAAGAGAGGTGACGCGGATGAAGCCCAAAAATCAGGCCAAGTGACCATCTTCTTTGAACGGAAAGGCTCATCCCAGAACAGATCTTCCGGCTTCTCCAATGGAAAAGAATCAGCATCGAGGAACAGGATTTCTTCGAATGAAGAGAAAAGCATTGCGAATGGCTTGTATTGGTATTTCTCGATCTTAGACGGCGCAACGCTCAGAATCCGAGATAGCACTAGACACCGCGCGTTCAGTGATGGCAACACTTCATCGCAGATATATTCCTCGTATTCATCTTCATCGGCCAGGAACACTTCCATCGGTAGCGTTGACCCTGTCCGGCGGAGCATTCGCAGCGAAATCACTAGCACGGGGAGGTAGGAACCGCCTGCGGTCGAGACCACGCCCTTTGTGCCGGGTATGTAGCTGAGTTGAGGGGGCGAGTGGGAGATGGCGCCCACAAATCTGGTATGCGCGTGTTTCATTGTGGCTACATCATTTTCCGGGACGTGGAGGTAATTCGGACGCGGCGGTGCATCTTTATATCTGAATCCTACTGCCTGGGCCTTCTCTTCCTCAGTCACCGAGGCGGTCGTGTTAGGCGCATTGTTTTCCAAGAGTGTGTGGAATTCCCGCCAAAATCTCTGGTGTAATGCTGTCAAGTCGGAGATGGGTCCGAAGGAATGGGCGGAAGTGCTGTAATTCGATGGGACGTATGCGGTACGCCATCGTGATAGGGTCCAGGTGAGAAGGATGGCGAGAGTAAATGCTGGCAACAGCGTCCGCACACGCAGACGGAATCGCCGAACCGTCATCAGAACTTGCCGATGGTCTTGAGTGTTGAGATGAATACACTCCACAGGTTAAGGTTAGGCTCGGATGCTAACCAGCGGATCACTGACGTCGAGGATGGAGCCTGGTACCTGAGGTGTTTGATGACCTGTCAGATATGGAATCTTTCTTTTATTTGACGAGAATCGTGCACAGAGGAATGCCAGACTGCCCCTTGACTGCACAAACATAGGCTTAAGGTTTTGGACACCTCGTGTCTAAGGCCGCAAGGCAGAAGTTGTACTTTTAAGGTAGTGTAGTTTACCGTATGCCATTCAACACCAGCTACATCTAGGATGTATTACAAAGTGATACTTTCAAGTATCTAGCTCTAAAAAAGCATGTGACTCGGCAGAGTAATTGCATTTGGATAAAGTACAGCATCGTATCCAAAAGCCAAACCTCAAGACAACAATCATGCGTCTCTGATCCCAGGTAGTCATCTATGGCGATCGCAAAGTTCAATTCGTTGAAGGTATAGCTCAATACTAATCTGAATTGTTCCGATAAAGGCAACACATCGCATAACGACCCCAAGGCCAGAAGACTGTATCATACCGACACTCGACAAGGGGGAGGCGCTAATCCTATTTGCATCCGTCTATCATGAAGGTAGAACTAACATCACGGATGAATATCGTCTAAGCTATTCGTATTTCATGATAAGAGCCTATCTGAGGCAGGAGGAAAATCAAAATTTAGCCGATCCGGAAATTTTGGTTAAGCAGTACGATCGCGAAGTCCAGAAGTGTATGGGCTTAGAGTCTGAACGACCCTGCTTGTGGATGCGTCGAAGAACTTGATCCCGTTTACTTTCTCCATCCCGAGTTAGCAAGAACACAGAAGCCGCAGGGCTTTTAAGAGATTGTTTAGTAAGATACGGGAGATTTGATACATGTTCGTTTAGTAACGTGAATTTGTTCCATTGGCCTCGAGCTCATGAGGGTAGGGTCTTCTTGTCCCCTCTTTGAACCTATGCCCTCATGCCCATGGTTTTGTAGTAGTCGCCGCTCGATTTCCATTATGTCTCTTCTCTTTGATAAGCAAAGGTTGTGTAATGGGTTCTTAGTTGTCCAGGTATTGAACGCGACCCCAATCAAACAAGTAAGTGGGCGCTGAGCTGCCAACGGCAGATGCTGTAATTGATCTATGTAAATGCGAACAGTCAAGCAGGTAAAGAAACATTTGTTCGGCTTTGAATGAGGGAACATGTGAAAATAGACAAGAAGTACTGACAATAAACACAGGAAAAGAAAAAGTACAAAAATGACTGTATATCCCAATTAAACTGGGATGCGTTTACTCTCATTTTGGTGCTCCTTGTTTCGGTAAAACCATAAAGGAGCCAGTCCGAATACCATGGCTAGAAGGGCCAACAATGTGTTTCCCCAGCCAAGTCCGAGTTTGCCGTACATATCCGGTCCAGAGAGTGGCACTACGCCACCAATTATGCTGCGTACAAGGTTGTTCGCGGCGAGTGCACTAGCAGAGTAGGCAGTAAAAGCTCCGACCAGGTATGTCTGGACGCTGGTCTAGATAGAAAATATGTGTTAGTATGTACGTCGCAGAAGAGAGGGGGAAAGGAAGAAACGTCTAATCTTACCATTGAACCTGAGAAACCCACGCCAATAAAGAATGTGCCAAAGATTGGAACAATCCAGTGAATGTGATACTGTGCTGTCCAGCCATAAATGATCAATCCGACAGGAAGCGCGAAGGCAGCAGGAATCAGCATCAGAAGATGATATCTGGACATAATAAAGTCAGAATTTGTGCCAAAATCAACAAATACAAGTGAAGGGAGAGAACTTACTCGGCTCTCTCAACGCCGTTGCGCTGTGTGAGTTTAGTGTGAAGCTTATCACTATAGTGGCCTAGGAACAGCTGTGTGGCACAACCCAGTCCCATCCCAAGGTATGCGAGACCAGCAACTCCTTGACTAAATCCGTATTGATGTTGGAATACCACAGTATATGAGGTAAACAGAAGGTAGATAATGCCGTAGATCAGTCCCATGTAAAGGGCCATCACAATACTGACAGGGCTGGTACAGAGCAGCTTCATTGGACGCATTATAGCAAGGAAAATAAGTTGCTGAAGAGGAAGAGGCGATTTGCTTGCGGCTTGGAGGTCGGGGTTTCCAGTCTTCTTGCGGAGTCGAGAAGCTTTTCGTTCGAGAAGTGTGGGGGCATAGGTTTCCCGCAGGAAGATGAATCCTACAATTGCTGTGATAGCACTCTGAAATATTCGATATCTCATTAGCATTTTAAAATTTTTGAGGATGGAAACTAACATACCATAATGGTCAAAAGCCAGAAGATCCATCGCCAGTCGGCAGCCTCTGACAAGAAACCGCCAGCTACTGGACCCAAAACGGGTGCAAGGAGCATGGCCAGGCTGAAAACACTCATTATACTAAACAATGGATTAGTGGGTATGAGCATGCAGTCAATTCCCAATGTACTTACAATCCTCGCTCATTTGAGGGGATAAGGTCCGCAATGGTTCCTCCGCCATTTGTCAATGGGGCACCACCCATAACCCCAGAAAGCAGTCGGAATATGAGGAGAGATGTGGCGTTTGGAGAGATTCCGCAGCATGCAGTGCAAATAGTGAACAAGACATTGCCGCCGTGGTAAATCTTGTTTCGCCCGTAAATTTCAGAGAGCGGTGCGAGCACTAAAGGTCCGAGTCCGAATCCGATGATCTAAAGGCCACTAAGGTTAGTATTTGTACCCCCGTTAAGCAGAAGTCCTGATATTTGGAAGACTGACATAGATAGAGACTGCGAAGTTCATCACCATTGATGATGATCTGAACTCATTTTCAATTTGTAAGAGCGCCGGGGCCATCATCGATGAGGCAAGCGGGCTGTGATTATCTGTCAGCTTTCGAGTTGTTTATGTTGCAAGGGATTATACAGATGCCCGACGTACGTTGTGAAGCGCATTAGGCACACTGCGCCGAGAATCTGGTTCTTTTTGGATCGAGGCCAATTCACTGGTTTCTCTGGATCATCTGGGCCGTCCCAATCTACCACTTTCAATAGACTGGCGTTTGACGATGCACCCTCAGAAGGGCAAGAAGAACTGGGTGGCAGCTCGCTGATGGTCGCCTGCTGCGGCGACATCTTCTCTGCAGACATGATAGGTGTGACAACTCGGTTGTATAGATTTGTGTCTTTTTGAAGAGTCCTTAGGAAATGTTGTAAAGAGTGTAGTATATAAAAAGAATGAAAAAGAGTATAAAGAAAGAACGTTGATTCAAGCAACAAGAGCAACAAGCCGAAAAATAAGACTATAAATGGATGCTCATTTCATACATACATCCGATACAGATGACATCGCAAGACATTCCAATGCCCGATCCCTTGCTAAAGAGTACGTCAAGCCCGCACGTAACTACATTTGTCGCCTTGTTACAGAATGGGTCTTACCCTGCCGATCAAACTCAACACTTCACCCTTTTTCATCAACTGTGCAGAGTATTTTTTTCAAGTTTCATCAGGGTGGGTTAAAAATCATATGCACCGTGTCCCGAACTCCTGGATGCTATTTGTGTATGTACTTTGATCTTCCTCGACACTTGGCATTCTCCACAAATATGAACAATAATTGTGACCGAATCCACACGATCGCGTCAACGAGGGTAGATCAGGACCCTTAGCGACCCGAATCATCAGACGCCACAACCGTCACGTAGCGTGATGATGAATTGAGCCCCTTGGCATTTCGCTTGGCATTTCTACCAGCACGAACTATTGCAACTATTCCCTGATCCACAACGGTCCGCCCACTACGGGTGGTGATCAATGATCTACATCATAAGCCTCCCTCTTTATGCGAGACACCTGCAGCGGGAGTGCACAGGGGCCTTCTAGCTGAACTTTCGCGGGTCCCTGAATGTGATCCTTACACTAGTAGGGACCACGGGATTTGACTTACGTACCCTATTAAGCACGCAAGATAATTGACTGAGTCAATATTCCACCTTGCTAATGAAAACCCCCTGAACATCATGCAAAGATCTTGGCTCCATCCGTACTTCTGCGGGTTTCTTTTACCTATCAAATTATTCCGTTCTTGACATACCATTATAGAAACACCCTGATATAGATGCTGAGACAGAATAAAGGTTGTGGCGTCAGGGATGGATCCGGGATGCTGGGATGTGTGCGCTTTGATTGGATGAAACGTATGGCAGACCCACTATCTTTGTTTTGTTTGTACCTTGCGCCGGGGAGCCTTGGACCCGGAGTTCCATAACATGCAAGGTCTGTTAGAGAGAAATATATGGAAAGAGGCAAAAGAATTAAAGCATATGTACTCAAACAAGAGGCCGTTATTCAAGCGTTCATTTGCCAATGGCAATTATTTACATGCGTAGTGAGGCCACAAATATTAATATGTGCTCTGTCACAGCAGCACAGCAGCAAAGCCTGGTCAGTTATCTCTATCATCTGCTGAATAGGGGTTCTCGTCTGACACATCACCATCACGCCCACTTGGAAGGGGTGAGATCGACGACGTTGGAGAAAGAGACGACCACGATGGAGATCGAATCGGGAGATTCAAGCCCAGCCCTTTCACTCCTGCAGATCCATTTCGAGGGCCCGGTCCAGGACGCTGGCCATTGACAGGGGACCTGGAGTCGGGACGCAGGCCAACTCGGGTAATTGCGCGTCGAAGCATCTCACCCGAAGAATCTAGAGCTATGAGGAAGCGGGCCAGCTCAGCACACAACTCCCAGTCCCCTTTTTGCGAAGCCAAGCCGATCAAACGCACGACATATTCCTCGATGCGCCCATCGTGGCCCTGCTCCTCGTCCTCGAAAGCTTGCAATACGAGAAGATATCCAACCGCAGTTTTGAGCGAGTCAAGTCTCAAGGCTTGTTCGAACAAGTCCTTTGGCGGGGGCAGATAAGCGAACAATGTACGCCATGATCGCAGCTCTGTTTTGCGTGTGCATTGCACGACGATGTCAAGATATTCCCTGATGGGGAGGGACGCTTGGAGGAAAGCAATAACGGTTGGGAGCAGCGGCTCTTCGCGTTCCGCTGGGTTGTCGGATTTGCTGGCCTTGCTCTCGTTATCCACTTCGTCATCCAGGACGTGGTGAAGCAAGATTTCCAGGCCATGAGCAAAGTAGGACAAATGAGAGAAATGGCGGCATAGTGACAGAGCAGCAGGTGTTCCAAAGGTTGTAAGGCCATACTGTAAGAAATACGGCAGGAAAAGGTGGGTCTGAGGCGCATGTTAGTAAAAAGGAGTATAATTGATGGGGGAGGGGGTGTGTAACTTACTCGAATGGCGAACTTCAAAACGGTGAATGTCACATCACGTCGTTGCATCATCTCGGACTCAACTCCGAGCACAATACCTTTGTTCAACAACACAGACAGTGGATAGAAGTCAAGGGGAATGTGGAGTGGGCCCGGCACCGTCTCTTGTTGTAAAACATCTTGTACATCATTCCAAGCGAGCAGGTCTTTGCCCCGGAACATCCAAAGGGAGTCCCTGAGAGACAAACTGCTGGGAGATGGCTCAAGTGTCATCCCCGCAGAGGGACTGGGAGGCAGGGATTCATCAACCTGCGGGGCAAAGTTGAATGAAAGCTGGTCGCGCATCAGAATATAATATTCCACATCATGAGATACCACGCGCATGTCATATTTTAGTCCGCCTGTTTCGGACACCATGGGCTGCAGCAAAACCAAATTGCCATCCACAAGGAGAAGCACCGATGCGACTTTGACATCTTGAGATGGATCGCCATTTCCTGCTTTCCCTTTAGTATTTCAATCGATACCCCTCCATTGAATAAGAGAACTCACGCATTTGTTCCTCAGGCAAAACCCAGCTGATTGCTCGCACACGGGATGGCGCTCGAACAATCCCGTTGAAAGCGATCTGCCCAACAGGAACAAGAGTAATTTGGGAGTGTGTTGTATTGATGATGTAATGATAGAGAATATTATCGAATGTGTAGACCAAAAGAGAATCTTCTCCAGAGGGTCCGATGAACACAACTGGTGATGGGAGATATTCAGTGAACATGATGGAATTGTTGCCGTTGCCGAGAGAAGCTTCGCGCGAATAAAGGCGCACCTACAAGATGTCAGTCTTCAGTGGAATATCTGTATATCAAATATTTGGCATACCTCATATGAGCCGTCACTCTCAACCGCTGCAATCAGTATGTGACCATACCAGCACATCCCTCCTCGCACAGCAAATGAGTTCTCGGCATTAGAGTCTTCGAAGACCTTCCATCTACCACTATTCACGCTGTAATGGGCAAGGCCGCGCCGACCGGCGATTGCAACATATCGTCCATCCTGGGACACAACGCAAGCTTTAATCGGCCACTGAGAATGAAGATATGCTGGAGGATACTGGGCATGGTGCCAAAGGGAATCCTTTCCAGAAATTGTCATAAGATCCGGCATATCGTGACCACGATAGAGAATGAACTCGGTTCCAGTCTGCAGCAGACCTCGGGCCAAGTTTGCAGAAGAAAAGCAACCAGTCAAAGCACTGCGAGCGGTCTCCAAAATCCACAAGCGGCGATCGTTCTGCCCAGAGAGAATGATGTCTGAGCCACCGCCGATCCAGCAACCATTCGAAATGCCAGTCAGCCAATCTTCTGTATTCGTTGTTGCCAGCGCAGGGTCTGCCGAAAAGCTGTTCCCTCCAGGTTTCCCAAAGACACTCCATGTTGTCCAGCCATGTTCATAGCCTGCAAACAGACAATATCCGTCCGGTGAATAACTCATAAAAGACAAGGACCCGGTCGTTGTTGGCGAGGCTGGCAGCTGGAGCTTCTGTGAAAAGGGAACATTGCCCATGTAATCTTTCGCAGTGTAGACCCAGACTTCGCCGTTGGTGCAACTCACGGTTAGCAGAGAAAAGCGAGCATTCACTGCCACCTTCAATGCCTTATCACCGTCATGCTTCGGGTCATGGAAACAATGTCCGTGGAAAAGCTTCTTGGCTGCTTCAGAATCCTCTTGCGCCCCGGATTCTCGTTGCACGGCATATGCTTGGCCACTGCTCGTAATCCATATTAAAAGGTTCATTGCGCGGTCATATACCATCTCCACGATAGAAACCTTCTTTGATATCCCCAGTATGCGGCTCAGAAGCTCCGATGTAGTCTGTGTTCCACCTGCTTCAGGAGTCCATCGAATACACTGTATGGCCGCTGGTTTCACGGTGGCTACAACGAGTTCTTGATCCAGCGCCAGCGCCTTGACGATCCCCGATTCGATCTTGATGGCCATTCGGAACCGGATGCTGATGCTCTTAACCACATTAGCTTCTTCAACCGCTGAAAAGCGAGCCAGTTGCTGGCGACGATGATGTGTAGAATGATCGAATCGCTGCTGGTAGACTGGAGTCGTTGTGTCAGACGCCACCGAGTATGTCAGGAGGTATCCATTGAGAGTCTGTACAACGAGAATTGTTGAGTCCGGATGCATGAGAAGGTCGACATTGGGGCCGTATGTATTCAAGGAGAACCTGGATCTAGTGACTGCTGCAACAACTGCTGTGGGCTGTCACAATTATTAGTATCAAAGCCCAACTCCCCCGCCATAAACACCATGATTGTGAACATACTCGGGTCTGCCAAAGAGCAATGGATGTCTCTGTCATTGTCGCAAAGATTTGACCAGCTCTGGACACGCAAACACCCTTGATGGTTTCATCTTCCCATTTGGATGTGCCCGCGTCGGGGGATGGTTCAGTGCCCGCCTCATTTTGCTGTGTGTCCGGGATTCCTTGCTGAGCTTCATCATTCTCGTCATCGTTCAATGGGTTGGTACTGTCGCTGGTAGAGGAGGCATCGATTTCACGATCTTCGTATGAGGAGACATAGGGAATGTCGGGCCCGTTGACCGCATAGACCCGGGGTACTCCATGAGGCCAGTACATGGCTCACTTCAGGATCACGGGTTAAGACTGGCAATGGAGCTCACATGGAGTCATATCCAGTCAGGTAATAATTGTCAGAAGTGTAGACAGTCACCCCCCAGGTGAACATCAAACTGAAAACAACAGTCCAAACAGCTGGGGAAAACAGACCGCGGCCGATAAGCAGCGATCACGTGCTGGAGCTTGTCCCCCGCATTGCCTTACCTGTTTTTTTCCCTCTCCGTCTCCTAATTGAATTCCCCCCATTTAAAATCTCTGGAAGAATCGCTATCATGGTAGGTTACCAACGGTGCTGGACGCCACATCGAGCTGACAATAACACCTAGGCCCCAACAGAGAGCAAGAAGCGCCTGGCTTTGGCCGTCATCGATTTCCTAGGCTCCAGCCTGAAGGACGGCACCCTTACGGCCGACGATGCCGAGTCGATCGAAATCGCCCAATCCTGTATCGCCGACACCTTCAAGGTTGATCCTACCGATGAGGCCGCCGTGAAGGATGCCCTAGGCGGACAATCTCTTGTCGGAATCTATAGTGTCTACGAGAAGCTGCGCAACAAGTCAACCCCGCAATCGACCGAGGCAGGAGCTCAACAATCCCAGGAAAAGCCCAAGGCTGGTGTTCCGACACCCGAGTCCGATAAGCTGAAGTCCGAGGGAAATGCTCTTATGGCGAAGAAGGATTACCCCGGTGCCATTGAGAAATACACCCAGGCCCTCGAGATTGCCCCCGCCAACCCGATCTATCTCTCCAACCGCGCTGCCGCCTATTCGGCCTCTGTGCAGCACGAGAAGGCCGCAGAGGATGCGGAGCTTGCTGCTGCCGCCGATCCCAAGTACTCCAAGGCATGGAGCCGACTGGGTCTCGCTCGCTTCGACATGGGCGACTACCACGCCGCCAAGGAGGCTTACGAGAAGGGTATTGAGGCCGAAGGCAATGGTGGCAGTGAAGCCATGAAGCGCGGTTTGGAGACATCCACCCGGAAACTCGAGGAGGCCAGCCGCACCAGCGAGCCTCCTTCCGAGGACATTGACACTGCCCCTGGTGCCTCCCGTGGTGGTGGCATGCCCGATCTGTCTTCCCTGGCTAGCATGCTTGGTGGCGGCGGTGGTGGTGCCGGTGGTATGCCTGACCTGGGCTCCATGATGAACAACCCCATGTTCGCCAGCATGGCACAGAACCTAATGAGCAACCCCGATATGCTTGGCAACTTGATGAACAACCCCCGTCTCCGCCAGATGGCCGAAAACTTTGGCCAGGGTGGTGGCATGCCTGACATGTCTAGCCTGATGAGTGATCCTAACCTTGCCGATATGTAAGTCAATCAAAGCGTCAAATTCCGAGTGTCAATATACTAACGTATAATCCACAGGGCTCGGAACATGATGGGTGGCGGTGCGGGCGGCGCTGGACGAGGTGGCCAGAACTAATCCACTGGCACATCGAATGATTGATGGCATGAAATTGAAAGACCCAATCTGATATACCATGTAGCAAAGTCAAATTTCAAGCGTTCTTTAAGAAATACAATTCCTGGCACATGCCTCTCGGTCAGCTTAGGAGGGAAACTATATCCTATTGTACAAGAATGTCTGATAGAACCACGGAGCCAAATGAGTAAATCTTGGGAGGCTTCGCTTCTTCTACAGTAGACAAGAAGGCGCAGGTCACAGAATGCAAGTCAAGAATCTTATTTTTCTATATATTTACATGATTTCAAGACGCTTCGTAACGTTGCAGCCGGCGCTCGGCTTGTGATGATCCAGGGCGCAAACCTGACAACAGAAACCAAAACCAATAACCCAATGCAGTCATACTGGGTGGCGAGGGGAGAGTGGAAACACAATGCAAAAAGACGCCAGCAGAACACCTCAGGATCCAGAGAAATGCCATCAGATAAGATCCAACGCGCGTCCTAGTCTATAGAAAGGATGAAAGATTCAGTCCTGAGCGAGCCTAGTTATGTCTTGAGAGAGCAAGACCCTAGGCGAACAGGCCAAAAATCAACCGGGGCGGGTGAACAACAGGCCGAATGAAGGATTAATACATGAAAAAAAGAAAATCTCATTAGCCAGCGAAGACCAAAATTGCAGTCACTGGAATAAGCATAACCGTAAAGAAGTGCCAGGTCGACCAGGCTTGATATCGAACAGTCATATTGTACAATTGAAGGTGTGGGATCAAGATGCGAGAAGAGGTGAAATCCACAAGAGAATATGTGGGCGGAAGGGGAGGAAGGAGGCAAAGGAGATCGAACAGAGGCTATTGCACAATTAAATGTAATCGCGCGCGGCCTTCTGCAGCTCGATCAATCGCCAACCCCGAGTTTCAGGGTTGTTGACCTCATCGGGAATACGGGTCAGGCCAATGGCGTAAGTGACTAGCTGAACCTTGTCCTCCATACCGGCGGCAAGCTCGCCGGTCTTGACCTTGCGGTAAACATGGATTTCCTGGGTCCGGCAAGTGACGACGAACACCGGGATGTCACCCGGGTCCAGAATACGGGCATGCGAAATGTCAACGCCACGAATATCGAGGATGCGACCATCAGACTTGAGGCCGGCGGTGGTGTATTGTTGGGCAAGGGCAGCGTAGACGTGGTACTGAGCATCCGAGAGCCAAAGCTTCAGAGTCTCAACGTCTCCCTTGACGTAGGCATCGAGGACTTCGGGGAGCATGTAATCGCGCATTTCCCGCAGGAACGGCTCCATCTGGAAGTTGGGATCGATCTCCCGGAACTTCTTGATGACCTGAGCGGTCTCGTTCTCAGCGAAGAAGCCTCCGATCTTGTCGGAAATGCTGCGGGCTGTGCTGATAAGGGGGTTCTCGGACTCGTTATAGGTTTCCTTCATGCTGAAGAGCTTCTGCATCATGGGATTGGAGTCCTTGAATTCACGCCACGAGTCCTTCCAGGCAGCGTCCTTGTGGATGGTGACGTTGGTACCGGCGCTGGAAGTAAATCAGTCAGACATGTACCACTTGGACATGGGATTATCAAAACTTACTTCGGATCCTCAATCATCTGGTCAACGTGACGAATCTTGCCAGACTTGAGCTCCTGTGCCTCCCGACGCTGTCGCTCCTTGCGGCGCTCCTCCTTTTCAACCCAACCACCGTAGCGGGAACTGCTACCATCATCAATTGCATCCTTGACGCTCTTGTATGCCTCGGTCTCACGAACAGGTCGTGTGGCCTTCTCGAGTCCCTCTCCGGTTGCATTGACACCCTTGCGAACGCCCTTGACGACGGAAGTGTTCCACGTCCAAGCAGCTCCCTTTCCAAGAGCCTTACCGGTGGTCTTGAAAGCCGCTCCGGTTTTGCTTGTAGCAGCTCCCGAGGCAGCGTCATAGGCAGCACGAGCACGTCTGACGTTCTCGTTCTCGGTGAACTGGTGGGCTGAGGATGCCAGCGCCTTGGTAGACTCTTCCCATTCTTTGGAGGCTTTGAACTCAGACTGCAAAGTCTCACGGAAAACCTGCCACGGGGACTTGTCTCCGTGAGGTGGTGGCGGAGGAGGTGCCTCTTCCTTTTTCTTCTCCTTTCCTTCTTCTTTGGATTCCTCGCCCTGTGATTCAGACTTGGCACCCTCGCTCTGCTTCTCCTCGCCCTGCTTTTGCGATTGCTGCTGTTGCCAAAGGGAGGTTGCGACGTGGAATGAACGTGTCAACGGGAGGGCGGCGAACGGCGAGAGGATTTGAGAGACGGTGTGAGGTGCGGGTTGGATAATGGCCCGGGAGGACCTAGGAGACAGGACTGAGGTTTGAGCTGAGATGGTCGAATATAACCCAGCGCGAGTCGACAACCGCTGGGAGGATCTGAGAATCGGTGCCTGAGACCGCAGGGTAGCGGCTCGCGTGGCGGCAGGCATCTTGGCCGGAATCATCTGTGGTAACAGAGAAGTATGAGGTGGAAAAGGATAACGGAGATGAAAGATGGAGGTAAAATCTAATATAAAACACGGGGATTCCAGCCCAGCCTGGACGCGATATGTTGAGTGGTGAAGGAGGCGAAGAGATCGGGGAAGGGAAAAAGTCGAGATGCCAAGACTTCGAAAAACTTCCAGCGTTCCCTCTGTTCGGTCCGACAACGGGACCTGCGACAACACCCGGAGTTCACGGTTAGGCACTCCGGCACTGTTCAATCTCTATTCAATTGTTATTTTTGCTGTTCTCTTTACGCCCTTCGGAATCCTTGTTACTGCGCACCGTCGCCATGAGCTCCTTTTCGATGAGCGCGTTGACCAAGGCTTTGCCGTCGGTATGTCGCCAATCTCAGCCTCGAATTCACCCATTGTGTATCACACGTCCCTTTTCGCTGTCTAGCTCTCGACAAGCCCCACGGGGCGATCGTGATGAAATGCAAAGACAGATGCTGGGTCGAGACTCGAAGGCACCCTCCGACACCTCATCGCCTTCATCGCCATTGTCTGCAATCACGCAAATGATGCAGGGCGAGAGGGCCCCTGCGCGCCGTGACAGCTTCAGAATGGCCGAAAGCTTCGAAGCCGATGTGATTAAGCACCCCTACGCCGACCAAGCCCCGGCTCACCACCTGCACGTCTACTGCCACAAGCACAACACAATTCTCACCTTGACACGGCCAAACGGCAACCCTATTATGTCAATTGGATGTGGCCAGATTGGCTTCCGCAAAGCTGGCCGCTCTGGATTTGACCCGGCATACCAACTGTCCGCCCACGTGCTAGGCCAAATCAAGGAGAAAGGCCTCCTGATGGAGATCAAGCGACTAGAAGTTGTGTTCCGGGGGTTTGGAAAGGGCCGAGAGGCATTCACAAAGGTTCTGCTGGGCAATGAGGGACGATTCATCAAAGGACTTGTGGTGCGAGTGACCGATTCCACCCGACTCAAGTTCGGTGGTACCCGCAGCAGGCATGAGCGTAGACTGGGATGATCTTTCAGTCTCAAAAGCATAATTTTTTCCCTCGCCGGTGAAGAGGTCATTATTTTGGTTTCATTTGGCTTCTTGTATACAGCCAAACTGTACTGGATTGCATGGTATGGGGAAACCCGAACAGCCTTTTTCCTTGTTCTTTACTTCTTTTTTTGTTTTCAAATGGGTGTATGTCGGTCGGCACCTACTCTGTATATTAGAATTCTGTTTCAGGAATACAAGCCATCCATCTGCAAACTGCATACAAACAGAACGGCTCACTTCTGGTTCCTTCGTAAATTGGAGTCCCAAATACCATAGTCAGGTCACCCGGGCAATTCCATGGTGAGGAAGAGTGCGAATTATTTATAATATGTGTGGTAGCCTTGGAAGCAAGATAGGAAAGGTCACTGAGTTACGTCCACTTTGCAGATATGTTTATATATGTATCGGCAAGGCAAGTTTTCGTTTCCTGAAATCCAGAACATCAATCCGGATAAGGCTCTTTTCTGGACAGCTGTAGGCTTGACCAACTAGTTAAAGATATCTACAAACTGAAGTCATTTAAAAACGCGTTTTTACCACCGGATCTGTTTTGATATTGTTGTTTTAGAAACATAAGTTATAGGTTACAATGCACCATCTCTTAAGTACGGTCCAATAGCTTAAGTCTCATGGTAAAACGAGTTCATCATATCGCCAGTCCTCATAACATGCTTTACAGACCTACAAAGCCGAACATGACATGGGAGTGCTGAACAAACATGTAGGTGGGCCCGGAGATGATTTGTTGCCTCAGGCTCCCGAGAGGGATACTTACCTAATAAAGTATAGCGCCCATCAGCTCGTCGATCACGTTCTCGAATCACCCTGGGGCTGCTGCTTTATCACTCTTTCTGCTTGCCTCGGCGCTTTGATTGTCTTGTTTGCTGTGATTTGGCATTGTGCTTTTGCTGAAATTGTTCCAAAAGTTCCATCGACGCGCTCTGACCTTATACCCAGGTTGCTGCCTGCAGTTGCATGCGCCGAAGCTCTTCCCCGCGAAATTACACCGCGCACATATCCCCAACTCCGGCAAGCTGAGACCGACGGCTTGATGATTGCTGGAGTTTCTCGACTGGGCCGTCCAAAACCGTTTGGATGCACCCTCTAAACCCTTTTCTCCGTGCCTTCTTTCGAAGCACTGTCCCGGGCCAGTGTATACCGGTTGGGAACCATGTAGGTGGAGACCGTTAATCAACCAGCGGGTCGTCCGGAGTGGCTAATTGATATTGTGTGCATTCATCAGGTCTTGCTCGTACCCACGACGGATTGTCTCATCGGTTCACGCGACCGGGAATCAAACTTGCTGTATTCTGATCTCGTCGCATCGGAGGAATTTCTAGGGAGTCATGTGTTGCGCATCCCCATCCATACCGGCTCTGCAAAAGAAGACAACAATGTGCGGGATAGTCGAGGGAAGGCGAGACAGGTTACGACATTTAATGGCAGGACAGTGATCATTAAGGACAACTCGGTATACAGCAACAAAGGTAACAAGTCCTTAAAGGTGAACGCGGTGACTTCTGCTGACAATGCTACGACACCAGGATTCAAGTCACTGACACAAGCTCAACTTCTGTCCGATGCGCTATACTACACTGCGTCCAATGAGTCGCGGCCATGGCTCATTTATTACATTTCTCGCCCGCTGATCGGAACGTATGATTCAGCAAGGATCATACCTGCCGCAGTGCCTGGAACCGGAAGCAGGGCCATTGAACCTAGCACGGCGGACAAAAAATATGGAAATGGGGATTCAATGGGAACGCCACAAAAGCAAGAGATTAGAACTTTTGGTGAACTGCTTGCCAACTTTCCAATGATTGCCCGACAGATGCAGCCTGGTCTCGAACGATTATTCCGCGAATTTGGAAAGGAGCTTGGAAAACCGCTACCGCCTCCTCCTTCACGATCGCCGTCTGCATCTGGCAGTGAGCGTATGCACAAGCTCACCCGCACCGAGTCACTAACGGATGAAAGCTCTTCTATCCGCAGTTGGTCGTCACGCAGCAGAGGACGACTGCCTTTCAATTCGGAAGAATACTTCGAAGACGATGAAGACCTTATGCGCCGAAGCTTAGAGACTGCTGTCACTGCGGCCATTGATCTATTTCGTCTCGTTGACAAGCAACAACTATCACTGCTCGGCGCGACCACCGACCTCACTGGCCCTGTAGTCGAACGTCTCATAGAACGCTATGTCGCCGAGCAAGTTCACGAGCCCTTACTTTTCCCTCGTCTTTGTTCCTTCCGCCAGCCAGAAGACACAGAGTTGGACTCTCGAATACGACAGATGGAGAGCATCGATGTGTCCCAGGTTGGAATCTCCGTGGAAGGTGGACGTGCAGGCAAACGAGAGTTGATTCGGCGACTGGGGCGAGGTGTGGATGAGTTTCGGAAGATCAACGAGGCCCGGTGTCCTCATGATATGCTGAGTACTCTCCTTGGAACTGTCAAAGTCATTTCCTACCCAGGAAGCTATGATCAGCTGGACGGCCCAGCGTCCGAGAAAGGAACTTCTTCTGTCACGATCAATGCCGATGTTCTAGTCTCATTGTTGCTCGTTGTTGTGATTCGATCCCAAATTAGACATCTCCAAGCTCGGTTGCTGTATATGCAGCACTTCATCTACATCGATGATGTCGATAGCGGTGAGATGGGCTATGCTCTGAGCACTTTCGAGGCGGTTTTGATGTATCTTGTGACCGATTCCGCAGGGCTACGTCGCGCCAGTGCTCGAAACCGACGTCTATGGCAAGCCACCAAAACAGGCAGATTATCTGATATGAAGGCCATTTTGGAACCAAACGAAGACCACGAGTCAGAAGATGACATCACTCCACCGGAGCCAGAGCGGAAGTCTGTGTTTTTCCAGACAGATGACACTGATGAAGCAGAGGAACTACCACTTGAAAACTCTTTCACCAATCACATCAACAGCGGAACACACCAAGAGGAAGCCATTGTCGATACACCGCCATTGTCACACGTATTTCCATTCCAGACATGGGATGATCCTTCAATCCTCCAAGAACCTCATCGATCAGTCAAAAAAGTGTCAATGGATGTTCGCAGCATGTCAGAATCATCAGCCATCTCATTCATCTCCAGGACAACCACTGTTGGTTCGATGGCGAGTGGAATCGAGGGTGATAGCTCAATTGAGACTTTAACCAAAACCCAAGACCCTGCCGGTGATTCCATACCAATGATGGCAGTAGAGGGCCGTCAGCCTGAGGCTTTGAGATACTTGTTGACTCTGGAGGAATACTTCCCATTGGAAGAGATTCTCCAAGATACTAATGCCAATGGGACGACACTATTGAATGCTGCGGTGCAGCTAGCTCACAACGAGATTGTTGAGATTCTTTTGGACTTTTTGTTCGCAAAGACAGACGCAAATGTGGTTGCGTTCTATTTGACCAAATCCGATGTTCATGGCCGAACTGTCGCCCATTATCTGTTCAGCACACCCTCTCTGCTGGCCCGACTCGGTAACATCGTTCCATGGAGACTGCGAGACAAGCACGGACAAACTCCGCTCTTCGCACTTTGCCGATCCTATGATCATCCCGAGTATAAATCCATGGTCCAAGCTGCTTTGACTGCAGCGCAACAGTCGCAAGGTGATAACAAACCACTTCAATTGGATGACCATGTCGACGCCAAAGGGAACACCTTATTGCATATTGTTGGCGACCCAGAGATCACAAGAAGGATTCTCCAGGAGAGCGACTGTGACCCCAATGCGACAAATGACAAGAGATTCACACCATTGATGATGGCCAGCAAGTACGGGCGAGTCGATCAAGTTCGCATTCTATTCCTAGACCCAAGGGTCGATGTTCATATCAAAGAGGCCCGTGGTTTGACGGCCGTTGAACTAGCCAAAGATGATGAGGTACGAAATCGCATCGACGACTTGATTTTGTTGTCCCATCCCCCATCTGCCTGTGGGGACCCTTCAGGCCGTGTCACGACTGTCGTGCGATCATTCTTCGTGGAAGATGCAACAGTACGCTTCATCCTCAAATCCGGGGCTCCTTATCCTCCATCCGAATCAGTGGCATCTTCACGGCCTGGATCAACAACATACACGGTTACGACTTGTCGTCGCAATTTCTCGGATTTCGAGAATTTGGCCAAGTGGCTTGCAGTGGAACATCCAGCGTCTTATATGCCATCTCTTTCGGATTTCCGAAATCCATTTCAAATCCATTCAAAGCCATCGCGGTCCGTGCTCCATGATCTACAGGAAAGGCTCGACCGTTTCCTCAAGACGCTCTTGACCCATCCAACCTTTTCGACCCATGAAATGCTGTGGGAGTTTTTCCTCGTTCCAGAGCTTCAACCTGAAATGGTGGCCGATCGTTCTCGCCGGAAGGCAGCAGTGCTCACAGAAACAATCGCCGATGAATACCCGCCTGTTTCGCTGGATGGAATGCGCGATACCGAGCAGTTCGTCAACCACGCCCAGGAGATGGTGCGCGGAGTGCACGCAAATACGCGCAACCTGATCCGCCGTGGACATGCGCTGCACAATGGAGCATCAGATCTTGCTGATGCCGTGATGCTATGCTCATCTGCCCTCGCAACTCTCCGAGAGCCCACCAATGCGCTTCCCGTATCGCATATAGAGGCCTTCGCCCGATATGCCACATACCTATCGACCTCAAGGTCGGACTCCTCCCCTCTCCTGCAGTATATTGCCGCTCTTTCCTCAGTCGACAACACAACTGCCGCAATTCTTGAATCTCTCTCCCGTCCACTATCTCTCATGTCCTCCCTCTCCTCAACAACCCGCAACATTTCTCGCTCACGCTCCTCCCTCCTCTCTTCGTCCCTTCCCCGCAAGTTCAACCTCAACCTACCCGGTTTTGAAGAATCTCGTCAAAAGTCCGTCCGCGACTTGGAAAAAAAGATCCGCGACGGTGAATCCGAAGCGACTCGCCTCGCGAAAGAGGTGTCATGGAACAAAGATGTAGTAGTCAGCGAGCTGGCTGGCTGGACCTCATGGCGTGAAAAGGTTGGCCGTGATGCCATACGTGCTTTTGTCAAGGATACTCTTGTTCGTGAAAAGGAGCGTGGGAAACGGCTTGAACGCTGCCTGCGCAGTGTGCGTGAGATGAATACTTGAACATGATTGATACATCATAGATCTCAATGAGAGGTTTTCCCTCATTTCTTGCTAGCTTTCCTTTTTTGGTTTGTACATCTCATGGCGAGCATGTGTTTGGATATTTGCTTTTCGTTTTTCTGTCTCATTTTCTTTGTTGGTTCTCTGTCTGATGCCTCTGGGTTCCGGAATAGCGAGGCGCGTGGCGATGTCCCAATGTATCATCTCGTTCATAGCTTAAGTCAGAAACTATTCAATCCAAGACAATGCTCTTGCCACGTCAATGGCTATCTATTTGACTACTAATGCAACAATCTATGATTACACGGGATAAGTACCGCCTCTACTTGAAGAAAATCAGCTGTGCTCCACCAAGGGTTGTGTTACTGATCTAATTGACGAGCCTACCGATAGGTAGTGAAGACATGAGAGCATCACACATGTTCTGGTCGACTTAGTCAATAATCTGGTCAAATTCTCAATTAATCCATCTCTTCTTAATCTATCCGCCAGAGTCTCGTTCCACTCTGTTTAATGCTCTCGATTGTATAGTACTTGAAGCCCTGGCCATCCCTGTACTCCTGAAGAACCTATTGTATCACCGATCCATAGAAACGATATCTTCAATGACACCTTCCAGAATAAAATCTGCCTGTCTAAGAGCCGAAAGCATCCCTGACCACTCATCGGGATGGTCTCCAACAGTCGGTATAGAGATACAACTCTAACTCGGTAATATTTGTTTGTGTCAGAAATGACCGCCATTCGCCTATGGATTTTTTCAACCGTTAGATGTAACATTGTGATGCGGTAATTTAAATATTTAACTCGTTCTTCCCTCAAGTAATTCCCTCGTCCTATGCGATAGTATCATTCTAAGACATTCAAGTTATAACACATATGACTTCCCAAAATCAATATCATCCACATAAAGCGGCGGAAACCTGCTATATAACCATAGTTGCATATGGTGAAACGGACTTCGATGTATGGCAGAGTTCGCTGTGGCTAACCAGGAATAGGGCGGGATCCACCCACCATTTAGTCAAGGGAAATGTAGCTAACTATACATCAGCTAGAAGAACACTATCCAGACAAAAGCTATGAATACCATAAAGCCTCACTATTTGATCGTGGTATCCAAAAATCTCTCCTGGGGGCCAGCAGCGTCTCGGGTTCGATCAAATCTTTGCATTTACTAGTATCTACCAGTGCCCTTGATTTGCTACAGTACAAGGACCCGAGAGAGATATTGGTTTTATAGAAGTAGAATCTGAACAACAATAACGAAGGCACCGAAAAAAATAAAGACTCTGCTCAAGCCTTCCAAGTTGTGGCGACAACAGAAAGAATAAGCATGATCACACTTCAATCCTCCACCGTGAAATTATAGTCAATAGCCAACAATTGAAAGGAGAAGTGCACGAGGAAATTTAGATTTGAATCCTCAGCCTTGGGAGAACCCACAGAAAGGGTATGGTGCCTGAGGAGTCTGAGAAGTGGAAGAAAATTGCCGAGAACGACGAAACTCGACCGAAGCATTTCTTAAGACCGAGGAAACGGGAGAAGGAGGAGTTGCATCAGCACAGGTCTTGGGTTCTCCCGTCCGAAAGCCTAGAATGTTCCGCGTCATTGAACATGTGGACAACAGACTGCAAAGGGCCCTTGACTGACAGGCGATTGGAAGCAACAGATGCGTGGGAACGACGGGCTATGCCGGAGGGCTGCGTGATTTTGAACCGTCAGTGGGGCTCTGATTCATATGCGAGCAGATTGAATCTCGACTGAAACGAGAGCCACAGCCAGCCTCGGTGTCGCCAGATGTTGTGGTCCACAAGAGGGAGGATCGGTTTGTTGGGCTCACAGCGGATGGAATCGATGCTCTCGGAGTAGAGCTCGTCGAACGCTGAATCGAGTTGCTTCGAGATCTCTACGATCGCCTTTGTATTAGCTGTTGCTCTCAGTTCTTACCAGAATACTTTAGGATGATACTCACATTACCAAGGGTACTCGCCGATGCATTCCAACTGGTGCGATAGACTTCAGCCAATGAGTTTCGGTGTTCTGAATCGTCAAGGACGATAGTAACAGACGGAGAGGGGCTTCTGCTGAACATGAGGGATGTCCGCTCCGGGTCGGCATCTTTCACGAGAAAGGCATCGATGCTTTTGCTTGTCCTAGCAAGCGAGACTGTGGAAAGACCAAAGTGATCTGATTCGCGGCTGCCACGATTCCGGAGACGTCGAGCCTGACGAGCTCGTCGAATGTACCATCCCAGCAAGAAAATCAGTCCAGCCAGTGTAAGGGTTCCGAGAATAACGGCTCCGGCAATGGAGAGCTTGTAATACCTCCATTTCCCAGCTGACCGATTGTATACCGCTACAGGATCGGCGAGAGAAGACATGTCCTGGATGAGTCGTGAATGAAGTTGGAAAGACATAATCTTTCTTACAGCACCCTCATCATAGCGGGAAAGAGCCAACAGCCTCATATCGAGTCGCCACCCCGAAGAACTCTGAAATTATTTGATTCTCTGTTATGGCGTGGTTGGTAAATATTGCGACCTACAAGAAAGAATTTAATGAGAAGTCTCATGGCTTGGTAGAGGCTTACGAGTAGTATGTTGTGTGCACTCGAAACATCAGGCAATACAACGTATCATAGATGCGAGAAATCTCACAATGGCCACTACTGTATTTGCGAGAACTGCGCAAGGCAGTTACTGCCAGTTTTTGGATAGCTCACACAAGTAGATTGTCTATAGCCCTTCTGTAACTAAAGGAAACTCATGCCACTCAATGCGAGAAAGCATGATAGCTGGCAGCGGCGTTCTAACTTTTGCGCGGTCTCAATTTGCTTCGCTTAACTACATAAGCCGAGAGAGCATCGATCAATAAGTCCTTAATATTTGTACCTAGCAGGTTGCTGAACTGAAGGAAGGACATGAAGATCTCAAATAAAAAGACAGGGACCTGCAAGGTCCGGAGCAGGGTTGGTAGTTAGCTGGACTCAGATGTGAAGTGTGATGGTATAACTTAATCAATATGAAGGCTGGGTCGCAAAACCCGGCCCAGAAAGCTGAAATACCACGTTGGCTCGCCGTGGAAAATGCGATAAGAACCGTCGTTTTCATCGTCTGAGTCGCGGGCATCTTCCGCCAGTACTCGGAATCTCGTTTAGATGGTTCTTCATGCAATCCAAGCAAAGACCATTGAAATATCCATGAAATTTGTTCGGTGTCTTCCGAGCAACATTCGACCAGACAGATGTGCTCGAAGTACATAAGGAAGTGCGTGCGAAGTGGAATTTGCGCGCCATTTTGGCGGGTCGTGGCAGATATAAGCTTTCCAGGTCTTATTGCATGCCATATCGCGAGGATTTGAGAGATGGGACAAACCATGTTATTTTCAGCGAGGTAACAAACGTGTATTATGACAGAGATCTTCAGGGAACAATATATACTAGGATAGTATCAAAGTCTGAGGAGAATAGATGAGGAATCCTAGAGAGAGTTGAATAGAAGCATGGATATAAAAAGACACAGAACCACAGAACCAACAGATAAAAGATGTAGACTAAAAGCAAATCAAGTAGGTATAGATCCGAAATGACAGACTTCACAGGGTGAGACATCGGATTAAATTCTTTACCCCGTGAGACGATGAATCAACCATAATATTCCGCCAACCAAGTTCGCAAATCCCCAACCGTTGGGTATTCTAAAAACAGGCTCCCGCTGACGGAAATTCCCAACTCCTCTCGTAGCCGTTCAGCGATGACCAAACTCATCAAGCTGTCGACGCCGAGACTAGCGAAAGTGGCATCATCTGTCAAATCAGACGGCTCCATAGCGGCTTCATGAGCCACCAGTGCTATTGCTTTACCAACAGTACTACCCGTAGAAGAGCTGCCTATTGCATCGACAGCCAGTTGTTGAAGAGGCAAACCTTTTGCCGGAGCAACCATTGAGCTCTCTTTCATTGGGGATTCTGCGGCTGATTGTGAGCCCCCGTTTGATCTGATGACTTCTGCAGCAGACGAAGAAGAAGGAAAAAGCCCCGAATGAGCAAGCTTGCCAGTATCGGGAACATTCGCACCACTCGTGAGACTGGATCTGGTATCGGGAGACGAAAAAAAGCGATTCAGTAACATGCGGGGGTAGCGACGGAACTTCATAGCCTGCATGACACCCACAATTTCGTCGCCTTGCAGTACGTAGACGTCACCTAGATAGATTGATGCGTCCTCGGCAGTAGGAATCATCTTCACATAAGATCGATAACTGGCTCCAGCCACCAGCGGGCGAGCCATGCGAAGGGATCCCCAGCCAGGGGTGACACAAAAGTTGTTCTTTGTGTCCATAGTGTCCGAAACGTTCATGACGAAGCCAGCCAAGTGGCACACACTATCAATGAAGAAAGGAGGCACCGTCCACGTTCCAGTTATATCAGTTGCCTTGATGGTAACATCGGCGAAAGCCTCGAGTCCGTGTAGTACCACAGAGCGCATGCCGCGATACTTCTCTGCATAGTCAACCAGTTTGTCGGCAAAAAGCGCATATACCATGTTATGCGAGAGTCTGTTTGCCAGACCATCGTCAGCCAGTTGTGACAACGTCTCGATTCGACCTTGAACAAAGTGGAGGAATGGCACCCAACTGGAGAGCCAGGCCTTTGCGCTTCCATAGACAACCTGGGCTGTCACGATAGGATCATTGTCCAGAAGCGAGAGCCCATCACTAGAGGCATTGTGAATCTCAATGAATGCTATCCCCGATCTAATATCAGATGTACTGATAGAGATCTGAATGAGTTGCGGCGTGTCAGTCTTCTTTTGTGCCACTAAGCCTTCACGCACGACAAGGTTCGATATTTCCATATCAAGGACACTCTTGTCGTTCTTTGAATCCAGATTATGCAGGAGATGTTTTCCCAGTGTCAATGCAATATCCGCATGTATCGACTAGAAATTGCAAGAATCATTAGCAGACTGATCGTCAAGTTTAGGCATAAGCGTCGAGATTTACTGAAGTCACCACACCGGTCCCGTTCATCTTGTGTCCCCATGCAGCGGCCAAAAAGTCCGATTGCATCAAATCTGATTGAACGATAACTCGTCCAGCTACCCCAGAGAAGTTCTCTTCGATAACCCTGTGGACTAGGGATGTTCGCAGGCTGGAGATGGGCGTAGGTCGTGTATGAATGGCGGGAATCGTCGTTGAAAGTGTTTTGTTCTCAATTCCATCTGGAATGTTGCCTTTGGTGAGAGCCCAGTTGCCGTTATATTGTATCCAGTGGTTCTTCTCATTCCAAGCATACGTAGGCAGGTCCAAGAGCCGCAGGTCTTTTTCGAAGGGCCGATGGAACTCGTTCCAGTTCACTTCTACACCAGCGAGATGAAGCAGAGCCAGGGTTTGTGAGAGAGTCTGCCAATTATTCTCGCCTCGACGGAGGGATGGAGCTGTAACACCTATCGGTGACATGATCGATTGTGCAAATCCAACACAGACGGGATGTGGTCCCAGTTCAATCCAGGCCATTGTTTCGTCAACCGTTGAGATACGGAGTGCCGTTTCCACGGCGCCCATGAAATTGACCGTCTCTCTCGTTGCTCGGCAGATATAATTGGCATTGATTGTTCTCTCATCGAATATGATTTTGCCGAGTACAGGGGAGATGATGGGTAGATTTGGAGGATGGAAGATTGCCCCTGTCCTAGCCATATCTTCCAGCTCGTCGAGAATAGGATCCATTTGCTTGGAGTGAAACGAAAATGCCACATCCAGTTGAAGGCACTTGATCCCAGAGATTTCAAGTTCCGCCATCAGTGCTTCAATTTCGCCAACTGTTCCGCTCAGAACTGTGTCTCTGGGTCCGTTGAGGCAGGCGATCTCAAATGGCTTCCCATTTACTTTAACAACCACTTCTTCGAGCGAGGCTCGGACTGCCAACATTTTGTGGCTTCCAGCTTGGCATTTCCTCTCCAGGATCCTAGCTCGCTGACCAACAAGAAAAATTGTATCATTGGCAGACAGCACGCCTGCTGCGTGCAAAGCCGCATACTCACCCAGGCTGTGACCAACCACAACATCCGGTCTGATACCTAGTGACTCCCAGTATTTTGTCAATGCCATCTCAACACATACAAGTGCAAGCTGTGTGACTGTAGGTGAGTGCGCGTGGTCCTCAGGATAGCTTCCATCAATGACAGGAATTATGGATGGGAAACCTTGAGCCTGGCACAGCGTGTCAAAGTGCCGAACTTGTAATTGAAAATACGGAGAATCTCGGAAAAGTTCCAAGTTACTAGACCGATGAGATGCCCCCTGCCCTGTGAAGGCAAATATCACTGGCGTCGGTCCAGTTGAGGGGATTCCTTCATGGGATTCCGCTGATTGAAGAGAACAATTCAACTGCCTTATTAAATGCTTCACATCTGATGTGGGCACGGCCACACGGTGGTTATGATGATGACGCCGAGCGGTAGTTGTGTACGCCAAGTTCGACAGTGAGACATTCGGGTTTGCCTCCAGGTAGGCGATGAGGCGCTGCAGGTTTCCTTTTAACGAAACCTTGCTCTTAGCCGAAACTGCAATAATGTGGCTGGTGCGAGGGTCCTGATTGCAAACTTCGGTTTGCACGGGTGGCTCTTCAATGACAATGCTCGTGTTTCCCCCGGCAGCACTGAAGTTATTCACAACAGCAACACGTTTCCTGTCCGAAGTCCTTCGCCAAGATATTCTCTGGTACGGTATTTGAATATTCCTTCTATCAAGATCCCTGGAAAACGCCGGGTTGATTGCGTTCTTGATACCGATATGTGGCGGAATGACCTCTCTGTCGAACATGAGCAACAGCTTGAGCAGCGCTGTTGTACCCGCAACAGCTTCACCATGACCAACATTTGCCTTCACCGCACCTATATATAGTGGCTGATTCAGACTGCGGCGCTTGGCATTTGTTAATGGGGCGAAGACATCAGAGACAGACTTAATCTCTTGACCATCGCCCGCCTGCGTACCAGTTCCGTGCATTTCCACGTAACTGACATCCAAAGGATCCACCCCAGCTTGGGAGAGGATCTGTCGCGTGAGGTATGCTTGATGACCTGCATGAGGATGTGTGATGGAAATTGCCTCCGCCGAGTGATTTGTTCCAGCCGCGAGAATGACACCCAGAATGTTATCGTTGTCGGCTTGGGCGTCTTCCAGCCGTTTCATGACAAGCGATGCAACACCGTCAGCTCGGCAATAACCATCCGCTTCGCAATCCCATGTCTTGCATGCATTCGGTGTCCTTGATAGGAAGTGGCCATTGCTCAGTCCAGCGAACGCGTCCGAATTGGTCAACACGTTCATTCCCCCTGCCACTGCCATATCCGTGTCTCCGTTCCAAAGGGAGTTGCAGGCTACCTGCATATTTTCGGCCCTGATTAGTTCTTCTGAACGTTTTATTTATCTCAAACAAAGGTGAACCAACTCACATTTATTGCGGCCAGTCCAGACGAACATGCTGTATCGATGCTATAGCTCGGTCCCGAGAATTTGAAAAAGTAGTTGATACGACCTGGACCAAAGGCACGACATCCCCCAGTAATAAAATAGGTCCCTATATCCTGGCTTGTGTTGACTTCCCGGTAGTCGTCACTAGCTTGGCCATAGAAAGTACCTATACGATGTAGGTCGGTTGATGCCGTACGGTCCGCAACATAGCCAGCTCGTTCCAGAGCTTCATAGGCTGTTACAAGTGCTAGTCTCTGCATAGGGTCTGTTTGCATAGCCTCGCGCGGTGACATGTTGAAGAAAGGCGCATCAAATTGGCCAGGCTCGTCAATGAAGCAGCCGTACGGTGTATGGCTAGTGTTCGCACGCTTGCCAGTGGGATCACAGTGTGATCCAACATCAAATCGATCAGCCGGGACCTTTTCATGCACATCGAGACCCTCGTTCAAAACATCCCAGAACTTGTCGGTGGTGTTCGCACCTCCGGGCATACGACACGACATGCCAATAATAGCAATTTTCGCTTGTTGGGTACCTCTGGTGCATTCTGAAAAGCTTTCAGACTGGGAAACCCATTCCAGAGCGTCTTGCGTTGTTGTTTGGAATCCATTCGACTTGAAGCTCAGCGCCTCGACCAGATCGTGAGCGGGTAAAGATGGCCGTAGCGTAAGTACCACACACTCAGACACTCTGACATCGTTTGCCCGCTGTACGATTGCCTGGACAACCTTGTCCCAATGAATCGTTTGGGTCAGTAATTCCTCTACCGTGTTATGGAGAAGCCCACTGGCGCTTGTTGCTAGAAATGGCTGGCCGGTGCTGGTTGAAAACAAGGGAGCACGCGGCATGAGCCTGGTATCAAGCTGTTCGCTTGACTTGGATTGGAGGATGCGATCGACATGCTCCTTCGTGTAGATATGTCTTGCGTGACATAAACCTCCGTAGACTGGCAGAGCAATGAACTTGCGGTCTCGCAAGAAGTCAGATGCGAGGAAAATGTGCTTCAGTCGCGCTGGTGGTCCGCTGACAGTAACTGACCCTCGACTCCAAGCACTGATAAACACCTTATTCAGGATGGGGAATTCCTACGGTAGACGTCAAAACCAGTACGAAGAGCAACCTTGACCAAATATAAATATGCGACGAACCTCAGCTTCTTGCATGGCATCAAGCTCATTTTGAACTTCTTCATGGGCAACCCCTGGAACAACATATGCCCAGCTATTACCAGTTTGAGCGTCGTTGGAAGGCTGCAGGTTTTGTGAAACCTCATTGACCACTAAGCCAAGTCTAAACGCTATACGGACAGCCTCAGACCCAGCAACAGGCAAATCTGACAATGTATGGGAGAGCGAAACAGCGGCAGCCGACAGAAGGCCAGTCCCCAGACCAGCTACACACAGGTCCGCACCCTGAGAATCAAGTGGGCTCTTACTGCTGCGTTCATAGTGCCTGGGACGTACGTGGTCAGCGGGAGTCTTGTCGGACGGTATATTGGCTTTTATCCTACCCGATGAAGGTTGCAAGTTGAACTGCACAAACGAGCATCCCGTCCACACAATCACTGAGAGGGCCACTTCGTAGGTCGGCATTGTTTGCGAGGCTAAATACTGTCTCAAATGGCGGAAACAAAGCCCTCAAATTGGCCGACAGTGACCGAACTTCCTCCCGGATAACCAAAGTGGCGGCTTCAATAAAGTTGGCTAACAACAGATGTTGTCTGTTTTTGCTGTGGTTATGAAGCCGTCGGAACACATCATTCATGTCACCGTGGGGAAACTCATTACCAAAATAGCAGACTGAAATGCTGATAGCTTCATCCGAGGACTCGGCGATGGAGGATGGCATCATGCTTGAAAACTGATTCATAGAGCTAGTTCCTATGCAACCCATTATATGGCCGCATCTCTCTCTGAAAAATAGGTTACTGACTGATGCCAGATGAGATTTATAAAACAAAACGTCCCCATGACACATGGACGCACGCCTCCAGAAATGGAAGACAGCGGGATCAGTCAAGCAAGGGGTCATCAACGCTTGTGATCAATTCTGAGCTATCCACAGACGATAATACTTAAACTGCGAGAGAGGGACGGATACTTGACCTCGGATTGAATATCATTCTAATGTGAATACGGGGTTCACCTTGAACTTGTAATCTGTACTAATTACCCCGGACTTCGGGGTTTTATATCGGGAAATTATGCCCTCTCTAACACCTCAATTCCATTCTGGAGATAGACGGCGTGTTTGTCTTGCCACCCCCTTACTGGCCATGCTTATCTGCCCCTTACACAAGCTGCGGGCTTTCAGCTCTACTAGTGTCAAGTCCTGTCTTCAAATTTGAAATAAGGCTTTATCTTCTCATACCAAGACAAGACCTCGAACCTCGGCTCAACATGTTGTCGGGTGAGGGAGGCTATCGTCAAATCAATAAAGCCTTGAATATCTGCGCCTTTGAAGATTATTTGAAAGCCCAGCAAAAATGCATGTCAAAACTGTTAGATGTGGAGCAGATTAGTCCACGAGTAATCCGAATCCTTGGACAGAACCCTGGAAAGGTGAGCCCGAATTTCGTGAACTCGACATTCCCAGTTTTGTTTACAAGATACCAATGAATACTAAAACTGTGCCATGCTATTCAGTTTACTCTTCAAGGGACGAACACCTATATTGTCGGTACTGGAGCCAAGCGTCTTATCATCGACACAGGCCAGGGCATTCCAGCCTGGGCAGGGTTGGTTGCAGAAACACTGGCTACCGGAAGATTTTCACTATCGGAAGTCCTTATAACACACTGGCACGGAGATCATACCGGCGGTGTTCCCGATCTCATTCAACTGTACCCAGATCTCTCTCGGTTTATTTTCAAACATACCCCGAGCAAGTCTCAGCAGCCCATCTTCGACGGCCAAATATTCACCGTTGAGGGCGCTACATTGCGAGCCATTCACACACCAGGACACTCCAGTGACCACATGTGCTTCATTTTAGAAGAGGAGAATGCCATGTTTACTGGGGACAACGTGCTTGGTCAGGGCACCACAGCTGTTGAACACCTCGGCACCTGGATGGAAACATTACGCACAATGCAGTCATATGAATGCATCAAGGGCTACCCGGCACATGGAGATGTGATAGCAAGCCTCAATTCCAAGATTGCGGGAGAGCTGGGAGGGAAGTTGCGACGTGAGCGCCAAGTGCTGCGGGCTCTACATCAAATTGAAAGTGGCCCGCGGGGTAGAAGGCTCTCGACCAAGGAGGTGGTCATGGCAGTGCATGGAGATAAAATGAGCGATCATCTTATGGAGGAGGTGTTGGATCCGTTCATGGACGAGATCCTTAGAAAGCTCGCTGAAGAAGGCATAGTTGGATTTGATATGAGAGGAGGCGTGAAAAAGTGGTTTGCTGTCACTTGAACCATTGAAAACTATGGATATTTATTTAACTAAGGGGTAGCTTTGATTGCCTTTGCCTTTGTATTGTAGTTTATTTATTGCCATGTCACAACGTCAGTGGGCCTGAATAAATTATAGCTATGCTTTGTCCTTCCATTTTGGGTGTATACCACGGTTGCCGGGTTAGTTCGGGATGTGTATTCGTAAGCAATTATCGGAATTTGCGTGTCCGAGAAGCTAAAAATTCCCATGTGCTGCAAGGTCCGGCCTTGGGTCAATTGTGGTAATCCCCATTGTTTACCCCGAAGGCAGATTCTGAACCCGCATGTAGATTGACCACGCTAAGGGTCCCCCTCTGAAAGTCCAGCTTAAGTGGCGAGGAGTTAAGTAGTAAAATGCGCAGCTGTAGAGGCGTGACCACTGTCGGGTGGTTTGTCTGGAGATCGCAGTGAACCGCTAGTTTCAAGTGAACAGAATACCTGGCTGAGATCACTATAGAGGCATTTCAACTTTGAGCGGGGGCTAAAGATTTTACCGGGCCAATATAATAGGCCGTTCATATCTGGCGCCACTTAAATGCCGAGATACTTGGACGCAGAACTATAGCCCGACACGACGCTAGGGCGGGTTGCCGATGCACCCCTTGGATATCCCCTCGCAGGAAAGAATGTCAAATTCAAAAGTACTGTCATATTATCTCTTAAATAGACCATATGCATTGAATTACATTTCATATTTTAAGAAATCATTTACCTTGTGCCAAGCTGGGTCATTCGCCAATCCCAAACATGACTATATTGAGCGATCCAGAGATCCCCGAGACATCAGGGCCTGCTGATAACAAGTTTCTCTGTCTAACAATATGTGGCTACCGCAAGCCCGGCATGAGTGAAGAAGATTATCGCCACCACATGGTCAATGTTTCTGCGCCCATGACAAAAGAACTGATGGTCAAGTACGGTGTCAAGAGATGGACTCAGGTGAGAATTTCTTCGTTCCATTTTATTTGTTGACCGCTCCGCCTCAGTTTCACATATCTAATGATTTGTTGCTTTCAGATCCATAACCAAAGTTCCACTCGGGCCTTGATGAGCCAGCTGTTTGACCCTCAGATGGCGAACATTGCCGACTTTGATTGCTTTAGTCAGGTTGTCTTTCGAAACATCGAAGACTACAAACGTATGAAGCAGGATCCTTGGTATAAAGAACACCTAGCGGGTGATCATGAGAACTTTGCCGATACTAAAAGAAGCATGTAAGTTTATCCAACAATGTATTCAGTAGCTGTGATTAACCTAGACCAGGATCACTATAGGTTGGATTGAGGAGTATATCAGAGATGGAGAGATTGTTGATGGAATTGAGGGTTCTTAGACAAATATCACGTCCACAATCAAATTTCTGTTTAAAGTGGCCGATATCGATCAAGGAACGGGTTGCGTAGAATCATCCAAGATGTTGAAAGTGTCAGTTGTAAGCGAAGGCTGAACTGCATTGTATTTTAGGCACTGAAACAGTGTCACGCGCTGCTTTCGAGCTCCTATCACAATGTATTACAGATAAAATGTCGATCGAGTATGACGACAGTAGATGTAAGATTGATCTCATGCTATTTAGATAGACGTTAGCAAATCTCCCAAGAAAATACAACCTTCTCATCTCTGTCGGCGTTCGGGGGAATCGCAGTGCACTGAATGTACCGATAGCATGGGCTATACGCCGAAGAAAGATTATCCTGAAAGGCCTGGTTGTGACTCATTTAAAGTTCGGCAATAGAGAACTTTTTGATCTCAATTATTATGCCCAAGAGATGTGATATATCGGTGCCAGCTAGTATCAATCAGAATCTTCTGCCTGTATGTAGAGAAAGCTGTCATTGTCGCCCTGGCCAACGCTGATCAGTAATCGCCTTGACTCTCAACAACCTGCAAAGCTATGCCTCATTACAGCCTTTCGCCCACATTCAGACGATTTTGCGAGACTTGTGTGTAATCCAAGCTAACTTGTGATTTAAAGATGTTGAGTGGAGATGGATGCCTTATTTCGCAGGCCATTACTACCCCACCCCCTATCTTTGCGCTCGGGTCGCTTGTTCTTAACGTTATCCTTGATCCCTGCCTGAACTATGCTCCAATATGAACAAAAGCAATCCTTCAAGTCAGAATACCAAATGAAGCCCAAAATGCCCTTGGAGTGTACATATCAAAACCTCATCTCGTGGACGTGAGCCATCGCACAATTACACATCTCCGAAAAGCAGCCGATAAAATTCAAAATCAGGACTGATTTGAAGGGCGCATTGGCTATCGACTTTTCAATTGATTCATGCATTATTCGACTAGCCTCTTGCATTCAAGAGGCTTTCCCTCATCAAGTGCTTCTTGACTGCCCCACACGTCAAAAAAAAAAAAAGGAAAAAAAATTCACGCAAGGGGTCCTCAAGCATGTCCGCGCACGAAACGTACGCCATCTTAGGCTCGACAGGGAACTGTGGCAGTGCCCTCATCGAGAATCTTCTGAAGAGGCCAGAATCTCGAATCCATGCATATTGTCGCAACCGCAACAAGCTCTTACACCTTCTACCCGAAACAAATGAAAACGGGCGGGTGGAGATTTTCGAAGGCAGCATCCAAGATCATGAGCTTTTAGCATCGTGTATCCGCGATGTCCGGGCTGTCTTTCTAGTTATCACCACTAACGATAACATTCCCAACTGTTCCCTTGCCCGAGATACTGCCAACGCCGTGATACAGGTCCTGTGGAGTATGCAGGACGCCACCGCCCGTGGCGGTGCCAGTACCAAAAGCATGCCCAAGATCATTCTTCTTTCATCGGCCACCATCGACGAGAACTTTTCCCGAAACATAAATACCGTGCTACAATTCCTCCTATTACGCTCGTCTTCTTACGTCTATAAGGACTTGAAAGAAGCGGAGACACTACTTCGTGCCCAGAAGGACTGGCTGACTTCTGTCTTCATCAAACCCGGGGCTTTGTCGGTTGACGTCCAGCGCGGCCACGCTCTAAGTCTGTCCGATGAAGAGAGTCCTGTATCTTATCTCGATTTGGCTGCTGCCATGATTGAGGCGGCGGATGAAGACCAGGGATGCTATGATATGAAAAATGTTAGCGTGGTCAATACCAATGGTAGAGCAAAGTTCCCACTTGGTACTCCTGTGTGTCTTGCTGTTGGGCTTTTGAGGCATTATTTTCCTTTTTTGCATCCTTACTTACCGATGAACATGGGCCCGCACTGGCCTTCATGACCGGAAGCATTCTATACTGTGGCTGATTAAATTTGATTATACAGCTCAAGAGGGCTTTTTTTTGTGGGATTCCTGGCGTCATGTCAAGAAGGGGGCGGTTACTTTGTTGTTTTTTGTTTCAGCGATGTACTTGCTTCTCTGTTGCTTTTGATTATGTACATTATCGCGGGAATATATGAGGGGATCGAGCGCTACCATTTTTATTTACATTAAGTTCTACTGGGTATAGTGGTTTCTGGGCTATGACAGAGTATATAAATCATTCAACCCCCTGGAAGGCCGAGGTAATCTTGAACAGATGTGAATGAAATTGCAAATATTATTTCGAAATGCGCTTGGTCTGCTAATATATTAGGCATTTTAATACTATTTCAAATGCTTATTTAAATACTCGTTGGAATGCTTCGTTAGGTTTGTTGTGAGTTGATACACTGCCGTACTAGGCCTTTCCCTTTGACCTCGCCCAAGCGAGATAAACTGCTGTAGACAACCTGGCTTGCACACGCAAGATGGGCAGTTTGTATTAGAATATTACTGGTTCCATCGCCTTCTATTATCAATCTTGCGCACAGTGAGTGTTTCTTACCCAGCCTTTTTTCTAATTCTCTCTGGTGTATGGTCAGTAACCCCTAGTCGGGTCTTTCACGTGCAAGGCTCCTGTAATCATATGACAGGTCTTTGCTAATGCTGAGACACTTTTTTTTTCCCAGGATTGATAGATGGCTGGTCAGGCCTAGCCTCTTATCAACATCGCGGGAATACAACTTCCGTAAGGGGGATTGGGCTTATGCTCACTACAGTAAGTACATTTAGATGTTAGGAGGGTATAAGACCTGTGATAGCGACTACCTACATATACTAAGCAAAATGTTGTTACTAGTAAGACGTTTCATACTAAAGGGGAAAGGATAATCGATTTCATTATCTGTCAACATGGTATCACTTAACCCCTGGTGCAAAAAATGGAGACATAATGCCTGAGGCATATGCCGGCCAAACATGTCACAATGTTCTTCCGACACCGGCTGAATAATATGACGAGTCTTTGCTATAAAATTGGTCGTTTTGGTGACGTCGTTCCTTACCACAATTCGTATTGTATTTCCCCTTGCTGTTCGTCTCTAGGTTTGAAATGCTCAACGTCAATGTTCTTCTGTATAATTTGCAACATACAGTCAGGTAAAATAAAACTCATGATATGAAAACGTGCATTTATTCTGTTTATATCAAAATTGAAGTTTCAGTCAGCGCTCAGTGACGATCCATGGAAGTCCTTTGACGGCCCGAAGGGGGAACGGATGTGAGTGCCAGCCAATCAGAGGATTCGTTTGGAGGTCCAACCCTACATATTCCTGGAGGACTAACTACACATGTACAAGCGTGGTTTTGATATGGACAGAGAGAGGTCTTACTTGACTTGCGGTTTCCCCACCGCTAGAGGCGCATTTTCTACTACAAATTCAAATTCTGTGCATCTTCCGTGGCGCTACAGGTTGGCAGCCAGCCAAACTGAAAGTGACCATGAGTGGAAACTTGCGCCCTCCTCCTCTATCGTCCTTCCGGCAACCCGCGTCCGATCTCGTAGACGACGTAGCCTTCTTCAGCTACGACTGGAGTGTATCGGGCTACTTACAGGAAGATTCATCCGAACCATCATCCACCACAGCTTCCGAAAGCTCAAACCCCCTTTATGATTCACACGTCGACACTGCGAAGCAAACGCCAAATCCGAAAATTGCCATCCCTCGAGCCACAAACACAAAACCATTAGCCAATCCAGGCCGGGTCTCCAGGGCATGTGTAAACTGCCGCGATCAAAAGGTGAAATGCAGTGGCCACCGTCCAACATGCCATCGATGCCAAATGTCCGCTGTTACGTGCATCTATGGTGATCGAAAGCGCGAGAAAATGGTCAAGTGCGTGTTTCAAATTAGATGCAAATACTCTCGCATCTGACAGGGGTGTTTAGACAACTTGATGATTTGACAGCCCAGGTCGAAACGTATGAAACCCTCCTACGAAATATCTATCTCCATCCCGATCACCACCCTGATACGCCTGTCAATCAACCTGGCGCAATAGACGCACCTCCTCATCCGCTGAATAAAGTCAATATCTCACTCCTTGAAATTACCTTGTCATCTGACAATGTCTAGATTCCAAGCACGTCTCTGGCATCGCCACTTCCGTTGCGAGTATCTGACAATGCTAATACACCAGCTTGCACGATTGGCCCCGTGGAGTTTGTCGAAGAAGATTTCAATCGCGATGCAGAGGCGCAGGCTACCGGTTTTATCGGCGGACATTCGGAAATAAAGTGGCTACACCAACTCAAGCGTTTTTTGGAGCAAAAGGATCCAACACTGGGCAGTCCCCAGAAGGATGCAGACATCGCCTCGCTGTCATCTGTGAACTATTTCCCCGATGATTCGGGGACTGTGATCTCAGATAACGTGGCCATGATGGAACGGCCTTCGCAAGGGATCGCAGATCAACTTGTCAACAACTACTTCAGTGTTATACATGAATCTTTTCCATTTCTTGGAAAGAGTCTCTTCCTAAGTCAGTGCCGAGCTTTCTATTCGAATGCAAATCTACGACCAGGAAGAAGATGGATGGCAGTGTTGAACATGGTATTCGCCATTGCCGCGAGACATTCTTGCCTCGCATCGTGCCATGCCCATCACGACCATGATGACCATGCAGTATACTTCTCACGGGCTTGGCAGCTTAACACGCACGATGTTGCGTCTTTAAGTCATCCAAACCTACAGCAGGTGCAAGTGGAAGCACTAGCCTCTTTTTACCTTCTTTCAATTGGACAAGTCAACAGGTGGAGCATCTTCCTTGCTTAGATTAGGCCATTTCTCTCCGGGCACAGACTGATTTTCTTATGATCCTCCAGGGCATGGAGAATGTGTGGTATCGCGATACGCTCAGCGCAGGCTATGGGGATCTATCTCCGCGATGAAAGTCCCAGCACCTCAAATCTGTCCAAAGAAGCCAGGTACCGGCTATGGTGGGGTCTCTACTTGTTAAATAACCGAGTTTCTGGGATCATCGGTCGTCCACTTGGTGTGCATAGAGCGTTTTGTACGACACCTCTTCCGGTGCCGTATAGAGAGGAGGATTTTGGGGAGGAGCATGTCATGCAACTCCTTACAAATAATGAAGCTCGACGCATTCTCATATCGTCCTTGCAATTCCAAACGCCTAGGAACGAGACGGTGGAAAGCCCCATAGCTCAAAGTCCCATCCATGTTGCGTCTAGGGAGGAAAAGCGCAGTGAGCAGGCTCGGGCTACTGCGGCACAGAGTCTTTCAGTGAATGCGTCACTGTACTTCATATATGCCGTTGACCTGGCATCGATAATGGAGGAAGCAATTGGCACTTTGTACTCCCCAATAGCCGCTTCAAGGTCGTGGCTTCAAATTGAACTCGCGATCTCTGCGCTTAATGAGTCCATTGAACGTTGGCTCTCTCGGCTTCCTACGTCATATCACTTGACAAGGACGCGAACAAACAGGCCCGATGTCCTTCAGCACACAAGTCTTACGTTCCATTTCTATTCCACCAAGCTCATCATCACACAGCCATGTCTGCATCGCGTCGTGTACGGAGTCCCGGAAGAGGGGCCACCAAGCACTCTCTGCAGTACCTTGGCTGCGACATGCGTTCAGGTAGCAGGTCAAATGCTCGATCTCCTACCAAGCGATCCAGATACAGCCTGGCTGTATGGATGCTCCCCATGGTGGTGTGTGCTTCATTATATCATGCAGTCCGTGACTGTTCTCATGATGGACCTCGTGGCCCGACCAGAGGAAGGCACGCCGGAGAGTGCCGGTGTTGAGGCTATGATCAGAAAGGCCATCCTGTGGCTGAGCAAAATGGCTACCAAGGATCCTTCTGCAATGCGAGCTCAGCTTCTGTGTATAGATATTCTAACGCGGCATAGTTCGAGACTTGCCATGGAGATTGAGGTTGGAATTTAGAACATAATTTTTATCAGAGATCATCAGATCATTCACTCGACTACGAATACGAAAACTGCGGCTATGTGCTGGTCCTCGAAATATGCGTTTCCAACCATAGTTATGAAGTGAATTTCAGTTGTTTTACGAATCAGGACCTGTATGCCTTTCCCATAAATGAAGAGAGTGGTACGGTGCCTGGTACCCATGCCTTCCGTGCCTCTGACAACACGCCTATTGATGGTAAGCTTTTATCAAGGATAAAACGAAACTCAGACCTTATAAATCAAACTTAGACCTAAGATCTTGGGTTCAGCCACAGGAATCACCCTAACTTAGATCGGCGGCAAGGGGACCCTGCTCGGATCGGTTAGCGCTAATGCATGTACCTGCAAATCGAGCCAGTTCTTCCTAATAAAGAAAGGTAACAAAAGCAAACAAAGAGAAAAGCAAAATAGATCTTCTTTCTGTTTCCTCCTTCGGGTTGTGGCTTCTGCGGATCATTTGGCTTTCTCGTCTTGTTTGTCAACGACATACAGTCATCCGCCGGCAATGTTAGGTTCTGATCGACATTTCCATGGGCAGTTGGGTCATTGATGTACCTTGAATATGTATAAGTTCATTGAATCTCGCTCTGAAACGTAGACGAAACCTTTCTACACATGCCTTACAATACTGATAATTACCGATGACAGCTGCGACAGACAGTTTTGTAAGTCTGTCTGCATCTGACCTAAAGCAATAATAGGAAATTCGTAGGTTTTTGTGGTATCATCCAAATCTGCTCCAGACTGAGAGCAATCTCCAGATCGGGTTTGATTTTTCAGGCTCATGCTCCCCACGGCGATCGATTAGCAACACAAGCCTGGCTAATAATACTTGCACGCGATACAGCTCACTAAGGACCAATTGAGACGTCATTTTTTTTTTTGCCGCGATTCGTGTCCCTGAGCTGGAGGGGCTGCTCCTTTGCCTTTTGTCGTGGCTCGGTGTCTCCCTATAAGGTGTGGGCTCTCCTGGCACAGATTTGCGCTGCCGCACGATATCGCTCCAGAATCCTCAAGGTAATCATGGACACCATGGTTAATGCACAACCCCCTTTCCGCACATGAACATTGCAGAATATTTATCACTGCCTCAATGAACTGCTTATTTTCCACAATCACTAATTGAGTTCGTTGAAGAGGTGAGACGTCCTCGGTGTCCGTAGTCCCAACACCGTACTCGTGAGATGTGAGCCAGCTGATAAGGGACAAACCTTGATATTATAGGAGAGAAGAGTCTGCTCATAGGGCAGGGAACATCTCCCATGCAAGGACACCTTGACCCTGATCTCGAAACGCCACTTGAGGGGTTCGTGTCTGACGTAGGCTGTTGGCTCTTGTCGTTCTGTAGCCAAAGAAAAAGAGTCCGGAGTGATATTGCAGTGAAAGAGTAACAATAGAGGGCTCTGGGTCACCTTTGTCCGAGGTGCAAAGCTCAGCAATATTTTCAGCCACTTGGTTAAAGCTTGAAGAAATAAATTGAGCGACCCAGATTCCAGGTAATCCACTGGGGATGTCAAAAGACCGCTGAAGTCTCTGTTTATATCAGTGGTCTCCCGGGGAACCCCAAGTCGAGGAGGAGTCAAGATGTTTGGAGTCATGTCTGGACCAGGCGAAGGTTGTGTCACGCTAGATAGCCTGGTGGATGCTATCAACGACGCGTTTAGGTCTGGGAGCGTAGCGGACATATCTGGTGAGGCTGTAGCTAGCCCACTTTGAACAGTCGGGGTTGCTGAATTTCGCATCCCATGATCAGCGTACAAGCCACACATCGGCACTATCCGGTGGGTCTGCGTTAACTGGTGATCTCTGATAAAGAAGATATGAGCGGCGATACAGAGTATGCGACGATGATGCGCCGATGGATTCGAAAGGAACATTTAGCATCGGCTTCACTAGGAAGATCTAACGGAATTTCCTTTTGGATTATTAGTGTAAGTTCTTCGTTTCTGTTGAGAAGGTTCTGAGGGCCTAAGGTTTCAGCCTTGGTCCTCGATAAATTAAGTAACGTTATATTCTTTCCCCGGAAGGAAATCGTTCTTGTTCCTCCCCTCTGTTCTTACGTGGTGTTGATCTTGACATAGCACTCGGCTATTACAGGACGCAGTATGGAACAATCTGATTCAAGATGTTAAAAGGTCGACACGTGGTCAGGAATGCGCACGAAGAGATATGTGGCCTGAGGCCCCCAACACGAGATCTGACGTGACGTACAGTAAATGGATGATCTAGGACACCACCGCCCACGAATGGGCTAGTCTGTATATAACCAATTCTCGCTGGTCCCAGGAAGGACCAGCATTTAGTCTCTTCATACAATACACCCTATTGTACTACACGCATAACTAGGTCATCTATCTCGCTTACCTACCTAAACCTAGAGAGACTGCGTGGTCTCACAAGATATATTAGACCTAATTTATCTCTATAGCGATAGTTAATCCGCGATCTCTATAGCTAAGACCTTAAGGTATCACTCGAGAAGCCGCTATATTAAGAATCACTACTATTAGATCCGTGAGAGAGTTAAAGAAGGTAAGATACGACTCTCTTATATAGCTAGCGTCAATAACATTGCCGATAGCTTCACTAAGCTATGAGCAAGACCTATATTTAAAGCATTTCGCGACGCGCTAGCATTAGAAAAGGCATTTTGAAGACATAGCAGCTTCAATACTAAGGGGGTGTATTAAGATTCATGGCTTCTCTAGGCATGAAATGCCTACTTCGCCAAGCATGAATCTAGTGATTAGTATTGAACCTACCATATAGAGTATAGTTCAGGAGAAATGCTCCTTATTAAATAGGATCTCTCTCTCATAGAGGAGTGACCAGACCTAAATAACCTCGTTGGCCTTGACTACATACTTCCTAGCGTCATTCATCGTAGACAGTTTTAACATAGATTAAATAAGGTCATATGCAACGCAAACAAGAGGCATCTATAGATATGAGCCATGCCGCCCCGAGACAAACCTCTTAGGAGAGTTGACAAATGAGAAGCCGCTCTTATGTCTATCTTGGGACTATGTAGAGCTTCTTGTCAGTAGTGTTGTAAGAAGACGTTTTCGGCTACATAAATTGATGATTCATACCTTTTAATTACTACGAAACCCTCTCTGGGATCGACCGAAGGGCCTCATGGTTTTAGCTCTGGAAAGAAATGTACATGAGGATAAATGGCCTGTAATGTATCCGAGGCTCTTAGAAGACTGACAACCTCGATTCCTTAAGTTACACCAATAGCTGGCAAATGTAATACATTGCTAAGCGCTGAGACCCCAAATCTATCAGTAGATAGTGTTCGGCCACATGGGAAGTGGGGAGGGTAAAATCAATTCCAGTAAGTCGGGTCAGGAGGTCAATTTTGTCTTCACAAGACAAAAAAAACCATGCATCAAAACACATTTAAATGCCACATCACATGAAACACTTGACGCTAACAAGATCACACAGGATCTGTCACGCATGAATCTGTGGGAATGTTTATGCAATCCTTTCATTATGTGAGCTCGTAGTGTCGTGTGTATGGCTGGCTCGTTCTAAACGTATAAAGTGCTTTTGATTGGTCGGGACGCTTCTTGTGGCGCAAAACTTGGCTCTTTCTGCGTTCTGAGTGTAAATACTTGCTGGGAGAAAGCCGCCAGACCTATCCTTAGAATGGAGGAGTCCACGAAGGGCATACATCACCTCTTGATACGTGTTTAAACACTAGGGAGGACTTGAGTGCCATCGGGAACCGAGGTGTACTTGGCACTTGAACATGGAGGACCAAGTCAATCTATCAAATGTGCCCGATTAAACATACCAAACGGTCTCCTAAATGATGAGCTGGAAACCAGGTTCGCCATGATCGACAGTTCGCTCGCTGACCTATTCAAGCGGCCTAGTGCTTTTGTGACTAACCCGGGTAAATTCGTTCAATTTGTACACCTCCAAGGTTCGCGGAATCCACGCTCACGGTAACTCGAAGCACAGTTTCAGCCGTCCATATAACGACCGCAGGCTCACAAGCGTTCTTCTACAGTAAGAGGACTGCCAGGTTGGATCTAGGAAAGCTCAGCTGCTTCGCTGCTGAAAGAAGTGTATCTCCTCATCCGTATTGCGGCGGTTGACGTCGACGCGTGGATGCCGCACCAACATCTGAATCACAGACGACGTTCGTTCTATGCTTTGTTTCAAGAAAATAGAGCTTGCTATGCTCCATATCCACGCTTTACGAATTCAATGTTTAAAAGACGTTCAAAATCTCAGAGACAAATTCTTAGCATAACAGTTCTCAAAGTCAACACACAGGTACTGCCCCAGTATTTTCAAGCTCGATGTCACGAAGCGAGGATTTCACGAACAGCTGGTAACACTTGGGACGTTCATGCAACCACTGTATGTCTGTCCACCAGTAACATCGACGTTTGACCAAGTCCAGTTAGAGCAGCCAGATGATCCACAAACAACAACCACATCATATCCCGTGGAGGCAACAGCTCCCGCGCCGGAGACGTTCTCAATGGTCAAATCGGTTATAGGGATACCGCTGGTTGGGGTTCCTTTGAGATCGCCGCCATTGTAGTTTTGCTCAATGAGAATACCGTACCTATCGGAATAGGATTAGCGAGACTTTCGGTTGTATGTGGCGTGATATGGTGATCCTACTTACTTAGAGATGGAGCTCAGAGTGATTCCAGAATAGGTCACGTCCTTGATCTCACCGGTGTCATTCACGGTAGCCTTGATGCGGATACCTTAATGGCGAACGTCAATAAATCGGACGATGTATCTGGATACATGATTTCCCTTACCATTCACCGAGCTCTTGACCTCGGAATTCTCGAAGGTGACAGTGTCTACCGTGTTATCACTACGGCCACCAACGCTTCCAATCGATAGGCCGTGGCCACCGGAGCAGACACCACCGCTGAAAGTGATGTTCTGTTCACAAAATCAGTCTCATGTCCAAGAGAAAATCTTGGATCCTCTGAGTACTCACTGTTCCAGAGTTTACCGCCACACAATCATCCTGGTTATACACCTGGGCACCCGTGATAACCACGTTGGTACTGCTGCCGATATCGAACCCATCCGTATTATGACCACCCTCAGTATCTCCAGCTTCGTCGTTAATAGTCATGTTGGTGATAGTCAGTTCATTGCAGCCGTTGATGCTAACGGCCTGAATGGGGGTGTTCTCAATGTAGAGGTCCGTGATAGTCGACGAGATAAGGTCATGGGCGTAGAAGAACTTGGGCTTGGTCTTGCCACCGCTACCACCTTGGCCGTCCCACCAGCGCGATCCGTTTGGGTTAAGGTAGGCACCACTGGCACCCTTGACAGTGATTCCAGTACCAGAGATTTGGAGCAGTGGGCCGACCCATTCCTCGTATCCCCAGGTGGTCTCACCTTCGAAAATCACCTACAGGTGTTTGTTCAGCATAGCTCAAGCTAACTGGAATATTGGAAAGAAGATAGGTAACACGATGATTCTTACAGTGGTGTCATCTGAGAGACTACTGAGATCCAGAGTTGTTCCAGATGGCACGGCAACATCCGACAGGATGATAGTTGAGCAAGACTTTTGCGACGCACTCGCCGAGGCGGCACCAGAAGAGCCGGAGAAGGTGCAAGATGTCGCTCTCTTGGCCAAATTTGGGGCGTCGGTGATGGAAGGCTCAGCGACTGGCGAAGCAATTGCGCCTGCTGCCAGAGCGACTACCGAGAGGAAACTAAAGAGCTTAGACATTGCAAGTGAACGATTGAGTTTTCTTGTTTGGTCTCCAAATTCTGGTCCTCGGGCATAAGGCATTTTATAGGCATGCCTGCTCGGATGCTTGTCCTTCTGATCGTCTCCTGGACTGCTTCAGAAGGGGACAATAAGAGCTGCGGGCCCGTAGAGCTCTATGATGCACCACGATGCTCCATGATGTTTATCCTCGAATCACTAAAAGCTTAGAAGGATACCTTGTCTTCCCATTGGCGGGTTTCAAAATCGTGATCACGGACAGAATTATACAGCCACGTGGGTGAATTTAGTGTATCTGCACCTCTTCAGGCCCGCTTGGTGGCTAACAGGGGCGAATGAGAGGAATATTCAGGGCCGATCTGAAACGCGTCGAGCTTTCCGTTATACCACTGGATTAATAAACGCCACCATCCTGCAGGTAAAACTGGGGGATAGACCGGGACTGGTCTTTGTATGTTAAATCCCCCCCGCTCAATTGTGGGAAAAGCCTTGGAAATCGCGGGGAAATGTTGCCAATCGACAAAAAGCACGGGCCATATTGCTTGTCTTCTGTGGATTAACGTCGGCGTTTCTTTTTACCACCACTCGTTTATTCACGCCGTGGAAGTGATATCCACTCTCAAAACCACAGGGATGAGAGCTGCGTGACTGCATATCTGATGTCGACATGAAGGGCCACTTGTTTCTTCAGACTCGTCTCTGGCGACTCCAAAATTAATATCTCTCGAGCTGGGTCAAGGACCTGATCGCCGAGCGGATGGTGAAGGCGTGACTTGACTGATCCTCCGCTTATGGCCAGCTGCTTGATTTGTGTCGGAGCAGGACGAGTCAGGGGACCGCGAGCGCGGTCGAATCTCCGAAGGTGCCTAACGAAACATGTACACAGTACACACGCAGTAACCGGACTAGGTTCACGGGTTCCTACCAGGCCACCCCGCAGCTTATGAAAATAAATGGAATTAACTTTTTTTCGACAAACGAATCCAAAGTTTAAATATATTGGAAAGAATCCCACCGTTTAATCCCGGTAGAGTAAATAGCACATTGACGATGTTCTAGACTTTTCTCGGCCAGTTCGTCTAATACCTGCGAACCTCTCTGATTCGTCGAACTGCAGTCCACTCTCCCTATATGCCCCCTTCCCGCCAAAGCTTGTAGAAAGCTTGTCAGCAAGCCTCGCTTACACCGCTTCATCACTCACAATCAATCCATTTTGCCCACTCGCACCAAATTTCTGGGACCTTCAAGTTCATTTTCGTCGTCGCATATCTCTGATGTCCCGCTATTCGCATGTACAGGTGGGAATTTCGGAATTTCGGTCCCCTAGACCTATATTGGGACTTGAGAGCTCGTCGAGACTACTTTAGCTCTTGAATAACTCGTCTTTCCCCCGCACACCCGGGTTCCTGTCAATGCTTTTTCCCGAGAGATTAATACTATTTGAAGGTCAATAGGCGGTGCTCCACTTAGGCAATTAAACATGCATTTCCAGGGCTAGCCAATCTAGTAAGGTTTGTAGGAAAATGCAATTTTTTTTACCAGCAAGTAGCGAGCATGATTGGGCTATGCCAACCTTGTAAGCTTTGCTCTACCTCTGCGGCTTGCCTGGACAGGAATATAACACGTGCCCATTCGGGTAACATCGGATAGGCCTCGCGCGGTTAATAGTGAGGTCTCTGACATTTTTCAAAGTCTGTATAGCAAATTGGATTTTGTCTCCTAGTTGGTAACACTCTAGCTGGATTTGGTCAAATGGGTGACATGGTAGATGGTGGTATCGGGTAGGTCATATTGGTGACGCGTGTGACGCGACCGAAGTTCGAGCCAGAGGGAAATAAGTCCTAAAGTTATCGATTGCTACGTGGTTTCCGAATAGAAGTTCCGGGTGCCATGGAAGTGCCAGGGTCGATTAGAGAAAGTACTCTGGATGGGACAAATATACGGCAGGCGTTTCTTTCTAGCAGAAAACTAGAAATTTTTGTTTTGGGAGAGATAGATATTAAAGGAATTTATATGATTTCAGACCATTCAAGCCCTGCCAGTCGCTCTATTTGTCTCAAACCGGCACCTGACATCCTTGATTATATATCGGTATGTTAACTGGTTGCAATTTCCTGCTCAAAGGTGAGAGGGACTCGTCTGAGCTTTTATGCTCACTCATATTCAAGAAACCTCAGCAACAACGCGGTGAAAGTTCTGGGGTCTTGTAGAAATCTGATAAGGATATAAGCATGTAAGCCATTCTTGCATAGGAAACCTACTTACGCGAAGTGGCTGACGCTGGGTAAAATGGTCAAACCTGAACCGGGGATCTGAGACCAAGATCTGATCAGCACGATGACGTCTCCAAGGTACCTACTTCTTGTGATTTCTTACCCAATCATGAAGGATGGCAGGTACGGTCCGATTCACCACTTCTTCGCTGTCTCCATCCAGGATCCATACCAGAGGAGCAGACTGGTCTGAATATAGCGTCGGTATATGTCTAAACGATTCTTGATCCCAGACTGGCAGGGTAGACCACATCTCGTTCATCTTGGCGGAAAGTTCCGGCCAGTGTTCCGGATTTGGATTGAGTAGCATATACTCCAGCTCCGTGCGCTGGAGATAGGTGTTGAAAATTGGATTTGTTTCGAGCGTCGTGTTTCCGTTCGAGAAACTGTAGCTTCCGCCAAAGGAGAATAATCGATCCAGACGGGAGGAGTGGTTCATGGCGATATCAAAGCCAATGATTGCGCCGTCCGACCAGCCAACCAAGGCGACTTTGGGGATCTGGAAATGATCCAGTACCGCGAGGACATCGCCCATCATCCGGTCGTACGTGATCGGCCCCGGTCCGTCTGTGGACCGCCCCTGACCTCGCGAATCGATCACCATCAGGGTGAAGGGCAGGTGGCGGAGTGCCCTGATCTGATTACCAAAATAATCGGAGTTGGCGAAACCGCCGTGCAGGAACAATACCGGTATCTGCCCGCAATCGAGTGTATCGGAGAGCTGTTGTCCATAGAAACCGTACCAGATGGCCGTCTCATTGTCGACGTGAACTTGGCCGCTCTTGATCGCCGTTGGCAGGGAGGGAGTATCCGGCAGACCTGCCCATGGGGGAACATACGGTTTTGTGAGAAGTTTCGGGTTTGCAGGCGAATCTCCCATGCAAATGCCTAGGAAAAAGGCAAAGACGCCAATCCGAAAAGTCCGCATTATCGGGGTCAGATGCTTGCCACGAGACCGTAGATTTAAAAAAGATTGAGGCAAAGAATTCTGTTAGGTTTGCGGTGACTGCCTAACACCTTCGCACGCTGAGCCCCGGAAACGAAACCGGGTGAAAAATGATGCAAATTTGATAAATAAAAAGGGGTGAGAGCTTGGTTTAGATATATGGTGTGGGAAATTTACGCATGTTTGGTAAGATAAGCCAATTATAAGCATGTCATGTCCGTAGCATAGTGTGGCGTACGGTGTGATTGGATGAGGGTGGACGCAGAATACATCCGTATAGGGCGTTATGACCTTGACTGAGAGACACCACCTGGTTTCCCTTTTCCACTCCATGTTTCTGTGCTGACAAGGCCGATTATTCTTAGAAAAGCATGGAGCGGCATGTTGTACGGTCGAGACGTACAGTTGAGAACAACTAGGAACCGCACGCTTGGCTCCCATGGAGTGATTTTTACAAGTCAAAGACCGGTCATACTGAGCATCATTACGCAAAGTAACTCTAGGGCTCTAGGGCCTGGGTGGCCATTCACTCCTGTCATCAACACTGCGTTTTTCTCATAAAGACTTGACCTTGATAATTTAACTCCTTGGCGGTCTACGGCTCCCAACCCTTGGAGTAGTAGCTTCTTGCTACTGAGCCCGATGAGACAGTCGATTCCACGCGAATCGGCCAAGTGCAGCCCGAATTCGAGCCACAGCCTTGAGTTTTTCTTTTTTACAAGTGTAAACAAAGCACGCTAAGCCGAATATGGCCGGGGCGTGTCCCACTAGCAAATTGGGATACCCTTTTGAGCAATTCTCGATCATACGAGAAGCGAGAAGCGATAATGTGGTGACCTAAAATGGTAATTTCTACGATATTGCCGCATGGTCGCTATAAATTGCGGCACACCGCCGTTGGGTCGGTGTTGGGGCCCCTCAGACCTTTCCGAACTTCCATACACCTCAGTGACCTCATCGACAAGGTGTGACAGCAAGCTGCTACAGTATGGCATTGTATGCAAGAATCGGGCTAACCAAGGTGACCCACTTAAAAAGAACTAAACTATTCTGGGTGTATTTTACAGCACCACTTTCCTCGATACAAGGTTTTCCCACATGGAAGAGGGCTTCTGAGTAACTCGGGAGGGTAAAACATAGATAAATATCGGTTCATTAAATGAGCATGAAAATTGTGCTTCTTCGATCAAAATGTCGAGGTCCCAAAAATGCTCAACGCACTGTATGTACGGAGTACAGAAGGGGTTCCGACCACAAACAGATTTGTGAAGCAACCCAATCGGGTAGCGTGGCTAAATTGGCGCAATTCTGTCTTACCATTGGCTGCGGTCTGAGAAACGGAGTTCCTTTGCATGATGTGTACTCTGTAACCTACACCTGTATCGTTTAAGCCGGAATCCTTTTGCGAAAATTCGAGGTCTTTCGTGGCTGTGCAAGGGCACCTAACCCTCGATGTTGTCGGCAGGCTGATTGGCGACGTTTTTGGACGATAAGACACGCGTACACCCTATATTTTTCATCGCTAAGCTTGATTTCGTCCTTCACATACCTCTCTAGTCGATTGACCTTTTATGGAAGCATCTAAATAGTAGATTCTGGCGGTGTACGTGATGGTGTAGCTGAAATTCCGCTCGTAGTCGGTGTATACGGCTCAAAATCGAAGCCATCGAGATCAACATGTTAGTAGCTCTTTAGGCATCTTTTTCGGCGAGGCGGTCTTAATTAATTTACCGAATCTTAGTAAACTAAGTTCGAAGTAGACTTCCGCAAAGCTTGATCTCAACCCATTAAAGTGGGTCCGCGTGGGCTTTTTTTTTTTTTCAGAAAAAACCCTCAAATATATATAAACAATCTAATCAAATAATGCTCTTTAGGCATCTTTTTTCGGAGAGGCGGTCTTAATTAATTTACCGAATCTTGGTAAACTGAGTTCGAAGGGAACCAATCCAATCAAATAATTCCTCCGACTAAAACCACGAACGGAGTTTTACTTCTCAAGTTGAATAGCACGTGGCCGGAAATAGGGCGAGCGTTACCCAAGTCACTCATGGAAACTACATGTATAAACCAAAAATAAGCACTAGCCAAGCCCTACTAGTCGCCCCGTATCGCCCTTCGGTCCATGGTGCTGACGAAAACTAGCAAGATTGACAGCACCAGCAAGGACGCAAGGACTGACTCCTTGGAGCTTTCTGTCGGAAGTAGACCTAACGGAGGGCACGCTGAGAACAATCTATTCAGAGATGTGTAGGAAGTTAAGCTCTAAGGAGGGATGGGAAATCTAAATAGGCGGAGGTCATGTGACCGTATGGGCAACCTGTGCTACGAACACTTTCGACACCTGTTCATGCCTAGATCCCTTTCACAATTTTACTCCGGCTTGTTTCGCTCCCGCTGTCCCAGTTGGCTGCATGAATTTGGCTCACTTCTACCGATTGACGGACTCTGATTTGGCCGAGTGGAATCTCGTTTTTTGCAACGCCTGCACTATCGCTTTCGATGAAGCGAGACGTGGACGCGTTTGTCCTGGAGCCCACCAGCAGTTCACTTCCTTTGCCGTGGGGAGAACGCATTGCCATCCCGTAGATGCTCATACCGCTGGATCGAAGACTCTCCATCAAAGGCTTGAATTGTGGAACCGATGAGCAGATAATGCTGATACATTGGATCGCTTGGTTGCACAGCGTGACTGTCCATGAGCTAAACATGGGTTCCATCGAGGAAGCGACACGGTGGTTGAAGATAAGCTGGCAAATGATAGCGGCAATGACTCTGCAGATGGTGTAAACACACGGTTAGACAGTTGTCAGAATTTAAGCAACAGGTCGTGTCTTAACGTACAATATCCGACTGGAAAAGCATAAGATAAGAACTGCTTTCCTCCTCATGCTTGTTTGAAGACCAAGGATTATAAATGTCGGTTGGGCAATGAGCGCAACTTCCGAAAGCAAATTCAAGATTGCGAACCCCGTTTCCCAATCGAGCTGGCAACGTTGAACTTAGTTACACACCCATATCATCTTCAGGGAGAGGAGGGATTGGCAATAATATAAGTGGATAGGGAAGACAAAGGGACAATTGCTCACCATGTTAATACACCTGCTATTGATCTTGTCCCATGGTCGTGGTATCTGGCATTGAAAAGCGTAAACTAGCTCTGAAGAGACAGCCCAGATAACAAGGACGCCTCCGACCCAGAGAGCTATCTTTCTGTCAATAGTCTTCGGTGAAAGGGCTTGGACAAAAACGAGGATTGATAGTTTTGAAAAGCATAGGCTGAGAATCAGAAGCAGGGCTCATGCGTATAAAGCCTGGTTGTCGTGCATATGTCTTATCAGCACGATCATCCCGACAGAATTTCACCCGTATCTCAGAAGACTCGACACACCTTTTGCAACCCAGTCTGCTGAGACTGAGTTAAGGTGCTAAGGTGCTTCCCATAGTTATTTGCAGTGGCAAGGCACAGCGCCAGTGATTGTGCCGCAAAAAAGACCTAGACGGTATGTCAGACACTGTCGGTAGCATTAACATCTGGACTGCGCCAGTTATGTTCTAAACTAGATGTGACGGACATACAAGAGAAAGTATGATCAAGTAGTCATCAGATGTTAGCTTGTGAATGAGCAGATACTTCGTTGCTAGCTTAGTAAGTACACTGAGAGTAGCAAGGACTAAGAGAAACCAAGTAATGATGTTGATGACAGGCGTCAAATTGTCAGGAGAGGGTCTGTCCATTTCGCATGATTATGAAGGAAAAAAGGCGAAAAAAGTGGCAAAAGATGAAAAAGAAGAGAGCGTCTGATTGCTTTTTGAGAACTTCAGCTTCAAGAAAATATTTATTTGGCCCCTTCTTGTTGTCTGTGCACAGACCAGTACTATATATCCTTTCTAGCATTCTTTTCCGAGTCCGTTCCAAACAACCTCGCCAGTGACCTGGCAAGAAGGTGGACACCATTCTGGAGTGCACAGTGGGTGGTTGGCATCATGTCTCAGACAAGGAATCGTCAAGCCCTAAGCGCCAGGATTCAAAGCTTGTCGAACCAATACCAGGTACGGAGTACCCAAAACTGTAATATCCACCGACCGCACTAGTGAGCCAGTGCATCCTCGATGTTACAGCACGATGTGGTCCTTTCGTCTGATAAGTGAAAGCTTGAATTCCACGAACCTTCCCAAACAGCTCAGTGATCCAATGACACTAATAGCATTTTTAATTCAGGCAGGATAACCAAATGCAGGAATTCAATATATAGAGGTTCGTTATGACCAGGTTTTACTGTATCTGTATTTGGGGAAAGAATCGCCCATTCGGTTAGCATCCATTTACCCGCAGATTGCCTGTGTACAGTACTGAGTACACAGTGCTGGTAGGCATACCGTACTGTAGAGGAAAATGGGGGTGTAAATTTACACCCAGAAACGTGTAGTTCGCTAAGTGTCGTGATTTCTTTGTTTTTATTAGGGGATTTTCGACACTCCGAAATCGAGGACTTTCGATTCCCCTGAAAAGAATGATTCATTATAACCAAGATTTACTGTACAGCCTTGTATCAGTGGCTTGATCCGCCGATGTCTTCCTCGCCTACGAAGCATATTCTAGCTGAAATAAGCCGGGTAATATTAGTTAACTCCTCAGCATCATACTTCTCCTACGGAGGAAATGAATATAATTCTTATACCTTCTACTTATTTAGTACTACCAGAGACTTGATACCATTAAATTGAAATTTAATAAAACTTATGGACACTTCTTACAGCTTTGGTGTTGAGCGACGACATGATAGAGAGTCTAAAGCAGAAACAATTAAGCTGAAGTAAACTAGCAAGTGGGGAATCGACCGTTAAAAGGTCAAACTATCATCACATAGTCAAATTGCTATCATCCAATTTTTTGTCTACGAAGTATTTGGCACATTTTTGACTTCCATTTTAGCTTTTTTAGTCTTAATCTTCACAAGCCGCTGGTACCACACGAGATTGGTTGTAGGCTGTCGCTTGCAAAGTTCCGTTACTCTTACACTTTCAGGGGTGGCTCCAGCATCCGTGACTAGTTGGGACTGCCATGTGCAGGTTTTGCATGCAAAATACAGTTTAGAGAACAGGCTGTCTTGGTTCTGTCGGGTACAGGGGCGGTCCATAAGTATTCTACACCCTAATACTTCCCCTATTTTTCTGCCAAATATCCTGTCACACTAAAACCTCCAATTTCTACTGAGCGCTGCCTATTATTAGTATGCCACCCTTCGTTTCTAACGATCCCCTCTACTCTATGCGGCATTGTAGTTAATAGATTGGTAGCTATAGCGTGTGGCGGTGGTAGAGAGACGTAGGCGGTGCAGGCCGGGCGGTCAGGAAGCTGAGGTACTAGGGTACAAATACTTATGGTCAGTCATTATACAACGCGGATGAAACCACATATATTACCACATATTACATTTACTTCCGGGTGAAAGAAGAATACTAGATGTGCAGCCCCTGAAGCTATCCCTATCAGTGGCGTCGTACGAAGATGTGAATTAAGTGGGCTTTGATGCTCCTGTTTGTTAGCCGAGCCAGACAAGTTGTCCATCTTTCCCATTATTTGAAAGGTAATCTAGTGCCTCTTTCTGTCGTCTATCAAAATATTTATCTCTTTCTCTCCATCAAATAGGGCGCTGTTCACCTATTTTTGTGTGCGTGACAAACTCCCGCAGCTGTCATGGAAAATATTACGCTTAAGCCAGTCAGCGTATCCAGGGAGGTAGATGTTGATATAGGTGAAGGTACTGAGCAACGAGATGAATCAGCATTGACTCGCCTGGGTAAAAGGCCTGTCCTCAAGGTGAGCACTCATTTTGCTTCCAGAGACACAAAGGGGGATAAGTGGACTCTATGCCTCTGTTGGTTTGTAATATTCCTTTCGCACATCAATCTCACGCAATTTCCAGCGGAATTTTGGCTTCATGTCAATTTTGGGCTTCAGTTGCACGATACTCATCACATGGGAGGGCACCTTGATGTAAGTCTCCTCGTTCTTGCGTGGGAACTCTGGCTGACTGACTGTGCCTAGTACTTTCCTTCAAGCTTTCCAAAAGTGCGTCGAGTCCTACGGGGGATGGAGAGAATAAGCAACCCTGATTGACCCAAATTCTTTTAACAACAGTGGTGGCCCAGCTGGCGTGGTCTACAGTTACATCCTAGTTTGGGTGGGAACCTCTGCGACTTTCACTACATTGTCTGAATTGGCTTCAATGTACCGCTACCTTATCATAACCGTATAATTCCGTGCATTAACTGACGGAAAATAGGGCGCCGACATCAGGTGGTCAATATCATTGGTGCTCCATGCTGGCACCTCCTTCTCACAAGATTTTCGGCTACATCACTGGTTGGCTAACTGTCGCCGGGTGGCAGGCAATCTTCGCATCCGGTAGCTACCTTTGCGGTACCCTCATCCAAGGGTTGATGGTGTTGACAAACCCCAACTACAACCCGCGGCCGTGGCAAGGGACCCTACTTTATTGGGCAGTGGTCATATTCTGTGTGTTCATCAATGTGGCCGCTCGAGGTTTGCTACCAAAATTTGAGGGCTTGATATTGCTCCTCCATATCACCGGCTTTTTTGCCATCATTATTCCGCTCATCTACTTGTCCGATCATAGTACAACCTCGGAGGTGTTTACCACTTTTGTGAATGGTGGCAACTGGCCTAATCAAGGATTGTCGCTCCTCGTCGGAATGCTTGGAAACGTCTTTGCGTTCACAGGTGCAGATGCCGCCACTCACGTAAGCACCCAATGCACCTTCGCTTCACTCTGTTGTTTCCGCTGGCATTTGAGAGTGTCCCTTGCTAATACGCCCTCGACAGATGTCTGAGGAAATCCACAACGCCGAAGTGATTGTTCCTCGATCGATCTTGACAAGTATAATGCTAAACGGCTGCCTCGGCTTCGGGATGATACTAGCAACCCTTTTCTGTCTTGGTAACATTGAAGATGCTCTCAAAACTCCAACTGGATACCCCTTTATCGAAATCTTCTATCAAGCGACGGGTTCGATTGCGGGAACTACTGTCATGGCTTCTATCATTACCATTTTGACTATCAGTGCGACCGTTGGATCACTAGCATCATCCTCTCGTGTCTTCTGGGCTTTCGCACGTGATCGCGGTCTCCCGGGATGGAGAATCTTTAGCAAGGTTGGTTCTTCAACGCCGAGGTCTCTCTATAGCATTGTGTCTGACGGTTATAAGCTTGAGCGCCGCACGTTGATCCCAACTTGGGCAATTGCGGCCACGACAATCACAGCCTGTCTGTTGGCCTTGATTAATATCGGTTCAGCTGTAGCCTTCAACGATATTGTATCTCTATCGGTATCTTGTTTATATCTCTCCTACCTGGTCTGTTGCATTCTATTCCTTTATCGACGAATCAGGGGGGACATCTTGCTCCCGTCTGAAGCTCCCCAAGCTACAATCATCAACACCGCTGGAGCACAACTCGTATGGGGTCCTTTCCGTGTCCCGGGTCTCCTTGGAATCGGGGTGAACATATTCACAATCGCGTATCTTATCCTTGTCATTTCCTTCAGCTTCTGGCCTCCTCTGACCCCAGTGACTGCGCAAAACATGAATTACGCTGTAGTGGGCACTGGCGGGGTGATTATTTTCAGTATTGTTTACTATCTACTGATCGCGAGGAAAGTGTACAACGGCCCGAGGATCGAAACACAACCCTAGCCCTAGGTGCCAGGATAGATTGACGGGGCAAAAAAAAAAGTGAGATTCGGGTGGAGCTGCCTGCAGTCTTTTCTTCGACGTGCTAGGCAATGGTGTACGTCTCCTCGGCCATTCTCTCCTTCTCCGAAATAAATGCATCCCACTCTTAAGCGTCCTAATTCCCATAAAGTCCGATCTTATACCAAGGAAGCTGAAACAGAAGATCTATGCTCTCCAGTGTCCGTCTAGCTGTCTCCGGTACAGTGAACCATACCCAGAGACCACCAATGATAGTGACTGCCGCGAAGGACCAGAACGTGCCTTTAGGCGTGAGGCCGCCATTGGTAGTTGACAGCAGCATGTTTGAATCACAGCCCCGAAGCTACGACACTAAGCTCTTTTATCGCTTGCCGATTGGAGGAGTATGTGAGAGCCAGGTGAACACCATTTCAGCGAGTTTCCAAGCACAAGATTGCCAACACCGAGTGAAAATTAATCAAATGTGTTTTCTTTTGAAACCGAAAGGACAGAATTACCATGACTACTGACCAGATCTTTAGTTGCGTGCATGCAACTTCCAACACTCAATTTTGGAATTCTCTTGGTATACTGGATCGATTACGGCTTCTCCGTATATAACGCCACCTACTCCTGGCGTGTACCCGTTATCCTCCAGTTGTTCAAAGTCAATTGAACGAGCATGTTCATCTCTTTACCCCGCATCAAGATGATGTATGAGTTCCACTACATACCGGCCCGGGTGAACGTCGCTCTATATCGGCAAGTTACGTTATAAGCCACGCAATTGGCTGTTCTCTTGACTTCGGGGCGCTCCGATGCGCAAAGGGGTTCCCGAAGTTACGATCAAACGTAATACGGCCTGAGTGCTTTAGCAATTGCTCTTATGGACCCGCAAATTGGGCCATTCCCATTCGTTTGTTGGGACTTCGTGATGGATCCCGAGAAAGTCCCGGCCCGGCAACGCGGGGTCCCCAGGCCGATCATCCTCCTGGGGAAATAGGACCAACCATTTGGGGAAGTCCAACGCGATGCAACAATTCGTCAAATGAGCCAAAGGGCCCGCCTGTGCTTGTCTTTGCAACCCCAGATTTCATTAAGCGACTCTTTTATCAAATCTCTCTGTCTTCCCTGAATATCCGGAAATGACCGACGAGGTCACCAGCATACAAAATGAGCCGAGAACAGACAAGAAGGACGTCAAAGAACCACCGGATCCCACGGGCCGGACTGGCAACCAGGATATTGACTCGGAGGAGAAACACAGCAATGGGGAGACTCACGAATTGCCCGAGCTGCAGCGCAGGTTGAAGAGCCGGCATTTGCAGATGATCGCAATGGGTAGGAATTGAGACCCCTCAGCATTGATACTATTCTGACATTCAGGCAGGTGGTGCGATCGGAACTGGTCTCTTCATCGGCAGTGGTACTGCAATTGCAACAGCTGGCCCCGTCGGTGCCTTAATTGCCTTTAGCTTCGTGGGGTCAATTGTGTATTCCGTCATGACAGCTCTGGGCGAAGTAGCCACATATCTACCAATCCCAGGAGCATTTGCTGCTTATGCTACTCGATTGGTCGATCCCAGCCTGGGATTTGCCATGGGCTGGATCTACTGGTTTTCCTGGGCGTCGACTTTTGCCCTTGAATTGACCGCGACCGGTCTGATTATCCAATATTGGGACGAACAGATCCCGATGGCGATTTTCATTGCTATTTTCTGGGTTCTTATTATCATCTTGAACATGTTCCCAGTGAGCTGCTACGGAGAAGTCGAATTCTGGCTCTCCAGCATCAAGATCATCACAGTCGTCGGGTTCATGATCTTCGCTATTTGCATGAACGCTGGAGTTGGTAAGGAAGGCTACATCGGGTTCAGATACTGGGTGCATCCCGGTCCCTTCCAACCTTACCTGATCACGAACCCAGAGCAAGATGCTCTAGCTAAATTCGTCGGCTTCTGGGCCATTCTCATCAAAGCCGGATTCTCATACCAAGGAACGGAGCTTGTCGGCATTGCCGCAGGAGAAACAGAGAACCCAAGCAAAAATGTCCCCTCAGCAATTCGCAAAACCTTCTTTCGAATTGTATTCTTCTTCATTTTCACCATTTTCTTCGCCGGCATTGTTGTCCCGGCCACGGATCCACACCTTACGTCCAGCGACGGCAACAGCGCCGATGCAAACTCATCTCCCTTCGTCATCGCCGCAAAACGCGCCGGCGTCAACGCCCTACCGAGCATTATCAATGCGGTCCTACTGACCGTGGTACTCTCAGCAGCCAATTCAAACGTCTACAGCGGTAGCCGTATCCTAGTCGGTCTAGCCAACGAAGGGTTCGCACCTCGATTTTTCCTCAAGACAACCAAGCACGGCGTTCCATACGGAAGTGTCGGCTTCACAGCTCTCTTCGGTCTATTGGGATTCTTGAACCTAAGCAATTCAGGAAGCACCGTTTTCAACTGGCTGATGCAAATTGCCGGTCTGGCGGGCTTTATCACTTGGTCCTCACTCAACATCTGCCATCTGGCATTTATGAGAGTGTTGAAGGCGCGTGGTATTTCACGCGATACTCTTCCTTATAAAGCCACTTGGCAGCCATTCCTTTCGTGGTATGGTCTGTTCTTTAACGTTTTGATTATCATTACTCAGGGCTTTACGGCTTTCATCCCGTCGTTCAGCGTTACGGACTTCTTTATCAATTACCTCAGTCTGATTCTGTTTGCCGTCTTATATTTCGGTCATAAGATTGCGTTCCGGCCGAAGTTTGTGAAGCCTATTGAGGCGAATATTGACACTGGCAGATATGAGCCAGAGTATGGGGCTTAGGAGCGGAATTCTGACGCTATGTATTTGAAGATATGATCTCAGCATATAGATATACACCTGTCATTTCGTTAATTGTCTTTTATCTTGAATGGGATGATCATTGAAGTACGTAGTCAAGGACCTGGTGCATGGATCATTCACGCAATCAAGCTTGTAATGTCCTCCTTGGGAATTGATCTGTTGTGAACCAATATATGGATAGATATACAAGTTCTTCTCTTATTTATCTTTCTTCATGGACAATTCCTGTGGTGTAGGGTAGTTAGTGATGACTTTGGAAAGTAGATCTGCTATCCGCGTCGATTAAAATATACAATTTCCCTACACCCCTTCGATAGAACGGGGTCTATCCAATGGCTGTCACGAAACTATGATTCGTCTTGGAATCAATTGGACTGGTAGTTTGCACCCAATTGGGCCATCAACCAGTTTACCTCTCGCTGAAATACTCCAAAATATCGCCTTTGAGCAAGTCTAAATAGTACTTCTTCTCCACTGGATCTTGCTTATACGTACAGTGCTTAGAGAGACAACGTTACTGCATATTTTAGCACTTACCTTTTCAGCTAGCTCTGCAAAAAGACAGAAGCGAAAGATCTTATCAACCAATCAATCAAAGTTCCTATACAGCCTAACTAGTATCGTAATGGCTATGCAGGCGCTTCTTTCCAGTTGAAGCAAGAACTCGTCTCCCGTACGCCTGATCATGCTCCAGAAGCGAAAGACCCTATACGAGTCCTATCCTACAAAGAAAACCAGTATGCAAAAAGAGCAGTCATATGTATTATGTATTCACCCAAGTCTAAATGGATAGATAGCCAAACGAAAGCAAGCAAATTAAAATCCCCCCATTCATCACCCATCCCACCATTGAACTCATGCCATTAAAATTCATGGAAGCCAATTCCCGGAAAAGCCCACACCAGCAGCCCCTGGTGGGCACACTTAACCCTCAATCGATTTACAGACCAAGAGCAAGCACACCAGCCAAAAGACCGACAGCAACGGGAGCAGCGCCGAGAGCAACACCAGCACCGGTGGATGGAGTAGCGGAGGCAGAAGCGGTGCCGCTAGCAGAGCCCGAGGCGGAAGTAGTGGTGGTCAAGCCGGAGGCGGTGGAGGTGCCGGAGGCAGTGGTGGTAGCACCGGTAGCGGTGGTGCTGGAACCGGACTTGGTGGAGGTGGAGGTTCCTGCGGAAGTGTGAGTTGTGGACACAGCGGAAGAGGAAGAGGATTCAGTGCTGCTGGCAGTGGAAGAACCAGAGGTGGCAGCACTGGAGGTGGAGGAGGATGCACCAGTAGAAGTAGAGCTTGAGGCAGACTCAGTCACGTTGAACTGGTTGGACTGGGCGAGAATGCCGGTGTTGTGCTCGGAGGTGGATTCCAGGTTGATCTGGTAGCCCTTGCTGTTTTGCGCATTAGTTGCTGGTTTTCTTGGAGCTGGGGTTGGGGTGATAGTACGCATCAGTCACACCGGACAGGCTGTCGATGGTGTAGGAGTGCTCAGAGGTCTTGATGTCCGAGGCAACCTTCTTGTGAACGGGAGGGTAGACGTTGTTGTTGACGAGGAAGACATTGAAGCTCGTCTCGTCGGTGCTAGTTCGGGTTAGCTATATGATGCTCGTAGATTGGGTGCATTCCAAGGCTGTATGTTGGATAAAACGGTAAACATACTCGACGGAAGTCCACTTCACAACCAGAGAGTCGGAGGTGTCAATCACAGCACCCTGCTCGGGCTCAATGACCTTGAGAGCTGAAACGCGAGTCAGATCATGGGATATCAAAATATTACACGAGAAATCAGCTTACCCGAGACGGAGAGAGCCAGAGGCAGGACAGACAGAGCGAGTGACAGACGCATGATGGCTGGTTGTTATGAAAACGAGTGAATGAAAAAGCGAGAGACTGAAAAAAAGAAGAAATGGATAAAGAAAGTTGAGAAGCTGAGGATGCGAGAGATGTATAAATTAGGCGAACCTGATCGACGAAGACCCTGATCTTAAATAGGAAAGCACGATATATTCTTTTCTATATCCAAGAGCCTGATGTTCGTATACTCCCACAAAACGACACAAAAATACACGAAAATAGAACCAAGGAAATCGCCGTCCCCAGTATCTAATAATATCTAAATCAATGTATTACTTGAGAAAGTGGGATGCAGCTGAGCCTCTGAGACGCAAAACAGGGTCCTACTGTAAGCTAGTCTCAGAGCACCGGAGTCAACGCATACAGAGCATTTACACGTTGTCATGATAGTATTGGGCCGATAAAGAACAAGCTAAGACAAGCCACTAGTTATACTTGGCGGAACTTATTATTTATTTTACATTTTATATTTGATTTGTCGTCCGTGAACTCGTAATTTACCGGTTTTGCAAATTACAGACTGCCATTTACCCGTGGATCGCAGTATTATGTATTTGCAAAACAAAGCCACCGTATTACGCCATGCGACAAGCGACAAGGCTAGAATCTCAGAGATAACACCAAGGCAACATAATCCCGGTAAGGGGTAAATGTATGCCACGTGCAGTGCATTCCAGATAACATCGAGCAGAGCAAAAAAAGCAACCAACACATGGCCCGGACACGTTTTTGGGAATGTCTCATATATGAAAGGTCCATACCTTTATTTACAGGTACCGTGAATTGGACATCGATTTCGGTTGTCTCAATGACTCCACAGATCCATTCTCAAGGTTCATGAGACATTCAAATTTCGCTTGACATGTCAAACCCACTCTCCAGTTCGGGTATGGAATACATTGCCGTAAGGTAAGGGAAAGTCCCCAACCCGATAGTACATGTAAAATTTAGGCAGACCGTTGTCTCACTCTCACCGAGATACCGTCTGGCCACATTGGTAATTCAATGATGCCATTTGCCTTTGCTATTTGTCTTGCTAAGGCGCCACATCTCCCCGTAACGAGTACTGTGCTCATATTGTGGTTGTTTGGTGTTGGTCTTGGCGTGGCATCTGTTCGGTGTTCCCCTTTGGGAATTGTGAGTTGATTTTTTTTTCCATTTTGAGGAAATACGAGGTCGGGTTGCGCCGCAGAGCGATATGATGTGTACAGGTACGTGCACAATTGTATGGTATAATGTACAGTGAGATTTGATTTCTATTAAGGTTACAGTAGATTGAGTACGTCGCGGGTATTGTAAAAGAATTAGTTGTAGATGTTCACGTCACTGCCAGCCACATCAGAGTCAGCCACCACCAAAAGCCAAACGCACATTGGAATCAAAAAGGACCGGAAGGAGCGGAAAGGAAAAAGGGAAAGAGGAAAACATACAAATCACGCCTCAAACCATCCCGACTCGAAGCTACCGCCTCAACCCAGATGCTAGCGCTCATAGCAGCAACTGTGAAGTACCCATACCCCTTCTTATCGATGACCACAGGCTTCACATCCGGCCGTAAGATGTCAACCCACTCCTGATACGCACGCTCCCTTCCAACATACATGCGCTGTACGGCTGAGCCAGCATTGCTGAGCACGCAGGCAAGACCAGATGTATGACGGGCGTTACCGTAGCGGACGAAACCTGTATTGCGGTCAATTATGCCAAGGCGGATTGATTGGACCCTCCTCGTGTTCCGTAATGGGTAAATGAATTGTGGAAGAGTAAGACGAACCTATGCAGTTTGGTTGGTTGAAATAGTCCTGTTGTTCGCCGTAGGCGTACAGTTTGCGTGCTTGGGTTAGGAGTGGTAGGTTGCCATTGCAGCTTGGTGTCATTGGGTCTTTGACGTTGGCGCGGATGCCGTAGAGGTCGCCGTAGAAGACGCAGGGGTGGCCTTCTTTGCGGAGAAGGATTAGGGCGTACGCTAGAACCTTGAAGGATGGGGCTACTGGGGTCTGTGGTGGGATTGTTAAATTGGTTGGGGCTCTGGGGGGCTAGTCGACTTACTTCGAGCATCTGTCCTGGTTGCTTTTGGCAAGTTAGATGAATATGAACGCCACAATGCACTGGTCCAATTGTCAGGTACTTACCGTATCATGGTTTGAAACGATGGTCTGTGAAAGTCAGCATTGGTTTCTTGGTATCAGCCTCCACGAATTCGAAGTGAACTTACCACAGCATGGTCCGGCTGACACTGTACCAAAGTATCCTTCAAGATGCCACGGAGGTCTGGCGATTGCTGATGGGACAATTTGCAAAACTTCTCGACAAGGGGAACATCATACGCCGCAAGGCTGTACTCTGTCTCCTTGAGATACTCCAGAAGAGCCTTGAGGTTCCCAGTCCAATACTCACCAATCACAAAGAAATCAGGATTGGCCGTTTTCCGCACATGGTCCACGAACGCGCGCTGAAAGCCGACAGAGAAATGCTTCGCTGCATCCAGCCTCATGCCACTCAGACTCAATGCGTGGGTAATCCAACTTCCCCACTGCAAGAGGTCCTCTCGAACCGCGGGGTGCGCCAGGTCCAGATCGGCGAACATGAGATAATCATAGTTCCCGTTCTCGGTGGAGACGTCCTGCGCCCAATCCTTGCCGGGGCCTGTAATCTTGTAGATGGCGTTTTCCTTGCTCTTGTCATCCCAGTCGACGCCGCTGAAATGTTCCCAGCGGTATTTCATACTGCTGTACATCTCGCCTCGGCCTGGGAAATCGAAGCCTGTCCAACCATTGACTTCCAATGGCTTGGATACCTCCACATCTCTCCCTATTCGCGCATTAGCATCAAAAAAAGAATAAAGGAATGTAAAAACCCACCTTTCGGATCAACCTTAACAGCAGGAAATGCCTCAGGAAAATCAGCACCAGCCTTATGATTAAGGACAGCATCCCAAATAACACCCATCCCAAGCCCCCGCGCTTCAGACAAGAATGACTCAAGATCATCCCTCGACCCCCATTTTGTAGGAACAGCACCTTTCTGATCAAACTCGCCAAGGTCATAGAGGTCATAGATGTCATACCCATTCCCGTTCACGTCCATCCCCTTACAACCAGGCGGAATCCACAATTGGTCAACGCCAATGGCCTGATAACCAGGTAAAGCGTTTTGCAAACGGCGCCAGTGCTGGCGGTCTGCTGGGACGTGCCATTCGAATGTCTGCAGGATGAGTTTATTATCTGGTTCATTCCATGAGGGGAGAGATTCCAGATTTGAAGCAGATTCTGTGCATGTTGTTAGTTTTATTCAGGATTTTTGGTTCTGGGGGGTCGTTTTCGGGCTGGTTTGGATGGCCGTTATGCTAACCTTCTATCTGTCTCCAGTGCGCTTTCTGCGCGCGCCGCTGGGCGCCAGTACACCATGCCAGAAAGGACGCCATGTGGGATTGGTAGTTGTCGCGGGTGTGAGGATGTGCATGTCTCCGTAGGAAGGGGAGCCATTTCCAATTCGGGCGTAGGCTGAGGCGAGGGATGGGAAGATGTGGGTCGGACTATTTTTGGTCGGTGATACCGTATGTAATGTGCTTACAATACAGCTATGTGGACCTCTTCATTTATGAGTCTCGCAGGTATCCGAGACTCCCGTACACCGAGTATTCCTCGATGGGTTTTCTAGAAGGTCCACTAGGTCTCACGAGAATAAAAAACGTTAATCATTCTCGCCTTGTAGGATTCCAAGGTTGGATATGGAGATGTTGATCAGTGCATGGCGTGTCCGGCTTTGTACTACGTAAGCCTTCCCGCGGGTTAGCGCTTGGCGTTGGATTCGATTGTTATGCTTGTTTAAGGTGAATCACTCGATTACAGAATACGCAGTTAGTTTTTGGGGATTCAAGTGTTCTGTGCGGTCTGGTTTTAGAAATCGGTCATCTCTGTAGTGCGCGGATATATATTTCTACAATACTGTGGTATCCTCAATTGCTCAGTGGAATATATTCAGATAATGAAATGCTTCGTTTTTCTTAGTAAGAGATAGAAAGTAGAACCCAGTGTGCTGCAATCCTCCATATATATTAAGGAAAAGGAGAGAGACGAAAGAAAAAGCAAGATAGACGAAAAATAACAGGCAATGCCATGCGACCAAAAAAAAACCAATGTACAGTAAAAAGAAAATATGCTACATGAAGGGATATCGTCGCAAGCCCAAAAAGCGGTCGTGAAAAGAAAACAAATCAAAACAAACACCAAATAATTCAGTTTTCGAACATGCTCAAAGGATCGTGACAATGCTCGTTAATGCCAGACAAAGAGTGACCGAAACTGTGGCTCTGGTGGTAGGTGCAAAAACCGAAGAAGCAGAAGATGATGCGGCATTCTTCAACTGGGCCAAGGTAATGTTTTTAGAGTTGTAACCACAGAGACCACTGCCTTCCATGTATTTCACGGGCCAGAACACTCGGGGCTCGCCCTTGTCCATGTCCACTTTCAAGGAGCCATAATTATCGGGCGTGTAGGTTTTGCAGTTCAGGATTTCCATGACGCTGGTACCGGCGTTATAGCTGTTCTTCAAATCCACTTGGTAGGCGCCACTGTTTGAGCCTTGGGTTGAGAGCATCATGATGACTTGTCGACCTTCGACACCTTTCAAGAATGCGAGCTCACTTGCGCCCTGGTAGACAGGGCGTGTTGTTTGGTCAAAGTAGTCACTGCCGAGTGAGTAGATGTGCTTGCGGAGCTTGTTAAGTTTGGCGATTAGCTGATAGAGCTCAGCGTCGGTATTGTATCCCGAGAGCCAGACGGCTTCTCGATCCTCGGGTGGGTCGCCTCCTTTGAAGTGCTGCTCTTGGCCTTGGTAGATCATGGGGATCCCGTCGAAGAGGAGTGTGAAGACCAGGATGTTTTTGGCCGTCTGTTAATCAGTTTGGTTAGTAAGGATAATTTGCTGCAAGGCGGGTTTGCATACCGCCGTATCATTGGACATGCTGCCAATGCGAGGTTTGTCGTGGTTCTCAGAGAAGGATACAAGGGCGTTGACGTCCGGGCAAGACTGCTTCATGGCCTCCACCTCGAGGGCTAACGCGCTTGTGTTTCCCATCGTAAAAGCCTGCAGCATTTGGAAGTAGATCGGGTAGTTTGGCATACTACCAATGTATTCTGCCTGGTAATGCGAGATGATATCCACGGCACCTTCGAGAACCTCTCCAGTACTGAATACGCCGACATTCTTGCAGAACCTCGTGAGGAATCCGGAGTCGACGTGCTTGGCGGCGTCAATACGGAGACCGTCAATGGAATATGTCTTGATGGCCTTTTTGGCCCAGTCGATGAGAAGGTTTTGGACATCTTCGTGCTCCGTGTAGAGATCCGGGAGTGGGACGTTGAGATCACCAGTTTGACAGTTTTGTGCATCTGTGAAGTTGTTCCAGTCCGTAATCTTGCAGTAAGGGTGGAAGTAGTCCTTGTTATTGAAAGGGTTGAAGACTGTGTAGTCGACTTCCTTGTTCGGGTCGGTGCCGTTGGGGATGATTTGGGCCATGTTGTTGATCACCGTATCCATCATCAGATACATGCCACGTGCATGAAGTGCATCACTGAGATCGAGCAGATCTTGGTGTGTACCGAAGCGTGCGTTGAGAGCGTCGAAGTTCAACGGCCAGTATCCATGGTAGGCCTCACCATACGACACTCGACCTTTGATATTGTCGATGATAGGGGAGATCATGACGGCATCGAAGCCCATTCCTTCGATATAGTCGAGTTGGTTAATCGTCCCCCTCCACGTGCCTCCGCAGTACAGCCCATCCTTAGTGCTGCAAGGGGAAGTTGTTGAGTTATCTGTGCGAGCAAACCGGTCTGTCATGGTCTGGTACACGGCCCTTGGCTTCCAGTCTGCCGTGGATGCGGCGGAGGTCAACGTGACCAGACCCAGCAGGGCCAGTAGGAATGACATCATGTGAGGTTGAGAAGATAAGAGCAAGAAAGAAAGAAAGAAAGAAAGAAGGGACGACCTTAACTTCAAGGTCACGGAGGAGGACGAACGAATGACATGTGGACTGGTGAAGCTGGAAAGAGGAGAAGGAGCAGGTTTCTACGGCGAAAATGGGGGAGCGGCACTAAGTTCTGTGCAAGTCCGTCGATCCATAGAATCCTTTTTGAGCTAGCACTAGACTATTCACGCGCCGCATATCCATGACCGCTGTTACCCCAATCCTACTGTGTTATTGGCTTCACATTTTGATCCCCCGCTCCCCAGAATAGAGTGCCGTGAAGACTGAAGAGATCCCCCATGTCCACCAAAATGATGGCCCCCAGACTCTCCACGATGGTGCAGCCTACCGTCGCATCCAAAGAATAGCCGCGCCGGACTTCGACACTAGACAGACACTAGGCAAGGGTGGGAAAAAGAAACCCGACTTACCTCGGCCTCTAGTGGAGATATAATAAAGTGTGCAACGCACAGGGCAAGGGCCAGGGCTGATCTGCCAACGCTCACAGAGCACAACTACTACACTCACACCAATAACATTGGAAATAACCGATTGGCACACTGAGTCTTCCAGTTACATTGAGACTACCCCTGAATGCCCGAGCACTCGAGATGGGTGATTGATTTGTTAGTGCGGAAAATTCCATGTTCAGTGGCTGAGACACACTTGTGCCCTAATTTCAGAAGCAGCAGTAGTCACGTCCCATCGCAAACAATCACTCAACTTCGGATGGGCCAATGATCCGGGACAACGTCCCATTCTTTTGACACTAGCGAATTTTGCTCCCCCACGAAACAAAAACTGGGAATAACTGGGAATAGACACGGTAGTAGTTCGGTACATGTCTTTTTAACTTACTATGTGATACATGGTAGGAATCGGGGAAATCCGAGAGCGATGCCGACTATGAATAATCGAGAAGGCCTTTGCGCGTGCAAACTTAATGGTCTAATGGGGTCCGGACCGGTCTAGTGATTTTAGATTCAGAGATACTGCAGCAGCCAGGCAAGAGTGGCCAATCCCAAGAAAACAAGGCAAAAAAAAAAAAAGGAAAATGCAATCAGGATAGATAAGTCTCTGTGGCGCGACTCTGCATCCTGATAGATAACTGGGAGTACTAATTCCGGGTGGCTGTACCAGTGGCTGCCTTTTGGGATTTTGACATCCTGTGTGAGGAGTTCATGCGTGCTCGCAACGGTTGAATATAGTAAAGCAAGACATTGGGGGCCGTACCTGGCATTGTCGACCGGTTCCTCAGTGTGGGGACCGGGGCAGAGATTTTCGTGATCTTAATTTCTTTTTATCTATCCGTTTTTATTTATTTTGGTATTGGGTTTTGCAAAAATACCAGGGATCTGACACGGTATTGTAGTATTATTGATAATACTGACCTGTCTTATCGAACCACATCGTACATGCACATTGACATGCATTTACATATAAATGCATGCATCGTATTCGGAGATTTCACAAAGATCTCTCCTGTGAAACCTCTGATTCAACTTTCGGGACTATTTCACTAATGCAGGTTAGGTAATCTAAGCGGAGCTTGAAAAGACTGAAAACTTGAAGGCATCGGGCTTCTTGGCATTGGAATTATCGGAATTTAGTGTGGATGTTCCCGAGATAGCCCTCTAATCAGGCCGTGGGATGCCCGAAACCCTGCCAAGACTCAAAAATACCAGGCTCCGCTGAGCTAAGCCTGATCAAAGGAGTGGGGAGGTCTCACATATTGACCAATCGGCGGTTTCGGTATCTCGGATGGAGGATTGTGATCCGCTTATCGGGGCGCTAGTAATTCGCGTAAAACACGAGTTACAGGTTGTCTCAACTGAGACTCGGCCCGGAGGTCTCGGCAACGTCTTATGTAGATATCAAGAAAATGATATTTGTGAAAAAAAGGTACACTGGTTCATGTGTGTGACAGGAACCGAATAAGCATGCAAGACAATGATGAAATGATCACCAAATAGATTCAGGGTCCAAAGTCAAGTCTATGGGTCTATCCAAAGAGCCGAGCCCCGTTATGGACGACCCATATTTATCTTTCCAGATCACTGGCCGAAGGCTTTCTTACTCGATCGAGCGAGGCTGCCTCGTTTTTTGTTTTTTCTTTTTCTTTTTCTTTTTCTTTTTTTTTTCGCCCTCGTATCCCATACAAGCCAAACAGCGGTCGATTGTCAAGGCCCAGTGCAGATGTGACGAATGAGCATTGTACGTTAAACGAATACAATAATAAAAATGAAAATGGAAAGGCAAAAATACGGAGAAGCCCGTGTCTGGAGGGGCACTAAGGCTGATAGTACAATATGTCTGGGCTATCAGCAGGAGCCTCAGCCTGTCTCATTTACTCTATGCTAAATCCTGGTTTATTTTTATCGAGAGCTTCATTACCCCAAAGCCACTAACTGAACCAGCCTCTTAGCTTCCTTCGGTTGAGGCGACTTTGTCTTTTTTCCTTCTCAGCTTATTGCTTTCTCCTTCATCTTCTCTAGTTGTCATCTTTCCTCTCGTTTACTCTTTCCCACCTTTTGTCTCTCGTTCTTGCGTTGGCATCCTCCGCTATTCTTTGATGCCCCCGGTCTGGACATCACATCTCCCGACTTCCAGCATCCCGAGCCGCACATCTTTGCTCATGGCCAGTGAGAGCAGTGCAGCTCCGACTCTTGCATAGGGTGATTTACACTATCCTCCTCTCTCCGGTCATATTAGGATTGTCAGAGGCGCACATCGATTCCCCACGCAACCATGAAGTGGTTGTGCTCCACCGCGCTGATCTCGCTTTTTGCGACGACAGCAACGAGTTGGCCTTATGACGAGAACTTCCTTGACTACAACCTGAACACAAACAAGCAAGCAACAAATCCCGCAGAATATGATGGAACGTGGGATGGCCACGAAGGGAAATATAATCCTTCTCCCGATAACTGGCGTTTCCCGTTCTATACTCTGTTCTTGGATCGGTTTGTCAACGGCAATCCTGAGAACGATAACATCAACGGCACGTTGTTCGAGCATGACCTGAATTCGAACCAAATGCGCCATGGTGGTGATGTGGCTGGTTTGGTTGACACTCTGGATTATCTCCAGGGAATGGGCATTAAGGTGTGTTTTTCTCATCTGTTGCCATGGGGAGGCAATTACTGACCATCTCTAGGGTATCTACATCGCGGGAACTTCCCTTATGAACCAGCCTTGGGGATTTGACGGTTATTCCGCCCTGGACACAACACTTTTGGATCAACACTACGCTACAATCTCGGAGTGGCGCGACGCCATCACGGAAATCCACAAACGCGGCATGTACGTGTTGTTCGACAACACCATCGCTACGTAAGTCAACCTCGGTCACACTCACAAGAATCAAACTGACAGTGTATCTACAGAATGGGTGATTTGCTCGGATTCGAAGGCCACCTGAACAGCACGACTCCATTTTCCGAAAAGGAATATAAAGTCCAGTGGAAGACCAATCGCCATTACGTTGACTTCGAAGTCGGAAACGACTACAATGCCTCTTGCGACTACCCCCGGTTCTGGTTTGAGGATGGAAAACCCGTCAATGAATCTATGATTGCCGAATTGGTTGGTTGTTACAACAGTGACTTTGACCAGTACGGCGATATTGAAGCCTTTGGTGTTTGGCCCGATTGGAAGCGCCAGCTGGCCAAGTTCGCCTCAGTTCAAGATCGTCTCCGTGAATGGAATCCTTCTGTTCGCGAGCGTCTGATCCGTCACTCTTGTATGATCATCAAGTCTCTTGACATTGACGGTTTCCGTTACGATAAGGCTACTCAAGCCACCGTGGATGCCCTCGGCGACATGTCTGAGGCTTACCGAGAGTGTGCCCGCGACGTCGGCAAGCATAACTTCTTTATTGCTGGTGAAATTACTGGTGGCGATACCTTCGGTTCCATTTACCTTGGCCGTGGTAGACAGCCTAACCAATACGCTTCTGATGCACTGGCTACTATGAAGTTGACAAATGAGTCTGATCCGCAATATTTTTTGCGTGAGGTCGGCAAGGAAGCTATTGACGGTGCTGCTTTCCATTACTCGACGTATCGTACCCTGACTCGCTTCCTTGGTATGGATGGACAGCTTTCAGCTGGATATGATGTGCCTGAGGACTGGGTCGATGGGTGGAACACGATGTTGCAAACGAACGACCTGATCAACGCGAACACTGGTAAATTTGATCCTCGACACATGTTTGGTGCTACCAACCAGGATGTCTTCCGCTGGCCGGCAATTCAATATGGTGTCGAGAGGCAACTGTTGGGCTCTTTTATTACCACCTTGCTTCTTCCCGGAATCCCACTTCTGCTCTGGGGTGAAGAGCAAGCCTTTTACGTCCTCGATGCGACCGCGTCCAACTACATCTACGGACGCCAAGCAATGTCAGCAGCGACAGCCTGGAAGACCCATGGCTGCTTCGCATTGGACTCATCGCAATATTACCAGTGGCCCCTCGAGAAAGCTCGGCATGGCTGCGAGGACGATGCTGTCGCTTACGACCACCGCGACCCATCTCATCCTCTGCACAACATCTTCAAGCACATGTATCAAATGCGTGAAAACTTCCCGGTGTTGAATGACGGTTATAGCATCTCCCACCTCTCGAAGCAGACGGAACCGGTCCTGTACCCCGGTTCCAACACTACAACAACCGAGACGGGAATGTGGTCTACTCTTCGCGATGCCAACAGTGAGGTGCAGAACCTGACCGATAGCCAATCGATTTGGTTCATCTACCAGAATGTCAACCGAACAATGCACTGGACATTTAACTGCAGCAGCACCGATACGGAAAAGACATTGATTGCTCCTTTCGCAGCAAAAACCAAAGTCAAGAACCTGTTTTATCCCTACGACGAGCTGACCCTGGAAGAAGGATCAACTAAGCAGGGCCTCAATGTATCTACCGAGTTCAATGGCTGTCTCTCCAAATTGTCACTCGACAGGTATGAATTCCGTGCGTATGTTCCGATCGACAAGCACGTCAAGCCCCGACCCATGGTCACTGCATTCTACCCTGGTCATGATGTTCCGATGCGCTCGACTGCGAAGCCCAATTCAGATGAAAGTATCAAGGTCGCATTCTACTACTCCGAGGAGATGGATTGTGACTCTATCACCAATAACCTGAGTTTCAACTCGTCCACCGAGTCCGGCAAAATTCCCACGATCCAGTCCGGTACCGTCAACTGCACGAATATTCCCACCACCGAGACATCGTATACTGGTCAGATTCCGAGTGTTTGGATGTGGTCTGCCAATCTCACCGGTGTGTACAATGGTGTCCACCGTTTGACTGTGAACAACGCAACCAACGCGGACAAGACTGCCTCCACAAACTCTGTCGACCACTTCCTTGTCCGCATTGGTCAGATTGATAATCCGATGGTTTTCAGCACTGCCAATTATTCCAGCAGTTTGTTCCACAAGGACGACAATGGCACTTTCTTTGTCCAGCACCACGCCGCAGGTGCCGACAAATGGCGCTACTCTACCAACTGGGGAACAACCTTCTCCGGCTGGAAAACCTACATGGGTGGTAATGATACCATTGACGAGCTCGACTGGTCGGGAACCAAGAAGCAGAGATGGAACGGTGACCACATTCGTGTCGAGTACTGGAGCCGTTGGACTGGCAGCAGTGACTACGTGCAGCAAGGCGATGTGGACACTGCCCAGACCCCCCGTCGTTTCCCTCATCTCTTCTTTAACGGTCCTTACAACCAGTATGGATACGATGCCGGTCTTAAGAATGAGGTCGAGCTCAACAAGGATACCGGATACTGGAACTACCATTTCACTTCTGAATGGCCCGCAGTCGGACAGCTCAATGTCTGGGGTATCAACCCTGACGGCAAGCCTGATCAGAGTATGGTGCTTGGTGATGCCGACGGTGACAGCATTCTGGACCGCATGCCGCCATCTTCTCTTTCCGCTACTCTGATCAACATTACCAAGGCTCCCATTGATGGTCATCTGGCATGGAAGTTCTACATCAACGATGCCACTCTCAAGTACAACCTTATCCCGGTTGGTGATCAGAGAATACAGATCGCCATGTTCGTCCTTTTCTGGATCATCCCTGTTCTTACCGGCTGTGGATGCGTCTACATCTTCATGAAGTCTTTCTACAAGGTCAAGTTCAACCAGGTCGGTGTCAGCGAAAAGCACAGCCTGATTCCTCTCGCCTTTTGGAAAAAGCTCAAGCCCTCTCGCAACAGAGATCAGTCCTCGAACCCTCTCATGCGCTTGGCGAACAAGTCCGGCTTCATGCAGAGCACGACAGCCCTTGGCAGCCTTGCCGCCTCAGGAAAGCGCCGCATGGTCCTGATCGCGACTATGGAGTACGATATTGAGGACTGGGCCATCAAGATTAAGATCGGAGGTCTCGGTGTCATGGCTCAACTCATGGGTAAGACCCTCGGTCACCAAGACTTGATCTGGGTTGTTCCTTGCGTAGGCGGTATCGACTACCCCGTGGACCAGGTTGCGGATCCCATGGAAGTTACTATCCTCGGCAGCGCATACCAAGTCCAGGTCCAATACCACGTCTTGAACAACATTACCTATGTCCTCCTTGATGCTCCGGTGTTCCGCCAGCAGTCGAAGACCGAGCCCTACCCTGCTCGTATGGATGATCTGGACAGTGCCGTTTACTACTCAGCTTGGAACCAATGTATTGCGGAGGCTATCAAGCGTTTCCCCATTGACGCCTACCACATTAACGATTACCACGGATCCCTGGCTCCTCTCTACCTCCTGCCAAACACCATTCCCGCCTGTCTCTCTCTGCACAATGCCGAGTTCCAGGGTCTCTGGCCCATGCGAACCCTCAAGGAAAAGCAAGAGGTCTGCTCAGTTTTCAACCTCGACGAGGATGTCGCTCGTCGGTACGTCCAATTTGGTGAGGTGTTCAACTTGCTCCACGCCGGAGCTAGTTACCTCCGTGTTCACCAACAAGGTTTCGGTGCCGTCGGTGTGTCCAAGAAGTACGGAAAGCGTTCCTACGCCCGTTATCCTATCTTCTGGGGTCTGCGCAAGGTGGGCAATCTGCCCAACCCCGATCCCTCTGATGTCGGCGAATGGACCAAGGAGCCTACTAAGGACGAAGATATTACCGTGGACCCTACCTACGAGGCCGGCCGTGCTGATCTCAAACGGCAAGCCCAGGAATGGGCTGGACTAGACCTGAACCCGGATGCCGATCTGCTTGTCTTTGTTGGTCGTTGGTCTATGCAAAAGGGTGTCGATCTTATCGCCGATGCCATGCCTGCCGTTCTCGAAGCCCGTCCTAACGTGCAGCTGGTCTGCATTGGTCCCGTTATTGATCTCTACGGAAAGTTCGCCGCTCTCAAGCTTGACCACATGATGAAGGTTTATCCCGGCCGTGTGTTCTCCAAGCCTGAGTTCACTGCTCTCCCGCCATTTATCTTCTCTGGTGCTGAGTTCGCCCTTATCCCCTCCCGTGACGAGCCCTTCGGTCTGGTTGCCGTCGAGTTCGGTCGTAAGGGAGCTCTGGGTATTGGTGCTCGTGTCGGTGGTCTCGGTCAAATGCCTGGTTGGTGGTACAATGTCGAGTCTATCTCCACATCCCATCTGCTCGTTCAATTCAAGCTCGCGATTGAGGCTGCGCTGAACTCGAAGACGTCCACTCGTGCAATGATGCGTGCTCGATCTGCTAAGCAGCGTTTCCCTGTTGCTCAATGGGTCGAGGATCTTGAAATCCTTCAGTCTACTGCCATTCAGGTTCACAACAAGGAAGCTGCCAAGGGCCACACTCGCCCCGGTACTTCATCTGGCCACAGCACTATCCACGGTTCTATGACACCCCCTGCTCACGCAATTAGCAACCCCATGAATGGCCTGCCTTCCCCCGGTCTTCCTCCTGGCTTCACCCATTCTCGTGACAGCAGCTACTCTTTCAACCAGATGAACGATCTTGGCTCTCAGAACAAGGCCATCTACAGCCCTGAGCCTAACGCCGACGACACCGAGAAGCCGAAGTCTGGATTGAGCAGGTCTCTTTCCCTGGGTGTCCGCTCGGGTCCTGGTCACGCAGCTCGCCGCAGAGCCGCAGCTGCCGGAGAGGCTATTCCGGAAAGCGATGCTGATGCCGAGGACAGCAGCGACGAGGACATTTCTCACGTTGTCTATGGTGATGACGAGGAGTACACTCTTACTCCGGCTCAGGTTGAAGCCGAGCGCCGTGCCCAGGCCTCCCAGAGAGAGCGTGGTGGCGGTCTTGCTTCGCCTACCAGACGTCTCAGCCAGGAATCCTTGCACCCCCGATTTGCCCTGCCTCCTAGCAGTCCTGGAACTCCACCCACCGCAGAGAACCTTCTTCTGCCTCCTACTCCTTTCGGCGACTCCCATCGTTACAGCAATGCCTCCGTTCTTTCTCTCGACTCCGTTGTCGGGAAGAAGACTGATTTCAAGTTGCAGAAGGTTGATCCTTTCTTCACTGATAGCACTGGCGAGTATTACAGGACTTTTGATAAGAGACTGGACAACCTCAACGGATCCAACTCTGAGTCTCAGCTTTGTATTGAAGAGTTCTTGATCAAGAGTGAGCAGCAGTGGTTCGACAGATTCCGCAACGCCAGACTGGGTCGCCACAACAAGTCTCCTACCCCCTCGATCATGCAATCCCGAAATGCCTCTCCTGTCTCATTCTACGATAACGACATAGCATCGCACCACAACGGTAGCGAGGATAACATCACCGATGACGAGTTCCTTCTCGGAAAGGACTACGTTCCTCCTACCGGTCTCAAGAAATGGATGCAGATCAAGCTGGGTGATTGGCCCGTCTACTCCATTTTCCTTGCTCTTGGTCAAATCATCGCTGCGAACTCCTACCAGATCAACCTGCTCACTGGCGAAGTCGGTGAAACTGCAGAGAAACTGTACGGCATTGCTACCACGTATGCCATCACGTCTATGTGCTGGTGGCTCGTCTACCGCTACTTCAAGTCCGTTGTTTGTCTCTCCACTCCATGGTTCCTCTACGCTACCGCTTTCCTCCTCATTGGTTCTGCCCACTGGGTATCCGACGAGTTCAGCCGTGGTTGGGTCCAAAATGTCGGCAGTGGCTTCTACGCCGCGGCCTCGTCCAGTGGATCTATCTTCTTCGCCTCGAACTTCGGTGACGAAGGTGGTGCGCCCGTTGAAACCTGGATCTTCCGCGCCTGTGTTATTCAGGGTGTCCAGCAAGTCTACGTGATTGGTCTCTGGTACTGGGGTTCGACTCTCACCAAAGCCTCTCAGGAGGGTGTCCTGTCCGATAACACCCTCGCCAACAGCTGGAAGATGACCGCCATTTGTTATCCAATTGCGGGTTTCCTCTGCATTGTCGGTCTGCTCCTCGCTTTGGGTCTCCCTAACTACTACCGCCAAAAGCCCGGCAAGGTTCCCTCTTTCTATAAATCCTTATTCCGCCGCAAGATCGTCACTTGGAACTTCGTCGCCGTCATCCTGCAGAACTTCTTCCTCAGCGCTCCCTACGGTCGCAACTGGAGCTTCCTCTGGGGCTCCTCCCACACCCACGCCTGGCAAATCGTCATCCTCTGCATCATCTTCTTCGGCGTCGTCTGGTGCATCTTCCTCTTCATCGTCAGCAGGTTCTCCAAGCAACACAGTTGGTTCCTCCCCGTCTTCGCCTGCGGTCTCGGCGCACCACGATTCATCCAAATCTGGTGGGGTATCTCCGGCATTGGCTACTACCTTCCCTGGGTAGCAGGCAGTTACACGGCCGGCGCCCTCGTGTCCCGCAGTATCTGGCTCTGGCTGGGAGTCCTGGACTCCATCCAAGGCCTGGGCTTCGGTATCATCCTGCTGCAGACCCTGACCCGAGTGCACATGTGTTTCGCCCTCATTGCCTCGCAGGTTCTTGGTTCCATTGCGACTATCTGCGCGAGAGCCTTCGGTCCTAACAATACTGGACCGGGCCCTATCTCGCCGGATGTCACGCAGGGTGCTCATGCCATTGCTAATGCTTGGTTCTGGGTTGCCCTGTTCTGTCAGTTGCTCATTTGTGCTGGCTTCCTTCTCTTCTTCCGCAAGGAACAACTCGCGAAGCCTTAGGTGGTTTTCTCATCCCCACTAGGGCTTTTCGCTTCCCTCATTATCATAGACTTTCGACTTTTTTATTGCGAATAATGGCGTACATGAACGATCCTTTTACATAATCCCTTACGCATAATTGCAGCATGTCGGCCTTTCATTGTCTTTCCTGTCATCCCTGTCATCTGTTGGATTTTCCCTTTTTTAATACCCATTTGGAAATGGACCCATTTTGTTTTGGGCATATTTACATACAGAATTTACATACAGGCAGAACAAAATGCCTGGCGAATGCTGGCTTTCCCTTTCCATTTTAGTGCTCACCCCTTGCCTTTCGCTTGCCTTTTCCTTCCACATCTTCCTCTTCCTCTCTTCTCCCTTGTCCCTTTTCAAACAACCCCTCCCCCAAACCCCCAATATCAAACCGGACCTGCAAATCCTCCTGATACGTCCAAGTAAGAATCTGCGTAATACGTTTCGTTCCACGGGGAAAAGCACTCAAAACCAACGCCCCAACGCTCTTCCCTAAAGTCGTCCCCAAAATCTCCTTATACTCGTCAGTATTATAAGCCCACCTCCGCACAGTTTGATCTTGCATAAGGTCAAGCCCAAACCTTGGATATAGCACAGAATCCACATAGGGCATCGTGGTCCGATTAACAACATTCAGCCGAAATACAAACTTCAATGAATTGATATCGTAATTCGCTTCATAATGCGCCTTGGCGAGCTCATTCCAATGTGGTCCATCGACTCGCGTGTTATCCTCAGCAAAGATGGCGCCAAGTGTAGTGCGTCCTTTATATTCATTCCATTTTTGCCTTCCTTCTTCGCCTGTTCCCAGCTTGCTGATGTGCAGTCTGTGGTATGTACCAGGATTAGCGGGGAGATCGATTTGATGGGTATCGTGTAGTTCAAGGGGTCTGTCGATCCAGCTGTTTTCTCGCACTTCCCATCTATCTGCTGGGCCGCAGGAGTTGAGCATTATATCAATTGTCAGTGTTGACATTGGTACTGGACATGGAGCTGCGCAATCCTCGTCGTTTGGGAACTGGATCCAGTCTTGGTAATTTGTTCCTTTCGCGAAGAAATCGTCGACTAGTTCTTCCGTGATTTCTTCGAATGAGCCCCATGAGACTGCTGATCCTGATCCTGTTTCTGATGATCTTGAGGACCTCGATCCGGAGCCTGATCCAGAACCTGAGCCTCCTGAGCCTCCTGGTCCCCCTGGTCTGGAGCCCGATGTCTCAGCCTCTGTTTCCTCGTTGGATCGACGTCTCTTGACGGATGGCCCGCCCACCTCTATTCCCTCGGAGGCGCCACGCTTCTTCCAGGGTGATGGAAACCCGCTTGCAGATTCGCCCCTGTTTTCGCCCTCTTTCGGGGAGCCACTCCCATCTCCGCCACCGAAAGCTTCCGGTTTGAGATCTGCCTTTGGGTCGGCCTTTGATGCGTGGCGGACAGCATAGCTGAATATTTCACCATCTATGCCTAAGTGGGGTGGCTGTACGATGGCCGCGAAGGGAACTTTGTTTTGGCTCCGTCGACTTCGCCTGGGGAGTCGGTGCTTGGCCCTATCATCTATTCCTGCTGGACCCTGCTCGACCTCTTCGATCTGTTCAGCTGGTTCTTCCTGGGGGGCCTCTCCCTCTTCCTCCTGATGTACTGATTGAGCTTTACTCTGGTGAGTAAGCCGTGCAAATGCCGCTCTGATCCGTGCAGTGCTGGAGCGAGGCTTGTTTGCTGCTCGACCTGGACCGGCTTGCGCATTCACATTAGATGGCACCGGAGCAAGCTCAATGTCATTGCCGGGATTGGGGTTCGCTCGAGTTCTGCGCCGACGGCGATGAAGACAAGGGCCGAAGCAGTTCAGGTTGCAGCAAACCATAGCGTTGGCTTAGTGGATGAATTAGGCTCCGGTTTTGATGATTTGGCTTGAGACTTTGCACGTTGCCGTTCAGGACTCGACGTTTGTGGCCTGTTTTCCGGTGGTTTGAAGTCCAATTCATCTCTAAACGCGGACATTTTGAAACCCTTATAGCCTCGAGCATAGATTTCCGGGCATTCATTGTCGGCGCTTTGTTGGGGTGACATAAAGAAAGGCCCCAAGGGATCGTGAGGGGCGGCGAGGGAAAGTCAGGTAGCGATCAGGAAAAGAACAAAGGAACATGTACGGTCAAGGCGTCGACAAACATTACCACTGGTGAAAGCTTCATTCGACGAAGCAAATCGTCTGATTTCGAGTCATACACATCAATAGACAAAGAGATCGACGCCGAACGATAAAAATAGAACCTTTTGCGACCATCTCTGCCAGAGGCCAAGCTACTGAAAGAATAAAGATGACGACGGAGCTTTGTTCAGTCAAAAGCAAGGAAGAAGGGAAAAAAAAGAAAACACAAATATGAAAGAAAACGATGGACGGTTAACTCCGATGGATTGGATATATTCCCAACCTTGGGAAGATAAAGTGGGCAATGACAAAACCTGTAGTACGACAAAGTCAAGGGTATAGTATTCAAGCATTTGGATAATCTACGCTCATCGCAACATCTACTTATTTCTTGAGTTATCTCATATTGCAACCAGGCCAGAAGCAAATGCTTGAGTCGAGGCGGCCAAGGCTATCAGACAATACCCCGATGCCTTCGTAAATTGGACGACCTGGACAAAGCCAACTGCTTCTTATAATACTAGAGCAATTAAGTGCAACGTTTTCCTCCGTATCGTAGTGAACGTAATTTCCAGTAAGCACTTCATGTCTGGTTGACATCTAGGTTCATATGTCACAAATGACACAAATCACCATTTCATTTTGAGAGATCATACATACTCCATGTTCGAACTCAGCGTAAGTCTTGAAGAATAAGGAGCAAAAAGAAAAAGAAATTAAAAGACCATTCAAGGTTGATGCGAATGTTTTGCTGGGCCACATCGCGTGTAGAGAAATGCAAACTGGCTGATCAAGCGATGTAGCAGTTGACTTACCATTATCGTAGCAGCAGCATAGGATCTAAAGCCTCATGAAGTCGTTCTATCAACCTCGGTAGTACATGGTTTGAAAGTTGGATCAAAGCACTAACAAAGCTCTTTTTTGATTTTGAAAGGGCATCGACTACTAGCCTTGTTCAAAGATCGAACATAATGGCCTTTGTGGTTTTCATTGATTCCTTTGTTTTGATACCTCTCAAGATATTGAAATTCTTCAAACTACGGGCCTATGATTTAGCAAACCTATTTAACACCCTCGACCTCCGTAGCTTTTCGAAAAATTTGCAGTTTCTGTGCACATTATCTGCTCACCAAAATCTCACGACTCAGCTAAATCCCTGAAATCAACTGACAAGATGTCCGGACGTACACCCGGAGCGCCAAACCCCCCAATGGCACCTAGGATCAGTTCACGCGGGGCCCTACTTCTCAGGTTCGAGGAGGAATGCAGCCGATTCAAGGTGGGTCTTAGGATACAAATTGCTCGGCTGGATAGATTTGACGGAACTGAAATGGCCACTGGTGAGCACCTCAGGGAGCTCGGTGACCAAGCCCGTTTACTCAACGGCCTGGCCCTTCAAATCGCAGATGCTTTTTCAAGCACTTCGATTCTTCTGGGCAGGGCTCATACCTATTACAAGGACTATGTACCAATTGAGTGCAGAGCCCTCACTGGGATCCTGCCAGAGCTAGGTTCAATTCTCCGTGACAACAAGCCCAGTGGTGCCCGTAGAGTCTCTGACCGTCTTAAGCGTTACCTCGAGAAGACAATCCTGTAGTTAAGCTAACTAGGTTCGATTTTTCGTGGTTATCTAGGAGACGTCGGCGCAGCTTTTGACAGTATCGATTGAGAGATTTCTTTTAGTTCACATCAGACAGACAAGACAGATAAAATAGAAGTTTTTCTTTAGAAAATACACACTCTCCACTTCCTCTTTCCCCGTAGATAAAAAACTGGTACTTAAGAAATCTTTGTAAACTTTCGTAGCTTGCGTTTATTGGCTTTCGTAGAGACATAATGGAAGCAATTGGAGAAGTTCCAATGTTGCGGGATGTAGATAAGGTAAAATTTCAAAGTATAACGTAAGATCGATGTGATTTATCCAGAGGCTTATTGACGGACCTAGGGGTCCGAATTGCCATTATCTGGTCTTCCAACACTTCGTGTGCTATTTACAACATAATGCTGATTTTATATATGAAACAGAAGATGCAGACATGCATCATATTTCATATTACCTGAATTCAGAAGGCCTATCTTCCACAGACTGCAGTTCCCTGAGCGTCTCGCAGTCCCCGTACCTACATATACAAGACCAAGCAAAACACATTCGGTTCTGAAAAGCCCTGCCCCTGGAAGTCCCAAAACATCCATCCTGACAACAATTCCAAGATATAAGGCTATATGGGCGAAAGACCGAGTAAGCCAGCAATAGCCGTATTGCGTGGAAGCTTGACTGAGGACTGTTGCTGGACTAAATCGGGATATTGCTTGGAGCGGGGGAGGATGATGATTGGGGCAGACAGGATCAGGGCTGGAGATCGTGTGACTTGAGGATGTTTGCCGATGTTGCATTGTGCATTCTGATGCCTGGATTATGCAGTAGTCTATCCCAGGGTAAGCTGCTTATTTGGTAAGCTGGTGTTGAGGGGGAGAGGACTATTTAAATCTTTTGAGGGTTGGATGATTGGCTATGGCTTCATATACATCAGGCCTGTCTGGAACTACGTGTCGTACCAGTTTAGGATAGAAATTAAATTGAGCAATGGATTAAGATTTCGAGGGAGTCCATTATGTTCATAGAACTGGGAAATGTCTCATATAAACACCGTGCGCGCGTGAAAATGCGATGAAATGGCAAGAAAATGACCGCAAAAGCGAAAGAAGATCCAAGAACAGATGGTGGAGGCGAATAGCGAATGTAAGAGGTATGAGATATATAGATCCCAATAAGTCCCACCAAGAGTGAAGCCGAATAGGGAGGCAACCTATTCATGCAGGACGCTTCTCGTCGAGCCAGCAAGAGACCATTGTCTTGATGAGGGCAAGGGTGACCACGCGCCCTTGTTCGATATTGGCATCCTCGGATGCGCCAGGTACATGAAGAAAGAGGACGTTACGGTCGTGACCCTCAAGCAACGCCAAAGACATGCTGGTATAGAAGATAAAGTCACATAGATAGTGTCCTGCATCCTTGGAGAGCCGAAGATCCGACTCCGGAGCAAAGGACTGCCATGTGTCCAAGAAATGTTCATCGGGCTGGTAGGGCGAGGCAGAGGTCGGGTCATCCGTCACACAACCAGGTGTCAAAATGGGTGGCAGGCCCAGTTCTCTCCACCGCTTCTCGCCATCGAGATACCCAGAGCGGCCCTCGACATCGGTGATGTTATAGTCATCGCGGTGAGCCAAGGTTTCAACTGAATAGTACGGCCGTGGAGAGGCTATGCCAATATGAACGATGAGGTCGGGTCTGCGGCCACCATGGGAAGCAGCGAACTCCTCCAGAATCAAAGGGAGGGTCTCCCGGACCGTGGCGTAAGCCACTGAGATAGGTGTGGAGTGAACATGGAGGGACACTCGACGCGGATCCGTGTCCTGGTCTTTAGATGGGAAGATGAAAGACGATGGGAGGGAAGAGGCGATCAGATATGAGGCGTTGACAAGGTTTGTCTTAAAGGGCTATTACACGTTAGTTTCAGTTAACGGAACAGACACGAGCACGGTCCGAGACGCAGATCATACCCCAAATCCAGTTATCAGGACGGATATCTCGTTGGGAGAAGCCGAGGGCTGCGGTGGATTCCCGGCTCGAGTGGAGCGCAAGGGTGGAACAGCTGTTCCGTAGTCACCCATCTTGAAGATACAAAGAAGTCAGAATGAAGGGAAGATGAGGTGTCGCGGGGAAAGTGAGGAGACATGCTGAATGCGGGGTCTTGGCGCAGGCCGCCCATGGATCTTTGCCCTAATCGTCCGATAGAAAAGTGGCAAATCTAACCTTCGCAACTTATAAGCATAACTATATCCTTATTTCTGTCGGGTTCGTTCTCTTTAAACTACACAATAGTTTGTGGCGGCCATTTGTGGCGTCGAGACTCTTGTACAACAATCTCGTACCCAAAATTCTACGTCGGAGCTGGCCTGTCAACTGGGGTATGCACTGTCCTGGTCGTTTCTACTGTTATTGGCACGCTAATAGCTTGGACGGCGTCTGCAAGCTGCGAGTGATTCCCCAGGGAGAGAGTCTGTCCTTGAATTACCCCTTTAGGAAATGATCGCTATAATTTCTCGTTTTCGTATTCTACTTCGTCAGTGCACACAATTTGTCGGAGCTTTGACGTCCCGGCTAAATGAATTTGGTGAGCTCACGCCCCAGACGGGTGGCCCTGATTCGGCTGTTTTAGCATCCGATGGTCCGATGGCTGGCGTGCAGCCTTGTGCCGTTCTTTATCAGTCGAGCAAGTAAGAAATGCAATTGAATACTTCTGACTGGCCCATGGCCCGGGACTATTATAAATAGGTCAACCCTCAGGGTATGATCAGCTGTAGTAGCCCAAGGCTTTCTTTTTGTTGTTACTTCTCGGCCTAACTATGGGTGTTCTCAATGAATTACTCAACAGCCCCTATGTGGTACAGGGCGTCTGCGTTGCCCTTGTGGTGGTGTTCATCACCAGTGTATGGGGTGATCTAGCGGACGAGATCCCCTTTCGTCGTGTGCCTCTGGTTGGAAAAAACCGGTGGGAATTCACCAACAAAAACGCCAGGTCGCGCTTCACACTGTCGGCGCGTGCTTTGATCGCCGAGGGATTCGCGAAGGTGAGAAACAGACATACCGGGGATGATAGTTGCTCTTCAACATGCTCACAATAAAAGGGAGCCAATGTCTTCCAAATTATTGGAGCGAACGAACCGATCATCCTCGTACACCCTAAGTATATGAACGAGATCAAAAGCCACCCACACTTGAGTTTCGAAGGCGCCGTCAAAAAGGTAGGTTGTCACACTTGAAATGACCCGGATCATGTTCACTGACATCACCAGACCTTTTTCAGCAACCGTATTGCTGGCTTTGAGCCGTTTCATAATCCGGGATCTTTCAACATCACTGTCGGCGTCGCGCGCACCCAGTTGACCCAAGCACTCGGTATGCAATACTTGGGATTTCCAGGAGACCGTCAAAGCTAACATATACTGAATAGGGTCCCTCTCAATCCCGCTCTCAAAGGAGACAGGCGCGACAGTGAAAGACGCATTTCCTCCATCGAATGGTATGCTACCATACCTTACATCATTACAGCACGAGCCTCTACTAACTCGTGTTCGCTTTACAGAGTGGAAACCCTATAACTTCTTCCAGAAGACCCCGTACATGGTAGCCCGGATCTCGTCCTTGATCTTCCTCGGAGAGGAAATCAGTCACAACGACGAATGGGTGAATGTCTCAGTCAACTATGTCATCGACGCCTTCGAAGCCATGCGAGAGCTGCGAGGTTGGCCCTCTGTTCTGCGTCCGCTAGTCCACTGGTTCATGCCCACCACCCAAAAGTTGCGCAAGCACTTGGAGAGCGCTCGATCGATCATCGCCAATGAACTAGAAAGACGTGATTTGATTCGTGCAGGCAAGCTTCCTGAAGATGACCCGCCCCGCATCCGCGATGCTCTGGACTGGTTCAAGGAGACTGCTGAAGCGAACAATTTTACCAATTTCAATATCTCCCGTGCTCAGGTTGGGTTGTCGCTGGCGGCTATTCATACGACGTCGAACCTGCTCACCAATATTATGTACGACCTGGCGGCGTACCCGGAGTATATCCAGCCGCTGCGTGATGAGATTTGTGCTGTTGCTGCTGAGGATGGGGTTTTGAAGAAGACGAGCTTGCTGAAGTTGAAATTGATGGATAGTGTGATGAAGGAGTCGCAGCGGATGCACCCATTGGGTCTGAGTATGTGATTTTCCAAGGGTTACTGTTACTGAATCAAGAGAGTGATAGCTAACACTGGACACAGCTGGCTTGAACCGCTACGCCACCCAGCAGATTACCTTTTCTGACGGTACTATAATCCCCAAGGGTGCAACGATTGCCGTGTCTGCGCACACAATGATGGAAGATGGCATCATCTATGATAATGGCAGTACCTACGATGGGTACCGCTTCTACAACATGCGCCAGGAACCAGGCAGTGAACACCGGCACCAGCTTGTCACGACAACGCCTGAGCACTTTGCTTTTGGTCTTGGCAAGCACGCCTGTCCTGGTCGATTCTTCGCTGCCAACGAATCTAAAATTCTGCTGCTCCATTTGATTATGAAGTATGACTGGAAGCTGCAGTCGGATGGCCGACCTAAGAACTATGAGAACGGGTTTGAGCTGATCACCGATCCGACAGTGGAGATGTTGTTCCGCTCGCGCGAACCAGAGATCGATCTGGGTTTCTTAGGCGAGTAGTGTGGATTTGCGTATTGGTTTCTTGTTTGAGGACCACCTGTTCTGTGTGATTTTTCTTCAATATCATGTTTATTAGTTACGGGCCAAGCTGGAACTTGGGTGACACGCATTCAGACATTATGATCTTGTCTGAAACTCTATAAATTGACCCTGCCTGCCCAATACCGAGTCAGTAGATCGGCGGTGAGACTCGGCTCCTCGAAAGTGGGTTTTCATCGGGTTCCCCGACTGTGGCTACCCACTGTAAGATGGAATCAATTATTTTGAATCAAACCAGCATAAATCTCCGACAGAGAAACAATGAAGTTGGAATTGAAGTTGAAGTATACCAGTGACACGTGATGGTAATACACACGGGACTGTAAAATACGGGACGCGACTTCACGCGTCGCGCGTCAGTGGAGAACCTCACCTCCTCTCAAAGCGCTCAATGGGGTTATATTGGCACTTTGGCCCGGCCCTTTGGGTCCCAGACCGCACAATGAAATCTGTCCCGCTGATCCCCCTCCAGGGTTTTTTTACACAAACCAATTTTCTATGAAAGAATAAGAATTACCCTGGACACGGCCCGAGCCACGTCCACTATGTGTAATTGAAGGCAAAGTAAAAAAAGAGGAGGTGAAGAAGATCAGTGCAGGGCATCATCTGATGCATGACCGTTCTATAAGCAACCTCGAGGCCCTTGCAGCCAAGGAACGGCTGGAGACAGTGTGTCTACTTGGCCTAACCGAACACCCACGATCTTATAGAACTCTACCTAGTCTGCCGGCCTCCCGTCTTTCAGGAACAGGTCCACGGGCTCTGTATATCCTTGCCTATTTGTACACCTATTTTTACCTCTTTTTTACTCTGTCCCTCTGACCCATCCTTACCTCCCAAGTCCGGATTCTCGTAGTGCATCAAGTAAGGTCCCTGCAGGAAACCACCTAGGAAAGACTCGAGAAAATCTAAACAAACCCCTATGAAAGTAGGAAATATTCAACATAGAATCGAATAAGAATAAAGAAGCTGTTCCGTATCGCACAGTTTCGCGAATCGTAACTCTTAAGATTTTCGCGGTGGGCCGTTGAACCGCAAGTATCGAGTACGCTGTTCAGTGAGCGTAGCCCGCCGGGACCACAGGTACCAGGTACCCCCCGACGCCTCACCCTATGCCCAACCTCCCCATCTTCTCTTCCTCTTCTCTCCGGTCTTTCTCACCTCCTCTCTCTACCACCCTTTTTACCACTTCCGCGAGATCCTTTCTCGCTGTCTCCATTTCGGAGACCTTCTTTTCTTTTGTGCTTTTCTGGTGTTGGGTAATGACGAAATCTCCCTCCCCCTACTAGACGGGATGGAGCCGCAGATGTGATCTGGTGATACCGATTTCGCGCATTCCTGAGCATTTGATCACACCGAAACCTCGGTCTTTTTTCGTTGCTTCACCTCTTTTGCCCTCGTTCCCTTTTCCTTTCTCATCCTCTCACGATATCACGACACTTGACGCGACATTGCGCGCTCCTCGAAGCCGCATATTCTTTGATCCACTCACCTTCCGACACATCCTCGACCTTCTTCAGATCGCGTTGACCCCACATTCTGCGGTTCGCAAGACCGCAAGATCGCCAGTATGGCTCAACGTCAGCTTTCGCGCACTCTCCCGAAGAACTTCACCTTCCCCTTCCTAGATGACGATGTGCCCAAGACCCCGGAGCGCCCGAGTACCAAGATTGAAGTTCCGCCTCCACCTCGTCATTCTATCTCTAGTCTCCGCTTGCCTCGAGTTCGAGCTCGCTCCGGCACCGATGTCTGCGCGCGCATGGATCTCGACCTTTTCCAGTTCCGAGGCTCAGATGTTCCTCTTCCCTCGATTGAATTCCCTCAGTCTAACGGTGCGCTTGAGGCGCCTTTCCTCGGGCAGTCCCCCCAAGATGAGGGATTACTTGCGCCACCTCGCGCGCGCATGAATTTCAAGACACCTCCCGCGCAGATCCGCGGTACACCTTTCGACGCATGCGAGACTGGAAGCCCATGGCCAGCCTGGGATCAGACACCTGGACCCATCAAGCGTCCAGACTCTGTTTGCTCGAGCCTGTCTGACTCGTCTGTTGAATCTATTGAGACATTTGCCTCGCGGCCATCTGTTGGAAGCTGTACCAGTGTGGAAAGTGACCTGTTTGACCCATACTTCCCTCTCGAGTTCTCGAAAGAAACTGAACTTGAGTCGCCTTCGCGACGCAAATCATCGAACGCGTTCAAGTCTGCTTCCGACAGGGGCTGGACCCGCGAGATGGATAACCATTTGTGGAACACTTATCAAATTTATCTCCAAGACCCCACTATGACTCCATTCAAGATGACCCCGGGCAGCATTCCTCCCCTGGGAGTGACTTCGCGTGTTTCGCGCCGTGCTAAGAAGACGTGGGACAACAAGCGTACTCGCATGGCGCAATCTGTCTCGATGAAGTCTGCTGAGCCTGGAACTGGAACCCCAAAGGCCACAACTGAAGCATCGCAGCCAAACTGGCCGAAGACCGACGCCAAGACTCGACGTCGTCTCAAGGCTCTTTGCCGTCGCAAGTTCTCGATTTCGCCCCATTACCAGCGCATCATGCAGTCGCGTACCCCTGAGCCCACGGAACTGTCCGCACCCGCAGATACCCGCCCTCACGCGTTCGCAGATAACTCTGCTTACACTACGCGTGATCTTGGTGTCTCTCTCGTCACCTCGAATGAGTCAAACCCCATCGCTCGCGTTACACAAGACCTGCCGCCATTGCAGCCATGGAACACTCACTCGTTCAATGACCCTGTGCCAGCCAACGTCGAGCCCGAAATCGTCCCAACCCCCAGCCAGCATCTCCGTGTTCAATCCGCTCACAGTATACCTCGTCTGGGATCTCCCTTTGTGTACAGCACCTGGGGCCCAGGTGGATCAAATCGCCAGGTCAAGGGCAACAGTACGCCTCGTCGCGAGACCATCCATGCCCCGGGACGTCGTGCCCGCCGCAATACTTATCTGGAGCAGCCTTTGCGCAATTCTGATGATGTATTCACCAACGTCCCGAGCGAGACTAAGAATGCCGATGAAGATGTCGACCGTCGCCTTGAGGATTACCTTCGTGACAACAAGCTCCAAGACGTGGGTCACGGCCGAGTCCGTCTTCGCAACCGTGGCGCCACGACTGGTGGAGTCAACCCTCGAGATGTTGTTGACCAGCTTTTCTCCCCGCCCTCGTCTCTCAACTCAGGCCCAATTGAACCTGAAGAGACCACTCCTGTGATGAAGCCACCTGTCCACCCCTTGTTAGACCTTGGTGAAAATATCAAACGCCTCGGTTCGCCCTTCAAGGTTGAAGGTGCATACAAGCGTCGCGAAGCTCCGAACAGGTTCATCAGACATGCACCGTCGCTGTCCGATCCATTCTCGAGCGGCGGCCCATCCTACGTGAGACCCACCAACGATACTTCTCCAATGCAAATATCCCCCACTCAAGCACCCGAGAAGACGTCGGCTACTCTACCTTACGATGCATTCGAGGAGGGCCTCTCAGATGCCGAGCGAATCCGCCGGCAAATCTTGAATATGCCTTTCACGCGCAACTAGATTGCGCTCTTTTGCTGTCGACTTTTCGAGTATCCGTTCTGTTCCGGTGTTGAATCCGCGAGTTTTTATCCCTTTGCATAATGACCTGAACGAGATACAGACGGGGCCCAGTTATCGCCCCCAAATTACCAGACTTTTTTATGACAGCAACGGCATTATCCACGACTGTAACGATACGTTTGTGACTTGTGTCCTGTTTTTCCCTCACGCTCGATCACCTTACCCACACTACAACACCCAATTCCAAGAAAAATGTGATAGGTTTTTCGCTTTTCATCTGGTTATCGGAAACCACACCAGTACATGGACATCCAGCTATTGGTTGCTCGGCAGCGAACTTTCAACCCGTCTTCCTTGTAACAGCAAATACTGTGTGTGGTCTTTTTTCGAATCGTCCAATTCTATTGGCACGTACTTTCGTTACTCGGTGGAACCTGTCTCAATTTCGATGCACGTCCACCCTTCACTTCACTCATTGACAACTGTCTTCACCGTTTCCTTCTGATCTCTTCGCAAAAAAAAAAAGTCTAAAAAAACTTCAAAATCCGACCCGAAAACCCGAAAACTACTGCCACAACCACTCGCTATCTTTGCGAGCCACATTCTCTACAAATTATCTTTCTTTTTCTTTCTCGGGCTTTGTCCAATCGTCGCCTGTAAACTTTCGCATTATGCCTTGCACATTTCCATGCCAGGCATTCTGGAAAAGTGACACGACTTGGATAATTCATTTGCCTATCGAACTACCCGTCACACATGGAAACGATCCCCTGCCTCCATGTTGACCCTCGTCAACCAACATGGACGGCAATTACATACACTCCCCCCTCTTCCCAACAAAAAAGCGAATGTGCAACGATACATATGCAAATACCATAGACGAACCGAAACGAAACGAACGCGCATGATATTGCAGTTGACCAACGACATCCCTGATACGCAAGCGAGGTGTTTGGTTTGGTTATCTTTTGCCAGCGAAACTTGTTTTTTCTCTCCATAATTCATTCGCATTTCCCGGATCTCATATCAATCTCGAACGTTCTCGATTTCTCGAGTCTTGATCCCCTATCGATTTCTTCATGCCTTCGATTCTGATTCTTCCCGCTCTGATTCTGCTGATTCTGCTCGTGCTTCATGATTCCCCTCAAGCTTGTGGCGAACTTTATTGGCCTTGCATCCGGACAGTCGCATGTGATTTTCTTCTGCTTTTTATCTGATATCTTTTCTTTTTTTTCGTTCTAATCTCTTCTGCGTCTCTCATGACGTATGAATGCCTATCTTTACTTTTTAAGAGCTTATTCCTATCGGATCTTTTTGATCTGTTTGTGCAGAGTATGGCTTGTTATTTTATTCTTTGATTTCGTGTTTTCTTTGCGCTTTGATCCCCACAGGACCGGCTTGCTCTGAGCGCGGA